AAGGATCCCGAGACCCTCGAGCTTCACTTCAGCGATTGGTGCGAGGTGGCCAGCGCCGTAAAAAAGCGCTTCCCCCAGGCCGTCGGCCACCTGAAGCGCCTCGACAAGCTTTTTGAGCAATTCGACAAGGACCAGTCCGGTACCCTCGGTTTCGGCGAGCTTAGAGAGCTCCTGAAGCAAATCGACTCCAAGCTCACCTCCCTCCCCGCCACGGCGCAGCGCGCCCATCAGCAGGGCCAGTATCTCGCGCACAAGTTCAACAAGATGGCGCGCACGTCTGACGGGTTGAAGGCCAACATGGTTCTCGACGGCGACATTGACTCGGTGGTGTACAAGGCGTTTGAGTACCGCCACCTCGGCAGCCTGGCGTACATTGGCAACTCTGCCGTGTTCGACTGGGGCCAGGGTTGGAATTTTGCTGGAGGGTTGTGGGCTGTGTATATGTGGCGGTCCGTCTACTTTGCGCAGAGCGTCAGTTTGAGGACGCGGATCTTGCTTGCCATGGATTGGGCCAAGCGCGGTCTCTTTGGAAGAGGTATGTTTCCATTGCCCACACTCTGCTGTTGACTGGAGCAGCTGATAACTAACACGTGTGATTTTACAGATTTGATGAGCTACTAGAAAGCAATGATGCGTTTTGCTGCAAGAATGATTCTTTCTCTTTTGTTAGCATACCCTGCCGGAGTACGAGGTACGAAATGCACCTTGGGAGAGATGGATGCATCCGTATAGAAGTTACAGAACCCCGAGAGAAAAAACAAACAGGATACGTAGGCGGTCTCTATATAATATCATATATTGTTCAAATACATTTCCCGCCTATTGAGCGCGTGGCAGGGTTCGATGTGTAACGAAACAAAGTGACAGTCAAAATATGCACGCTTTTGATGATTATTCTGATACATAACAGTAGACCCCCGTTTTCTAGATCCTGAAATCCTTGTACGACCACTTCTCCGTAAGCTTGGCCTTGGCCTGCTTCTTGAACGGAATATGTCTCCTCGACTCCACCTTACCGCGAACAAGCAAACTACGGTACCGGTCTCTGAGGAGGTTGCCCTCAGGTCTCAACAACCGCAGCGAATCCTGCAGCTCGTCGGGCAGGACCAGCTCCAAGTCCCTCTCGGGCAACTTCAACTTGCCGAGCTGTCTCCTCCGCAGCCGGCCTTCGTCCTCGATATCATCCTCGTCGTCGTCGGCGTCGCTTCCCTCGCCCACTTCCTTGGCCAACGCCAACGCGCTCTTGGAGGCGTCGCGGCCCGCAATCTCGGCGGCGATCTCCTTGATCCGTTCCGCCTGCGCGGCCTTCTTCTTGAGTGCGAGCTGGTGCTTAGCCTCGCGCTCCGCCTCCTTGCGGCGCTTGATCTTGTTCCTCTGCTGCGGCGTCTTGCGCTGCGGGCGCTTGGTGGTGGGCTTATCGTCCCCTCCTTCGACGCCGCTCTCGAACCCTTCCCAGGCGGAATCCTCGTCCCACTCGGACAGCTGCGCGCGCGCCTCGGCGGCGTCGGCCTCGGCGGCGGACTTGGCGACGGCCTCGCGCTTGATGCGGTCGGCTTCCTCGGTGGCGAGGCGGGCTTCTTCGGCGGCGACGGCGCGGGCGCCCTCGGCTTCGAGGCGGTCGGCGTAGTCGTCAAAGGTCGGGTTGTAGGAGTATCCGCCCGTGGGCTTGACGACGGCTGGGAGCTGGCGGCCGCTGGCGGTGAGGGAGATGGGGGCGTGTTTGAGGGTTTTGGGGGGTTTGGCTTTTTGTACGTCGGGGAGGAAGTTGTCTTCTTTGCTGGTGGCGGTCATATCCTTTTTGCTTGCTGCTACGGCCTTGGAGCCCGGTGCGGCGCCCCAGAGGTCGTAGGTTGCTTCCTGGGGTACGAGGGCGGTGGATTCTTCCTGGTGGCCGTCGGCGACGCGGCGGAGGCGGCTGAGTTCCTTGTGGGAGACCCAGTCGGTGCGCTGGCGCTTGACGGGGAGAAGGCCATCCGAGGTCTTTGAGAGGGCGGTTTCGGCTTCGCGCTTCTGTTTGCGAGAGGAGACGGCGGGAACGGAGGAGCGGGCGGCGAGGATCTCGTCGGACTTGAGCGTCTTCTTTGGCTTGGGGCGCTTTTCGACTTTGCCGACTGTGTCGAGGGTGAAGAGGTCTGCCGAGTCCTTTTCTGCGACGACGCCACTATAGGATTTGTCGATTAGTTGTCTATCCTGTGTGCCAATTGGGAAGTGCTTGGAAAGAGGGAGAGTGGGAGTTTTCCAAGGAGAAGAGAGTTACGTACCCGGCGATAATCTGTGTGTTCAACTCATCGAGACCTTCTTGCACCTCGGAGACGTCGACGTTCTTCCTCCACGCCTTCTTTCCCTTTCTCGAAGGTTGCTTGCGTTGCTGCGGCGCTTCGCCGTCACCCGAGAGGGGCTTAAGAACGGGCATGTTGATATTGACCAAGACGCACACTGTTGTGTTCCGGGCTGTCGGTATGTGCAAGAGGAAGGGAATTACTGAGGATATTCCTGATGTCGAAAAGTCGATCTTTGCGCCTTGCCCATTTGCTGGTCGTCGAATCTGCACTCTGCACCAGCTGGGACGGCGGGGCCTGGACCGTCCAGAAATTTTCGAGCCAGGGTCTTTTTTTTTTTATCTTATCGGATATGGGGTCACTCTTATCGATTATCAGCACGTGATGTCCTTGTCTATGGTGGCTCCTCTGAGCCACACCTCAATGGATGACGGGGGCGTGGTAATGCGCCCAAAGACGGACAGGTTGACCTCCTTTTACCTGTCCAGCTTGCTTAATTTCCACGACCCGCGATCTACAGTCCTCACCCCTCCTCGTCTCGGCCAACGCAACTCCCCTCCGTCGCCGGATCTCGTTCTTTGGTCCAGCAAAAGCGCTCAGCTTTTCTGCTTCGTTTTATTTACCGACTTGACGACTCCCTTGCATCGAGCCAACGTGTCGGTTCCGTAGCCCGACTGGCAAACCCCCGATACTACCCTTCGGAAGCTTCCCTTTGATAAAAAAACCGCAACCATGGCGTCCGGCGCAGGCGGGTCTTACAACAACCCCCTCAAGAAGTTCAAGTACGATTCGCGCCGATTGCGAGATGTTCCTATTGAGACAATTGCACGATAAACTAACGCAATGAAACTCCCAGACTTGTCTTCTTGGGCGAGCAGAGCGGTATGTTCCTGCATTTTGTCTTCTTTGACGCGGCGAGAGAGAAACACCCTTGGCTAATACGTTCTGTCTGTTATTTGCAGTGGGGAAAACTTCGCTCATCACTCGATTCATGTACGATTCGTTCGACAACATGTACCAGGCGACCATTGGAATCGACTTCCTCTCCAAGGCAAGCCATCATTACGTTTTCGAACTGGGGCCGAGGAACCACTGTCTAATGCGTTGCAGACCATGTACCTTGAGGACCGGACAGTGAGATTACAACTTTGGGATACCGCCGGACAGGAACGTTTCCGCAGCCTGATCCCCTCGTACATTCGCGATTCCAGCGTCGCAGTAGTCGTCTACGATATTTCAAGTACGTGTAACTGCACGGGGGCTGTAAACCAAAGGAGGAGCCCGGGACTGACTTTGAGGCAACTTGTAGATGCGAAATCCTTCCAAAACACCAAGAAGTGGATCGACGACGTGCGCGCCGAGAGAGGAAACGACGTCATCATTGTCCTTGTGGGCAACAAGACGGATTTGAACGACAAGCGAGAAGTGACGACGCAACAGGGTGAGGAGGAGGCCAAGAAGAACAATCTCATGTTCGTCGAGACTAGTGCGAAGCTGGGACACAACGTCAAAACGCTGTTCAAGAGAATAGCGCAGGCTCTTCCGGGCATGGAGGGAACAGATGCTGCCGCGCAGGCTTCAAGCCAGAGTGCGTATTTATTCGCTATGAAACGTGGTTTTGATATGGGCAAGTGAGGTACTAACGTGTGATGCAGTGATCGACGTCAAGACGACCCCTGCTCAATCGTCGCAAGAGGGATGTGCATGCTAGACGGTCTTCGTGAAGGGGAGGCAAACAAAAAAAAGACACAACGACTCTGGAGCAGAAAGTCCCGAGGCGAACCGTGACGGACGACGCGGGGCTGAGTTGGAGTTGCCGTTACGTTACGTTGCGACATGACTGGCGGGGCATGACATCTTAAGCATAGCGTGCAAATGGGGATTTTCAGCATCAGTTACAGTTTGTATAATAACGGGCTATACTCCACGGTCGTTAGTACATACCTACATTTAATGGCTCTTATTTCTCTTCTTCCCCAACTACTTTGTCTGTCTACATGATGTGCGGTGTATGTGAGAGTTTCCTACCGGCAATATCCATCATGTATCAAAAGCCAGCTGGCAAATGAGTTGTCTATGTTGCTCACCGCCCGAAATGGCACGGGACTCTCACGATGGCTGGTGTCCGTGATGCTACGGTGGGCTGTCACCGAGTACCAGGGTCTAACCACCGTGCGGTGCCAGCGTAGGAATGGCCCGCAATCCGTGGCATTGATTTCCGGTGCATGGCACTACGGGCACACTACACGTACGGAACTACGGATACCTCGCCTTACAGATAGCGGTGCATTCACAGCCAATGCTGCTGCACTCTCTGGCAATCTGCAGCAACCCAGTTAACTATTGCAGACGGGAGACGGAGCAGAAAGCGGCGCGGACTCGTCCAAAACCCCGGGGCGTGACGCTATGACGGATCGGGTGGGGCCCATCATGTCATCGAGAATTTAGGAAAGGTGCGAACGCAGGGTCTTTCCGCTCTTATTTTTTTGCCCATGTCATCCGGCGCTGCCGCTTAGGTTCAAAAGTGACGGGGCCTCTTGTTGGGCTCGACTTTGCGACGCTTCCCCAAAGCTTCTCACCTGACACCCTTTACGAATTACCTGAGCTCCCAAAGACGGGACCCCTTTCTTTCTGACGCAATACGGATACCCTTCTTCTGTTGTCCGTACACACATACACCAAACAGATATCACGAACGAAGTGAACGGATAGACAGACGAGATGGCGTTTTCGAGATTCAGTATGCGGTTGCCGCTCCCAAAGGTATGCTTGTAACACCTACATCATCTCCCTCACCCAACTGCGCCCAGCATTTACACAATATCATGTTTATCACCTCAACGGGCGCATCACTGGACGGCTGGCTAACATGGGGATCACGTTTTGTGTGTGCAACAGACCTTTCTGGGCTGCATCGGCCTCCAGACAGGCGCCGAGGTTATCTCCCTCATCCTCCTTTTCAACAGGCTCACCGGCCTGTACGGCCTGCTCGCCATTCTCACGGGCTACGAGCTCTCCGTGACGCAGCTGTCAATGTACCTCTACTCGCTGGGCGTCGTCGTCCTACTAGCCATGTTCATGCCCCACATCCGCAAGCAGAGCCCCTTTGAGACGCTGGGCCTCGCGTGGCTCTACATCGTCGACACCATCCTCAACGTCGCGTACACAACCTTTTTCGCCGTAAACTGGTACCTCAACAGCAGCGCCCTGGACAAGCACCCGGCGGGAAGCACCACCCCGGCAGCGGCTGGTCCGGCCGCGGCGGCGGAGATTGCGGAGACGGCGCTCGCCAACGGAGCGCCTGTTGTGCCTGACGTTCCCGGCACGACGAAGCACATTGGACCCCAGGAGTCGTGGATGAGCTTGGGGCTGATTTGCTCCGTCACGCTGGTGCGCGTCTATTTTGCGCTCGTCGTCATGTCGTTTGCGCAGCAGGTGATGCAGCGATACACGGCAGACATGGGCTGGGAGGAGGAAGGCCGCAGCAACGCCGGCAAGAAGGGCGGCGTCGACGGACCTTTCTCGCAGGGCGAACCGGGCGGTGAAGGGTCCCGAGGCCGTATCGGGCGCGTGATGCTCGCTCTCGGTCGCGGGTACTGGCTTCGCGAGAGGCCTCAGGAGGAGTGGGCGAGCGCTGTGAGCGCCAAGTTCCGGCACGCCGGAGTTTAAGTATCTTCGGAATCCGGGACGACGCGAGATTGAAATAAGAGAGAAGCCCACCGAGCCGGTACTTGAGCGGCAACGAGATGGATGTCGGTGCGGCATGTCGGCGGCAGCGGGTGGTTGACCGCTTGGGAGTGGATACCGCCGGGACGGCAAGTCGATGATGCCATCGGGCGGTGGTATCATTGGGCGATGGCATCATTTGAGATTTTCTATCTGTTGTGGATTTGATGCCACGCGCCGAAAGAGGTGGATCGGGATTCATGAGCGAAATGCAGGTCGGGTGCGATGGAGAAATTCTGTACAACAACATTGATGACCCTCAATCACGGAAGGTGAATCGGCGTTTGGGTCATTGGGAGAGATGGTTCGTCACGAGGGCATTCAATTCGGTTGGTGCCCGGTTCACGATGAAGATTAAAGTGGGACTGGGAGAACGTCCTTCTGTTCCAAACCCCGAATTTGGGCTTTGGAGAGCATACGATACAAGCTACACACATAATAAGCATACTTAGTAACTAGTACAGTAATACAAAGATGATCAGGTTGAGATGTTATTGGATGACTGGTGGATGTCGGGCAATGGACCATGGAGTGACAGTCTGACAGACGGAAACTGCAAATACAGAGACTACCATTTGTAATCCGAAAGAATCTCCGGGGGAGGGGGATGGAGATGGTGGGTCTGGCGAACGGGATATGGAGCAGCATGTCAGTCTACGGAATAGTTTCCACTAGTTGACTCGCCTCCAGATGGATGGGATGAGGTACGGCAACGAATCCGAGCTCTATTACCTTTGGGCTCTTGGAGTCTGGTTGAGTCTTGCTCTTGGGAGGAAAAGAGACTCAGAGAGGCTCAGAGTGAGAGGAAGGGCTTACCGGCCGACAACGGCCTTTTTCGGCATTCGGGCATGGGGGGTCCAGATTCCTTCCCCCTGCTTGGTGCTGTATTAGCCAAGAAGTGCCATTGGATCTTGGATGGAATTTGTTAGAGTGTTGTTGAGTGGCTGATTGGGTAAAGTAGGATGAGCTAAGACCAAGAGTCTAGAGCAGAGTTTGTAGTCTTTCTTTACATACTACGTAGGACTAACATGCTCGTAGCCGTCAACGATTCTCGTGATGAATAATACAACAGCAAGGACAGGACAATACCCAAAGGAGGCAACTGCCAAACGGCACTCGCTGAAGTCCCAGCTCTTTCTCTCTCTGGAGGAATCCCGATGTACCCTTTTCTGAGCAATGCACACCCCCCAATTGCCCCCCGATGCCCCAATGCCCCCAAAGGCAAGCCAACCCGCGGCGCAATGGGAGCAGTGCGGCATGGCAACTGGCGAATGGACTGGGGAGACGCTGCGCTAGCCGATCACGCAATCGACCCTGATGTCGACAAAATTCATTGTTTTCTGCGGGGCGAAATTTCTCGGTGGGCACAGCACCACCCCAAGGCCCCAAGCACGCCAGAAGACAGCAGGCGCAACCCGTCATCCACCTCAGCTTCTTGCCTTAAGACGACGAAACCAGGCAAGGGAAGGAACAGGAATTGGGTACTTTCCAGGTCACTGTGTTTGATTCCAAAAGCAGAAAGAACCATCGGAGCTGTTTCGCAACTTCCTGGGGCGCCTTGGACACTTTTTTTTTTTTATCCAGCTTGCTATCCATTGATCTTATTCTTAGACATCTTATTAACTTACACCATATCTTCCTCCTCTCTCTCACACACACTCTCTCTCACTCTCACCCTCCTTCTCCCTCTGCCTCTTCTGTGCCATTCCAGCCCACGTCGCCCGTCTCCAACAAACCTCTCTACGGGTTGAGCTGTGTTAGTTGTTGGTGGTGTTGTTGTTGAACTCCCTGTTGGAAACCCATCCCTCCTTGGTTCCCGGTCCAGAGGAAGCCAAAAAAAAAAAAGACAGAACACGAAGAAGCCGGAACTGCACACTGCAAACGACAGAGTTTCGAGACCAGCCACTGTACGATACCCCCCCTCGAATTCGCCCTCGAAACCTCCACCAGACACGAACATACACATATCGACAATGGCTCCGACAAGAGGTCAAATCCAGACGCCTGGAGAAGCTGGTAAGCAATTGTTCACTTCAATTCTTGGATTACTCGGCTTTCGTCTGCTCCTTCCCCCCCTGGTCTCGCACTCTGCAGCAGCAGCCGCCATCCTTCAGCGCGTGTGCCCGCTGTAACTACAGCGAAGCTCCAACGATGTTGGAATTCGGCCAATCAGAGCTCTGCTATTTGTCGCATCCCAGTGGTGCAGAGTCCCCCAGCAACCCGCTCGTGATGGGCAATGGGCAGCACCCAGGAAGAGGCAGAGGGATGATGGACGACGACGCCAGCCAAGGTCGCAGGACAGTCGCAGTCGCAATTTCAATCAGCGATGTCGATGACAATTCTGGCTTATGCTGACATGCGCTCTCTATAGTTGCGAGAATCGCATACCTCGCCAGCGACGTCGTTGTCTCTGTCCAGCCTTCATTGGCAAAGGACTCGGAGTTCTCATCCCACCTCAAGCGCTACGTCGCCCGCAGCGACAAGAGCCTCGTCGCAAAGTCTTCAGTCACAGAGGTGAGAAACCACTCGATGCATCCTCTTTCGTGGTCCTTTGACTTGGTAACTAACTGCGTCTGTCCCTAGGTCCAACACATAAGGCACAATGCCGACCCTCTCCTCTCCGTGTTTGCGCCCACTCGCGCCGGCAAGCTCGTCGCCGTAACGACCTCATCAACTGTTCTCCTGCCCGCCATCTCCCACCTCTACAAGTTGGCAAACTACCCCGTCGTGCTTCACGTCGCCCTCCAGCCCGCTGGCTTCCCCGACTTCTCTGCAATCACAGCCATCCGCAACTCCGGATGGACTTTCCTGCAGTCAGAGTCTCTCCAGGAGGCTCAGGACATGGCACTGACGGCACACGCTCTCGCCCTGCGATCCGGCAAGGGTGTCGTTCACTTCTTCGCCTCGTCTAGCAGCGATGAAGATGCAGCCATTGAGGCAGAAGACCCCGAAGTCGTGCGCCAGATTCTCGACGTTGACGCCGCGAGGCGCTTCCAGCAGCCGTCCAACGGCTCTGCTGCGTCGGCTGTCGGTATCTATGCCGATGACGGCCGACTGCCGGTGGCCTCTGACCGATCCGACGTGCCGCCGACCGGCTCCTCGCCCATTAGTGGTCTGAGCTCTTCCGAACTCGCATCGTCCGTGCACTCTAAGCTCGAGTCATCCAGGGCCTCGGTACAGTCCAGCGCCGAGCACAGCGTCACCGACAGCCCGCCCTCTGTCGTCTCGTCCAACGCCACCACTATCGAGTCGTCCCTGCCCGTCGTCTCGTCTGAGGATATCCTCAAGTATGCCAACGGCATCTGGGCCCAGATTAAGAGGATTACTGGCCGTGAATACCAGGCCTTCTTCTATGCCGGCCCCACAAACGCAGAGAACTGTCTCTTCGTCTTCGGCTCTGGAGCCTACTACTTTGGTGATGTGATTGACCAGGCCCGCCGCGGAGGAGATTTCTCCAAGGTCGGCATCCTTACTCCCAGACTGTACCGCCCGTGGCTCAGCTCCTCTCTCACTGAAGCTCTGCCCAAGTCTGTGAAGCGCATCGCCGTCCTGGAGCAGGTCCACCGCAAGACCACAAAGTGGGGTCCCGTCCTCATCGATGTTCTCACCAGTGTGAAGAGCGGCCCTGGTGGTGTGCAGACTGTCGTCGGCTACCAGCTTGGCTACATTGACCCCAAGACCGTCATCCAGGCTCTCCGTGGCGTCCTGCAGAACCTCACTTCCGACTCCCCTGTTCAGAACCTCGAGATCGGCCGCAAGGAGGTCCCCCGGGAGGTTCTCGAATACGGCCTTGAGAAGCCCCAGGTCGAGAACTCTTACACCAAGATCCTCGACCAGCTCTTTGGCCAGAGAGCCTACATTGCCAACGCCCTCAAGGCTAGCAATGCCGGCATCAACTCCTCGATCCAGGCCAGCCCCGAGTTCGGCTTCGGTTCCCTCTTGGCTCGCAAGGAGCGTCGCCTGCGGTTCGTTAACGAGGTCAAGGAGGCTGCCAACAGTAATCAGTTCGTGACTGAGTCGCCCAAGAGCTGGCTCGCCCGCTGGGCTGCCAACGAGGCTGACTCCAAGAAGGCGAATGAGATCGCCGACGACCTGATCCCCCGCTTGGAGACTGATGGTTCTTCCATTGCCCGCAACTTGCTGTCCAGCAAGCGTTTGTTCCGTAAGGAGTCCCTTTGGCTTGTGGGATCCGATGCCTGGGCCTACGATCTCGGCAACTCCGGTGTGCACCACGTCCTGGCCTCTGGCGAGAACGTCAACATGCTCATCATCGACTCGACTCCCTACTCGGAGCGCGCCGCTGCCGATGCCAACCGCCGCAAGAAGGACATTGGTTTGTACGCCATGAACTTTGGCAATGCCTACGTCGCTTCCACTGCCGTCTACGGCTCCTACACCCAGGTGCTGCAGGCCATGCTCGAGGCTGACCAGCACAACGGTCCCTCTGTCGTTCTGGCGTACCTGCCCTACTTTGGTGAGACCGACTCTCCTCTCACCGTCCTCCAGGAGACCAAGAAGGCGATTGACGTTGGCTACTGGCCCCTGTACCGCTGGAACCCCGCCAACGAGGCCAAGGGCGAGCCCAACTTCACCCTCGACTCTGAGCGCATCAAGAGCGAGCTCAAGGCTTTTCTGGACCGCGACAACCAGCTCACTCAGATCATGCAGCGCGACCCCGTCTTCGCCGCCAACCTGTCGCAAGACTTTGGCTCCGAGGTCCGGGCTCAGCAGAAGCGCAAGGCCAAGGATGCTTACGACCAGCTTCTTGAGGGTCTCTTTGGCGCTCCCTTGACTGTGCTGTACGCCTCTGACAACGGTAACGCTACCAACGTTGCCAAGCGTCTTGCTAACCGCGGTAAGGCCCGCGGCCTCAAGACCAAGGTCTTTGCTATGGAAGACTACCCCCTCGAGGACCTGCCTTCTGAGGAGAACATCATCTTCGTGTCCTCGACCGCCGGCCAGGGAGAGTTCCCACAGAACGGTCACGCTCTATGGAATGCTCTCAAAGACAACACCGAGCTTGACCTCGCCAACGTCAACTATTCCGTCTTCGGTCTTGGTGATCGCCACTACTGGCCCCGCAAGGAGGACAAGATCTACTACAACAAGCCTGCAAAGGATCTTGACCGTGTTTTGTCTAACCTTGGCGGTAAGAGACTCGCCGACGTTGGTCTCGGTGACGACCAGGACCCCGATGGATACCAAACTGGTTACCAGGAGTGGGAGCCCAAGATCTGGCGCGCCCTTGGCGTCGATAACGTTGACGGCCTTCCCGAAGAGCCTGCTCCCATCACCAACGAGGACATCAAGATCGCCTCCAACTTCCTTCGTGGTACCATTGTTGAAGGTCTCAACGACCCCTCGACTGCTGCCATCTCTGCCGCTGACCAGCAGCTTACCAAGTTCCACGGTACCTACATGCAGGACGACCGTGATGTCAGAGATGAGCGCAAGGCCATGGGCTTGGAGCCCGCCTACTCCTTCATGATCCGTTGCCGTCTGCCCGGTGGTATCTCCACTCCCTTGCAGTGGGTGCAGATGGACGACATCGCCAACGAGCTCGGCAACGAGACCATGAAGCTCACCACCCGTCAGACCTTCCAATTTCACGGTGTCGTCAAGGGCAAGTTGAGGCCCGCCATGCAGGCCATCAACAGAGCGCTCATGACTACCATTGCCGCCTGCGGTGATGTCAACCGTAACGTCATGTGCAGTTCTTTGCCCACCCAGTCAAAGTACCACAGGGAGGTCTGGGCCAGCTCCAAGAAGATCAGCGACCACTTGCTGCCTTCGACCACTGCCTACCACGAGATCTGGCTGGCGGACGAGAATGATACCAAGACCCAGATCGCCGGTGACGCCGTCCAGGACTTCGAGCCTCTGTACGGACCCACCTACCTGCCTAGAAAGTTCAAGATCACCATTGCCATCCCTCCCCACAACGACACCGATGTCTACGCCCACGACATTGGTCTCATTGCCATCAAGGGTAAGGACGGCAACCTCGAGGGTTTCAACCTGATTGCCGGTGGTGGTATGGGTGCCACGCACAACAACAAGAAGACGTACCCGCAGATCGGCCGCATGTTCGGTTTCGTCAAGACGGACCAGGTCCACATTGCTTGCGAGAAGATCATGCTCGTCCAGCGTGACAACGGTGATCGTAAGAACCGCAAGCACGCCCGTCTCAAGTACACCATTGACGACATGGGCGTCGACGTCTTCCGCGGCAAGGTCGAGGAGCTCTGGGGGCAGAAGTTTGAAAAGGAGAAGCCTTTCGAGTTCAAGTCCAACGTTGACACTTTCGGCTGGCAAAAGGACGAGACGGGACTCAACCACTTCACCTTCTTCATTGAGAACGGTCGTATCGAGGATACCCCCGAGTTCCAGATGAAGACTGGCCTCCGCGAGATCGCCAAGGTGCTCAAGGGCGAGTTCCGCCTCACTGGTAACCAGCATTTGATCGTCAGCAACGTCGCGGACGAGGACCTTAACACCATCAAGGATCTCATGAAGAAGTACAAGCTCGACAACGTCCACTTCTCCGGCATGCGTCTCAGCTCGTCGGCCTGTGTCGCCTTCCCCACCTGCGGTCTCGCCATGGCCGAGTCAGAGCGCTACCTGCCTGTGCTGATTACCAAGCTTGAGGACTGCCTTGAGGAGAACGGTCTGCGCCAGGACTCGATTGTCATGCGCATGACGGGTTGCCCCAACGGTTGCGCGCGTCCTTGGCTTGCTGAGGTTGCCTTTGTCGGAAAGGCGTACGGCGCGTACAATATGTACCTCGGCGGTGGATACCACGGCCAGAGACTCAACAAGCTGTACCGCCAGAGCATCAAGGAGGACGAGATCTTGGCCATCATGAAGCCGCTGCTCAAGAGGTACGCGACTGAGAGGGAGACTGGCGAGAGATTTGGTGACTTCTGCATTCGCGTTGGTGTCATCAAGGGTACTAAGGAGGGTCGGGATTTCCACGAAGGGGTAAGTCGAGGTTCCTAAGCTCACTCTAGCAGTTTCATCGCGATGACTAACAGTAATGATAGGTTCCCGACGAAGAGTCTGATGAGGAATAAGCTTGTTCTTGCTTTTGAGTAATGAAGGCTTTAAGAGAGGTGATGTTCGGTGCGAGGACGAGAATTGAGATTTACGAAGGATGGGTTTTGCAAAAGAGAAGGAGAAAAAAGTTTCGGAATCTTTGTAAAATGTACATGGTCTTATATCCGCTTTAGCAGCTTTCAAGCATCAGGAGGGGGCGGCAGGCGTTGCGACTTGCTTAATTTTTTATTTTTTTGCCATACTTTTCTATATATCAAGAACATTTTCAAACAAACAACTTTGCTACATGTTGATTTTCTCGGAGAGCGCCTCGAAGACCAGGGACTGTCCTCTCAGAAGCTTGGAAGCGTCAGCTTCCAGCAGTAATAGCATTGAAAAACATTGCTGGAGTGGCGGGCACTGGGCCGGATTCTTCTCACTAGTCGGCAGTAAGGTCGTGTCCTTCTCCCCCATCGCACGGAGACCAGCTTGGAATACGAGGTGGCTCATTGTCCAGTCAAAAGGAAATATCAGAACCTCTTCTTCGGCTGGTAGCGGTGCCCCTACCTTCGCCTCCTCGTAAGCAAGGTTCGCGAATACCTGCTGGTGTCGGAGGAGCTGTAACGCGGCCTGTGATACGCCGCCGCAGATGGTGAGTGCGTTTCCGCCTGGTGTTGGCCAGAGGGTTGTGATGAGGGAGAGGGCGTGGTGGTGGTGTAGTGAGCCCCAGGCGAGGAGGGCGTCTTTTGAGGCGGGGGAGGTTGTTGGGGATGAGGATGTTGTGGATTGTTGCCAGGTTGCGGACCAGGAGTCGAGGGTTTGGCGGTAGGTTTCGCAGGTTGATCGAAGGGTTGGTGTAGTCTCGTGGGAGAGAGCTAGGGTGGTGGTCGTCGTGGTTGGTTTGTTGTGGTGTTGGAGGATCGTGTTGTGGATTTGGAGTTTGAGGAGGGAGATTAGGTAGGAGGAGATTGAGATTTGTTCTGCTTGTGTGGATGTGGTTCTTTGTACGAGTTCCTGGGGGTGAGTGTAAGATAGTGAATTTGAGGGGATGAGATTGGTGTAGTGTGGGTTTGAAAACTTACGCGACGGAGGTCGTCTCCGACGACTAGTAGGCTTGGTCGTCCAAAGGCAATCGACACATGACTTTTTGTAAATATTCTTTAGATATTTTGCTATTGTGGTTTCAGGATTATGAGAACAACATACCTCTCGAGAGTATACAACGTCCTAGTCAGCATACAAAACACAGCATGGTCCTTGTCCTCTTCCATCGAAGGCCGGTGGGACAGGTCGAGAAAGAGACGGATGGCGAAGCCGAGGTGTCGCCAGACGTCGCCTGCGCTGGGCTCGAGGAGGGTGTAGACGCAGATGAGGAGGGTTCGTTGGAGGAGGGCGAGAGTTTCGGTGCGGGAGGCGTGGGCGCAGGTTGTTGGGAGTGAGGGGATGGCTGTTTGGAAGTGGGATTCCGCGAGGGGGAGGAGGGATGGTGTAGATTTGCTGGCGATGAGGGCACCGAGGGCGATTATGAGGTTGAAGAGGGGGGTGTTGGTGTTGGTGGTGGTGGTGTTGGGGGAGGGGGCGTGGTTGTGGTAGTGTGTGGTTAGGATGTAGGTGAGGGTTTGGGGTTGGAGGGTTGGGAAGAAGGTGTTTATTGAGTGGGAGAAGAGGGCGAAGAGGGGGGTTGCTAGGGTTTGGGGGAGGGGATGGAAGGTGACGAGGTTTTGGAGGGATGGGTTTGGGATTGCTGTTCTGCTCGTGAGGCGGAGAAGGGTTGGTGAGAAGTCGTGGGTGGAGGCTTTGCTGTGGCGGAGGTGATCTCGGAGGCACCCGAAGGAGGACCAAGGGCCAAAGAACGTGGTGCTGAGCAAGTTTGATGATGGTGAAGTTCCGGCTTGAGGGGGGGTGAACGGTTTGGAGGGGAGGAATAGGGGGTTTCCTGTAGCTGGCGGATGGTGAGTTTCGTTTGATGGACGACAGGGCGGGGGTGTCTGCTTTGCTATGTCCTTCAACTCATCGACGAGGAGTTGTATCTGTCGAAGAGGGATGTTTGTCTTCAAAATCGGGTCGAAGATAAGACACTCGCGTGAGGTCCTCGCACACTCCTTGCAAGCTGGGAGTTGACGCTGGCACTTTGTCCGTCTATCCCTACAAAAGCTGCAGGAAGGAATTGCATCGAGGATGACACCTAGCTCCTCCTCCAAGTCGCTTGCGTTGTTGTTCCTTGCACCGCGTTCACACTGAGACCTCGTTTCGACGGCGTCTGGGGAGGATGAGGTACTAGTAGGCTGCCCGCCAGACGGAAGCGAGAAGTAGCTTTCATTGGAGACGTAATCTTGGTCTATGAAATCTGTCCACCACTGCTCATCGTTGATAAAGTCTTGACTAATGTTTTCTGATTCCGAAGGAGGAGGCGTGAACTTCTTTGGAGGCGGGAACGGTATGTTTCGGTGGCGGATGCTGTGGATTCGTCGTTGAGTGACTAGACAGTCGAGTTCTTCGAGAACTTGCATGTCGTAGTGGCTTCCGTTGTGGCCAACGGGGTTGCGGAGGTTTGTGTCGATGAGTTCGTTGATGTAGCTTGCTGTATCGGCTAGTGGGGGCCATCTGCTCGACAAGATGCTCTGCGATTTGTGTTAGTGGCCATCTATGTGTGAATTTATTTAGTGTTTCCGACATGGGACGGACTTACCAGGAGTTCTGCGAGGTTCTTCAATGCGTCGGCAGCATTGTCTGCAAGTGAGGCACGCTGTAATGTTGAAGCATGGTTTCGGAGAGCGTAAAGCAAGAGCATGCCGGCTTGGAATACTCTGTTACCAATCTCAAATACCATGACAAGGCCGCCAGACTCGGCTGTTTTTGTGTCCAGCGATATGAGGTCGACTGCTGCCTTCACCACCGAGACCAGAGACGCTTCGGAAACGGCGATGTTGCGGGAGCATGGACGGTGAAGCATGACTTGGCATTGGAGACAACTGGAGCTTAGCTGCAAATTCGTCCTGCCGTTTGCCGTGGTGACGTGATAGAGACTCTGTATTCTTTGATCCATTCGCTGGACCCACTCGTCGTGGGAGCCGGAGTGACTGGGAACAGGACGGTCAAAGAACTGCGTTGCCTGGATCTCCGATTTCATGACGCAAACTTGGAGGTCGAGGAGGAACTGCCGCTCTTTTGGGTGGCTCACTCGCTCAAAGTCGGCCGTCTCAGATAACTCGGATATGTCGCCGCCGCCGTGGGGAAGCCGGGTTGTGATGTGTTCGTCACTCAGTGCAACTGGACATCCTCCGGAAATCGAGACGACTCTGTCAAGCTGATAGACCTTTTAGAAATTCTATTAGCAATAGCCACGACCTCAAGATTGGGCTGGGCTTGAACTTACAACCCAAAAGATGCGCCGGCGCTGCTCGGCATGCCTAGGGTCTCTAAAGACCCGTGCATCTGGCTCTTGATGCAGCCCAAGGCTTACAGCCATGCGCATAGCCTCTCCGGTGAGATACCATAGGTTAGATGTCTGAGGTAGCAATAGCGCAAGTTGTATAAGCAGTATCAGACACTGTAAAGCCAGGATGGAGCTCTCATGCAGCAACTCGTCGACATACTCCACGGCGTCCGCGTGTAAAGCCTCACTGAGAGCCGCGACTTTGCGAAAGTCTCGGTTCTTGGAGTTGAGGGCGCTGATTCCCATGATCATTGAGACGACGAACCGAGAAAACGAATTCGAAACAGGGGAAAGTCCCGGCTCAACGCTGTTGAGGTGGGTAAAGTGGTAGGCTAGCTCTGTCTCTGAGAAGCAAGGGAAGTGTGGAAGGATTTCGTCCGTGTAGTTGCTGAGCAGCCGTTCCGTTACATTGGGAGGGACGTGTTGTGAGCTAAAGTTTGAGAATTGGGTTGCGTATGCTTGGCCTGCTGTTCTGGGGTTGGCTTCGTGGTAGATACCGCGGATCGGGATCTTTAGTGGCGGACGCTCAGAGGGATAGAAGAGTTTAGACTTGTGTGGTAATATCGCTGAGCTTTGGAAAAGACTGTGAGAAAGATGATACGTGGTTGATATGGAGGCTAGTTGAGTAGCGACATCGTGAGCAGTATCGGCTTCGTAGATTTCACCCACGGAGCCATGTTGATCTGTATTTACGGAGGCAGATTTCAGTCGTTGCAACTCAGCTAAACGAAGTTCAAGGTACTGAAGAAGGCTATCAAAGGGCTTTATTAGTTATTATAATACTATTGACAGATTCAAAGTACATTTTGACTTGCCTACGAGGAATTTCGGTCGACTTTTGCCGGTTGATTGCAGTGCATTCAACTCTGGCAGCAACGCATCTGAGACATTTTGGCGTCCCTCTATCGCACTGCAGGAAACATTTAGTCAAGGTAGTACTATTTGGGAGGGTGGTTGTCGGTTCCATACCTTCTGCTTGAGTCGATGGCATCTTGCGCAAGCTGGCGTGGATCTGTGCCTCTTGCTTCTCAGATCGGAGCCCATCTTCCAACCAGCCTCCCCTGACCGGACGATCCAACTATTGTCTCGAGGAAAAATCACACAACAGAATTACAGCTTCACTATGAACTCTTTCATTGTTGAATTCGCTTGTCTTATCCGTAACTACGACTTCTGAACTAGCTCTGTGTGTGTTTATCTAAAGACAGTTTGGGAGTGAGGGGATCAGTTGGTAGGCACGTGATTGGTTGCTTCTGAGCTCCACCACCGGCACTGGGTGGTGAGTCCGGCACATTTAAATCCGGGGTCACTTCCGTCCCGCATGTTATTTGCAGTTGTGGCATACTACTATGTTCTTCTTCGTAATGTCTCCACGTGATGGGAATAATTCCTCTATTGGCGTGCTAATGCTCTCAAGTCGATTTGACTTCGCCGATGTTTTCGAAACTCACCTCGTAGAGCGCGCTTGCTGAATGATGAGACCTTGATTAGTTCAACACAGACCGTAGCTTGTTCAGAGACCTAGGACATCTATGATTATTTGGAAGGAAAATTAGACCCATGGCTTGGTGCCTATGGGCTTATCAACAAGGCTTGGTGTGAATAGTCACCACACGCGATAAGGTATAAATAATACCCCACAGGCGGTCCACATTGAGATGTTGATCTTCACTATTCTGCCATCTACACGATCCTAAAAGACAAGTTCTATACCTGTAGATCTTTGAGGAAATCCTTGCCCTCATCCGCCTAGACAATCAACTAGCAAAATGCCGCCCCAAGCCGTCCAGCGCATCAGCATTCGCTGGTTGCCTGAGCCTGCCTACGAAGACACCCATACAGTCGCCCTCAATGTCGGGGGATACTTTATTGATTTGCGAGTTACCAAGGAGACTCGCAGCATTCAATGGAGCCGCGCCGGGGAGCGAATTACTCTCAAGACTGAGCCTCGTAAGTATTCGTCTCGTCAAACATCAAATTTGGAAACTCGATGACTATGTTCGTATATTGACCGAGCCGCAGCAACATTCCGATGGACGCACATCATCGACTCGCTGAATCTCACAGTTCCTGACGATGCCCACTTCGAAAAGCTTCCCAATGGGGATGACCTCGAGATCGGGACTACACCCTGTCCACACAAAAATGGAGTTCCGATAGATTACGAAGAGGTCTGGAGAGATATCACAACACGAGGCGCAGATAGCAGACCGTCCTGGATTCTACAGAGCAAGGATGGAAGCACCTTCATTGGGAAAGTTGGGCATATCTATCTCGCCATCCAGAAAGCGTTGGGGGTGGAATTCGCCGCGCGGCGAGAGGATTACGAGTCTGAGCTTGGGATTTGGAAGTGCGCATTTGAGTCTGGGAATCAAGCAAAAATGCCAGAAGCGTCCGCAGTTGTGGCATTGACAGACAAGGAGGCGCAGAAGTCGGTGGATGGAGATCTTGTTAGCATTGATGGTGTGGACTTCGTATTCCGGGGTGTTAGTCAAGACTAAGCATAGTCGGAATTGAGTCACAACCCTGCCTCTCGTTCGAGCAAGACAGACAATACCCTAAATGAGAAAACTTCATTATTTTCGAACAAGACGGTCTCCCAAGAGCCATCGCACTTGTACTCGACTCAAAAAGCGCAATAGGCCTGATCAAGAGTTGATCAATCGGTGTAATTCCATGACAAATGATACCAGACCGAAGTTCCCCTTGTTGTCAAGACTAGCGTAGTAGGATGATCGGAAATTCGCTAGCGGCGGCTTTCAGCGAAGTTCCACTTACCCACAACCATTATCTACAGTGGGATGGGGGTTGGGGGCTTTATCTCCATGGGGAAACCCAGGTGATTCCCCCGCAGATAGAATCGGCGACATCCCCGTCTGTAGACTGGAGCCTGTGATAACGCAGTCCGCTGACGGCTGTCGAGATTGTTACCCGGCAGTGACAATATGTCATCGAAGATAGCGCCGGACATGAGCAAGGAAGTGGATCTTGAACGGGTAATTTTACAGGCTCAAACATAGTCTTATATCTTAAATGTTACCTCACCTTCTGAGGTTGTTTCCCCTCGGTAGTTATCTTATGGCTGGCGTTCCTGAATTCGATATAAAATATTGTTGCGGTTCGCTGGAGTGCTTCCTCTCGAAACATTTGTTCCTGTCATCGACAACGTGATTGGCAACATTGAGACTCCACAAGTCGTTCCTTCTTTCAACTCGGTTCTCTAGCTCGTGATCCTTCTCTTTCTACGTTACCCCTGGGGCAATAGTCTCGGAAGATCACCCACAATGCCGCCATACACAAGCACATCTTTGGAGGGCTCATCCGAGAAAGTGGATCCTGCGACGAACGGCGATGTATTTCCTGAACGAAACACGAGAACGGAATGCATTGACATCGATGATAACAGGGAGGTCTTCCACGAAGAGGAGTACAGAGCGTTGGGATGGTAGGTCATGGGCCCATAATCGTTATTTCACTTTGGAAAGCATAGATCACTGATAGTGTGCATCATCTCAGGAAACGCACTGGCATCATTTTGATGAAGCTATGCTTTGCCACCGGCGTATTGACCATTCCATCTGCCTTCAGCTCAGTCGGGTACGGCCCGGGCATTGCTCTGCTTGTGGGTTGGGGAACGCTGGCAACTTGTACGCCCTCTATTTTGACATTGTCTTCGATATTCTTCTCTTCTACTGTCTTGCTAATCTTGCGTGCCGGAAGACTATGCGTACATCATGTACGTCTTTAGAATGAGATACGCCGGAGTTCATAGCATTGCCGATGCCGCGGCGCTCATGGGCGGACCTATTGCTCGAGAGATTGCCGGCGGTCTCTTCCTTTTGACTTGGATGTAAGACACATACTTTGATGGCCCAAGGGGTTCCATTCAACCAGGCTGACACCCAGCAAAGCCTTGCATCTGGATCTGGCTTCATCGGTTTGGCGGAAGGATTCAAAACGCTTTCCAACCGCCACGTCTGCAACATTGCGTGGACGCTCGTCGCAGCCACGTGCACCGCAATCGTATCTAGCATTCCCACTCTGGGGCGATTGTCGATCCTAGCATGGATAGGATTCGCTTCAATCTTCACGGCGGTCTTTATTGTTGTGTAAGTTCATCGACTCTTTTCAATTATCAGTCACTTGATGCTTTGTCGATATGCTGACAAGACTTTGCTCGAAAGCGTTGGTGTGACACAAGTAGATCGGCCTGCGGCAGCGCCACAGACCGGACCATACGATATGGAAGTACACGCCGTAGGAGCCCCTGGATTCGTGCCAGGAGTTGTCGCGGCCGTCAATCTTTTTAGTAAGCTGTGTTACTGCGAGGCATTGAATTGACATTTATGACACGAGAGTCCAGACTAACAGTCGTGAAGCTGGTTATGGATCTACACCAACCTTTATTCCCGTAATTGCGGAGATGAGAAGCCCGCGATCTTTCACCAAATCTCTCTTCTCATCTCAGGTTTTCCTAGCCTCATGTTATGTAGCATTTGGCACGGTGGTCTACATGTGAGTAGAATAAACACTAAAGAAATAGTTGTGTGCGAGGAAGGCATCTAACGAATTGCATACTTAGGTATTGCGGAAAGTACGTTGCGAGTCCGTCTCTAGGCTCTGCTGGCGGAACATTGGAAAAGATAGCGTACGGTGTTTCGATTCCGGGTTTCATCATGACGACGACTCTTTGGGTTCATCTTGCTGCCAAATTCGTACGATAGTGATTCTCTCCTACCAGTACGGATAACTACTGACGAGTGGGACACTAGCTTCTCGTACGCATCCTTCGCAACTCAGTGCATTTACAAAGCAAGACTGTGATTCATTGGGTGACTTGGCTGTAAGTTCCGATCACTTCTGCAGGAGAGAGCTTCGTCACACTAATGTCGGCAATATAGTGGCTCGACCATAGGTATCAGCGCGTTGGCTTTCATCATCGCTGAAGCGGTTCCATTTTTTAGCTATCTGGTTGGGCTCATTGGTTCTATTTGCTGCATGCCTACTTGTGTGAGTGCAAGCCGATTTACTTCACGGCGAGTCTCGATATGACTGTTCGCTAACGAATCGAGCCCCATGACAGCTGATCATCCCAGCATTCATGGGCCTCTACATGGACTGGGAGAAAAGATCCTTTAGTAGAGTCAAGATGTCTCTCTGTGCCCTGCACATCTTCACGATAGTCCTGGGATCATTCATGACCGTTGTGGGCACTTACACAACAATCCAAAGCATCATCGATGCGTACAATGGTAGAAGGGTAGGATCAGCTTTCACTTGCTAGAGTGAGGAGCGAGGGCGACGATGAGAAAAATTGGATATTGTGGCTGTCGATTGCCCTACAATAAAATTTAGATGGCTTGATGACCAGTCTGGAGGGGTTTTGCCCATGACTGTCAGTCTCAACAACATCTTACGCTGACCCAAATGAAGTGTATTAGGGGGGATATAACCCGCGATAGATCCAGCCTTAATAGTAATTCGAGAAGAATAAATGGGGTCATGTCTACATAACATTTCCAGTCACAAGAAGTGAAGGATTTGACATAAATATTGATGCATCATGATACCAAACTTGATTCATAAAGTGTGCGGAATCACTCTGAACATATTGATATGTACATGCAAAGCCCCGCTAGTCCCCAACCTGCCCTCTTTGGCCAGGCCCATATGTCTTTTCTTGCCCATCAGGGCCTCGCTCATATTTGCCTTGCCTCCTTGGAGCATAACTCTGGAGGGCTTGATCGTGTATAAGAGACAAAGCCCAAGCACATTCCCAGACCCGAAATCTCTTCGTTCCTTCCAACCAAACCTCATGTCTTCCGATTCAATTGCGTCTTCGGCGCCCTGAGAGACAGTCATATCTTTCCCCATCACAAAATCCGTTTTCGGCACAACGACTGGAAAACTCGTCATAACCACGCCTTTCATACAGCCGCCAGACTGTTTGAACCTTGTAGTATGACAGAAATGCCGCACCGGTCTCTTACTTCAATCTCCGGCGGCGAAGTATACCACAATTTCATGTCAAAGGCTTCTGTTTCTGCTTCCCCATCATCATGCTATCCCTCTGGATAGGACCGTGTCGAGGGAATAAGCCGGCTCAATTTTAGCTCGGGCGTGTGTCCCGAAGGATGGACGTATTATAGCATGGTCCATACATATGCCTTGGGCCCTACAACAGCTTACTGCTGCGATAGGTGTGTTTGCGCTAGTTTCTTTTCCATTGCATATGTTGCTTGTTGTGTCTATGACTTGAACGCTGACCAGAGATGAAGTGGATTCAACTACACTTGGGTCGATGGGTTGGCGTGCGCTGCATGGGGTCTCAAGACCGAAGCCCTTCCCAACCCCGAGGACGCGAAATCGGACCAAGTGCTCATGATACATACACCCTGGACAGTGACTTGGTATGCATCTGATACTGCGATCTTGACTCCAAAGCTACCGACTTTGGCGAGCCTAATGATAATACTAACGTGGACAACTGGTCAGACAATCCCGGATGGAGTTTATGACTACAAACCGCCGAGACTTGAGAGTGGTCCTGACTTTACAAAGATAGTCTTTTGATGTTCCTAGTTGCTGGAATTCCTGTGATTGTGTTCGTGTTGATCTGCTCATGCGTCTTTTGCTGCATAAGGAGCTGCAGAAAGAAGAGGCGGCAGAAAAAAGCTGCGATTGTTGCGGCAACGAACGACGCACCTGCTTTACCATCCAAATGATAGCTGAGTCTCAGTACGGAGAATCACTTTATTTTGCAGTCTTGATGTGGAATCTTATCGTGTAAATACTTCACTAAATACATTTTGAGCTCTTTGACTACGTGTTGCTGGATTTGAGATAGTCTCGGTAGGCTTCGTTATTTCAAGATGCAATGAAAACAGGCATCTCTGATAACGATACTGGAGAATCACTCATAGGATTAGCACCAACACATTGCTAAAATGACGCTGTCGATCGCGTGCAGCAAACAACCCGTTTCCCCGTGACACAATGTGTTTTGCTGGAGCATAGGGTCACACACTCACTTTCTATGTTTAGCACAAGCCTGCGGCTAGTCGGCTTGGAGTCGTGAAATAGTCAGAGCACATAGTTGCCTTTAACTTACTGAAAGAATATGAATCACCGAGAACCCGAAGATGTTCGAGTGACGGCCCTCAAAGCGATTTTATCTCGGAGGCAAGATTCTAGTAAGTTGGCCGTGAGCTGTGGGATGGCGGTGTATAACGACCTTTGACTAAACTCGCTGTAGCCTCATCCACAATACGGCCGGATCTTTCATTACGAATTTGCTGATTGAGAGACGGGATGCGACGTTGGTTGAGGTTCGGAAGAGAAGAGTCTAGATAAGCACAGGTGTTTGGTGCATGTGCTTGAGCAACAATAAATGCGCTGCTTGTCATTGGCTCATGATTCTTCTGTCGCTTGAGTGAAGCTCAAATACGATTTCATTTGGAGTGGAGTGCGGTCTGAAAAGAAGCCCTAGGTAATGTAGTGTGACGTGTCTTCCGGTTATATGATGCCAAGTTTCTCTCATATTCCTCCGCGAAGTAGCTACTCACTGTCAAAAACTCTTCGACAACCCCTTGACCGATTCCTGATGCTGTGATAGCAAAGTAGATCCGAAACAACTACCCGTAACCCACTAAGGTTGCATGTTCTTTTTCGGCTGAAACTGGATGGCAAGCTGTTGACTTGAGATCAGGTATACCACTGAGAACTATTTAGTTTTTTTTTTTTAAACCAGCTGAGATTGGGGGGTTTTCCCTTCATCTGCTCGGCCCAGCGAAATTTCATAACCAACGCAGGCGAGGATGCTGGGCTCTGCGCAACTAAGGCGCAGCTAGAAGCTGAACTTGGCACCAGGCAACCTTGAACGTAGTGATTCGATCCCCTTTCAGGAAGAATGGGTCCTTATCTCCCAGTGTATGCGAGTACTTAGCCGGCCAACAAGCTGTTGGAACTGTTGAGATTGGAGTCTAGACAGGCGAGGCCTCAAATCAGATCCAACCAACAAGCCAAACACAGAGGCCTGACCACATCTGGCAGAAACTTCTCATGATCCATCAAGAACCTTGCAGATTCGAGCATTATGCTTGGTCCGTCGGCTGTCTTGTCTTTTCTAGTAACGCTTTCCTGCCGCAGGCCACGCTTGGCTGTCACTGAGGCACATACCACCCAGAGCAGGACCCATTGGGTTTCCCAGATACCATTCCTCCCACAATAACTCTTCAATTTAGCTGTGAGCTTCGCCATTATTTTCTGTGCGTTCAATCTACATCCCGAACAGGCTCTCTTTGCTCCATCGCGATGAGGGCCACGGCAGTTGTCCTCGCGGCAGTAATTCGCTTTGTATACGCTCAAGACAGAGACGATATTCCTAAATGTGCTCGGGATTGTCTGGCTGTCAGTCCATCAGAACTCTGTCACATAATGAAAAACCCTGATTGCGCTTGCCGCCTCGGAACACAAGATTCCATGCGTACCCAATGGGCCATCTGTATACCAAGATATTGCAGGTACGAGGAAAAAAACATTTGAAGGTATGCCTCTCTCGGTCTTTCAATAAGAAAGGATTACCATCTTTCACTCCCTTTGGCTTATGAGCCCTGTATTGACGCTAAGTTCAAGATGTGTGGCCCCTCTTTGCGGCCTACTGCGTCACGAATGGCTGGCTCAATGCCTCCCAGACGGATTTGACTTCTATAGTGACCTTGACAACAACACAACCCATCATCGTCACACGTACTAGATCCGCCACTTCCGAGGGCGACGGCACACGTACTACCGTGGGTATCGAGACATCCATATCAGAGACAGAGGCTGGTTCAACCCCAGCACAAGCCGCAACACCGACGACGCAATCGACAGCCCCTATTGCCGAACCTACGTCTGCGATTGGTGGTGAGAACAGCGACTCCTCCTCCTCCTCCTCCGAATTATCCACGGGGGTGAAAGCTGGAATTGGAGCTGGAGCTGCCCTTGCGGCAATGTTGGCCGTAATTCTACTCTTTTGGTGGCGAAAGAGGAAGAAGGTCAGCTTGAGTGATAGCAACGAGAATAATATCACATCAGAGCTCGGCGGCGGGGACAAATCCGACAGGTATGAGTTGGATTCATATACGACACCATTGGAAGCCGATAAGAAGAGCCCTGCATCATTCACAAGTCAACAGAATTAGATAATGGCCGAGCTGGATGGAACTTCGTACGTATCGCCTGAGCCGAATATCTACGAAATGCACAAGGTCACGCCCCCAGTTGAGCAGGGCGCGGTATCACCGGAGGTCGTGTCCACGATTTCGCTCCCAAAGTCGCCCCTGTCATCTGAAATAAGTAGGATGTCACCGAATATGATTGAAGATCGTATTGGTTCCTCGCCGGAGCCCCTAATTGCTGATACGGCTGAGCTGGAGCACCTACTACATGAAGAGCGGCTCTTGAGGGACAGGAGACAGACGCTGGAGCAGTTGCAACGCATACAAGCGCATGAACTTGCTTTGGGGGAGCGAATAAGGACTCTGCGGCAGAATCGTAGCCAGGGATAAGCATTCAAGCACACTGCTTCACGGTGTTCCTAGAGCAATCGTTCACTAAGTGAGGTGCGTCGCCTGTCGAACGAATTTTGGACAGAAGAGGCCTAGGAGTCAGGGCGGCTATGGTTTATTTAAGGTATCCCCAAGTAATAAGATTGTCTCTTCCATACATGCAGTCCTTCGAATAAAAATCAATCCCGGTGGAGACGTTTGGCAGAACTTTGGCCGAAGTCAATGTTATTCTTTTCTGATTCCGCGCAGATACATGCATCGAAGCACGATGACGTCGCTCGATATTGCCAACCCACTGGGCCACAAATACCTAAAATAGGTAGTCAGTTATCACTACGGCTGAACAACGAACACCGAGGTCAAATTTTAGAATGAGGGGAACCTTCGAACCGACGATATGCGGAAAAGTGTTTCCGACCCGTCTGAACTCCTATACCACTTCACACCAACCTGTAGCGGGGAAACGTCGACCTACATCATAGATCTCCCTCGAGCAGCACTAGTTCGGTTGGTCTTAACTTCAACTTAACACGCCATTCTGTAAAGTACAGCTCTGTGTATATTTGTCTTATCCTTATCTCATTCGACGAAGCACAATTATGGAGACACACCGAGCTGCTATTTTGACTGTGAGTCACCATTGAGACTATTCTACGCGTCTATTCCTCTTCACACCATAGAACGCCGCGAAGACTTACGGTTTGTAGTCGCCTCAAGGCTCAGATGGGAAGCCCACATTCGCCGTGCGGGATGAACCGCGCCCAGTTCCAGGACCGAATGAGGTCCTTATCCGCCTATCAGTAACTGGTCTCTGTGGTTCCGATCTCGGTATGGCTATGGGCCATTTTGGACCCCTCGATAGAAAGATTCTCGGCCACGAGGGAGTCGGCCGCATCGCTGCCCTAGGCTCTAACATTGCGGCTCTGGACCGATCGGTCCAAGTTGGACAGCGAGTAGGTGTTGCCTGGACCCGCGACACGTGTGGCAATTGCGATGCCTGCGTAGACCTCGTCAACGAGGGTGAGACGCGCTGTGAAAAGACGCTCCACTCGGGCAGAGCGTACGACGGCACGTTTGCCCAGTATACGCTCGTACCATTGCGGTACTTGGCGAGGCTCCCTTCCCAGTTTGACGAGGTGCCTGATGAGGAGGTTGCGCCCATCCTTTGTGCAGGTGTCACGGCTTACAAGGCTATTAAGAATTGCCATGTAACGCCAGGTTCATGGTTCGCCATCTCGGGAGCCGGAGGAGGCGTTGGCGCTTTGGGCGTCGCGTATGCCCGTGCCATGGGCTATCGCGTCATTGGCGTCGATGCCGGCCCCGAAAAGGGTGAGATCTGTAAAGATCAGGGAGCCGAGGTCTACATCGATGTCACCGAGCCTGGAACTCTAGCGGAGAAAGTCAGAAAGGCAACCGGAGGCTATGGGGCAAAGGCAGTGGTAGTCGCAGCTACGGCAACTGCTGCCTACCAGGATGCCTTTGAGTTGCTGGCGCCGTTCGGAACGTTGATGTGCGTTGGCATTCTGCCGTGGGAGGCGAAAGTGAACTTCAATCCCATCTGGCTTATCGGAAAGGGTTGGAAGATCCTGAGCTCATCTGTTGGATCACGTGCCGATATTCTTGAGGCTTTAGAATTTGTCAAACGCCGTGCGGTCGTTCCCAACGTTCATGTAGGAAAGATTGACGACTTGGAGGAGTTGGTGCAGACTATGCACGGTGGCCAGGCAAGTGTCTCTCAACCATGATCGTGTGACCCCTTTGCTGACTTTATCACAGCTGAAGGGCAAGTGGGTTCTGAAGCTAGACTAAGCATGGGGAACTGGTCCACATCCTATTTTTATGAGTATAGGTAAACAGACTTCAGAGTGTTTGAACAACGACAGACAGGCGAACATGAAGTTTTTTTAACAATGCAAATAAAACCGAGCCCACTTGGCGAAAGACAAAGTCGAATGTAGTACTATAGCAGACGTAAGCAAGAGAACTACCGGGAACTAGTGCATCTACTTCCCTATTAGGTAGAGAGAATACTTGACTTTTCTTTCTTGGACCTTTCTACAGCAAAACGCAACAAGCCTCAACATTGAAGATAAGTTGGAATGGTTTTTGGAAACAACGTCGAGAAGCGCCAATGAAAGCAGGAAGAGTACGACGATTGCACAGCAAGTGATTGATCTGGAAATCTAAATCACGCGTGGCCATGTAACTCTCTGTTTCGGGATGATTTAGAGTTCAATCAAATTATGCTAAAAACTCCTTCTTTGATATGGTCTTCCCTTTCTCCTTTTTTTTGTATACTCTGAAGGTTGGGCGCGAGATCTTGACTCTAGTGCCTTTGATTCATAGCTCCTCCACGTGTGCCCAGGGGTTAAGTTCGCGAACCCACCATCTCACGATGCAAATCTGGGCCTTTAATCGCAACGACGGGCCATCTTGGCCTTCTCCGACTCTTGGTAGACAATCCCCCAGCTTTTCCAACCCAAAGCAGAAGTATTGGGAGATCTTCAGGGGGCCTGCGACACGCGACAGGCCGGCTACTTGCAAAGGCCCGGACACGCGGAAGTAATGTCGATTATCACCACGTGAAGCAATATCAGGGTGAATCCATTGTTTCGGGACTCCAAGGCTGAGCGTTTTAGGCACGAAATTTTCACGACTCATGCTCACGTCTGAAGTTCCCGGCCGCAGCCCATCGCGTGTGTCGCCGCGCGCTCTGTGCTTTTCGCTCCCCTTCTTCCCTTCCGAGTTTGCCCCTCCTCACAGCGGAGTCCATCCCCTCCCAGAATCCCGAGCAAATCGGGAATTAATTTCTTCAACAACTCTAATCAATATTGAAGGTCCAGAATCACGAGAAGACAGAAGAATGACTTTCTCTTGAATTTCGGCTTGGGTGCAAAGTATGGGCCGTCAATGTTGATCGAGCAGATTCTCTGCTCGCAATGCCTACAAATCGGCCGCATGTCGGCCTCGGCACAACCTCAGTCGAAAGTGATCTTGGCAGCCTTTCCTTCGCCCGTCCTGGATGGCAATGACACCTTAAAGACACTAGCGTAATTAAATGCAATCAATTGTCTACCGCGCTTGGCAGGTAAGTTGGCAGAAGCACTGCACGCACGGCTAGACCGGACTTGGGCTTTCCTCCGATTCCCGCGCGGTTGACCATTCACCGGTGCCAGGCAGGGCTGGCAGGGCGGCACGGATTCGAAAATAGAACCTCCTTTATTTGCGGGCATATCCGCGGGCTATCAATTTTGCGCGCGACTGTGGCAAAAATCTCTTTCCTCTCGCCTATGTTTCAGTTTTCAGTTGCCAATTGCGGGAGGGGGGAAGAGGAGAATCACGGGAGGGAGGGAGAGACGCGCGAAATCGGAAGAACGCACGACCGGGGTCAAGGCCTACGACGACAGGGGAACAACAGCCGACTTGTGGACTGTGGAGGTTCTTGACGGATACGTGGGCAGTTGAAATGTCTCTTAGCAGAAAGTATGCGATGTTGAAGAGTGCTATCGCCTGTCTGGCAGTCGATTTGAGTTTTGTACGAAAGTGCCCGGAGATAGAGCCATGAAACGCCTAAACTTTGCTCTCAGTCGGACGGCAGAGCAGAAGGGCAGATATTTTCAGCGAAGGAACTCTTAAAAGTCCGACTTTGTCAGCGAGAGAACCCCGGGCGTGTTCGTCCTTGGCTGTTTTTCGGAAACTTGGGGCTTTGCCTTCCAGAGGTTATCCTGTCATCAATCAACCAAAGGCTTGTAAGCGAACTAGGGACCCCGATCCATGTCCAGGGGTAAAAGACGTTGCGATGCCGCGATGGTTCGAAGGGCTCCACTCCGTCTAAACCTTGATATTGCTTTGCCCACATTAAGCAAGGCTTTTAGCGGGATGACTGGGTGCCGAGACCAGCCTCCCATTCTCAACGGGCCTAGTGACAGGCTTCTAGCGTCTTCACATAGAGCCTGCAAGTTAATCAGTGCAAGTATTTCATAAAAATTCCTGCCCAGACTTATGCGCCACCAATGGAATTGCGTGATCGGCTGCCTCAGACGATGATACGCATGGTCGGTATGTTGACTGATCGCCGTGTGTAGTGGGTTTTGCAAGAGCTGAAAAGTCCGTAACGCGCTCGCTTGGGAGATGGGAAGGGGATCCCGTTCATATCGACTCTCCAAAAGGCTGGTAGGTTGGCGACAGACGCGCGCCACAGAGTTGGGATGACGGGCTGCCGCTCGAAGATTCATTCATCTTTCCACGGCTAATTCGGGGAACGCATTTGGAAATCTGACACAAATCCCCACGTGGGACTGCGCAATTGCTAACGATTTTCGGACTATGCAGTGGGTCTGAGTGCTGGGTACTACGTTCCAAAACGCCAAGTGTTGATTAAGGAGACCCTGCCTTAGTTCACATGCAACTCTGGCAGAGTTGGCTATCCAGTCCGTGGTACCCTAGGTGGTATCTCGGAACTCTCTGAGGCGTATCATCAGCCTCAAGGGAAGCCTCAAGTTTGGGAGGCTAAGCATTGCCTTACCCAGCTGATGTTAATCGCGCAAACTCAAAGCCATTTAACCGCACGTCTTTCGACGACTTACGTCCTGCCTATTATGCTCTCGTCTGGGGGCCTTGGCCAAGTTCAGATGGCATCACGGACGTCTATCACACAATAAATAGAATGCACAGGGGCATAGGGAGGGCCCCACGTCCATCAACAACTTCATGACTCGAACCTTAGCCCCGTGACTCCATCAATGTAACGAACAGCCAATCCCGCCCAATCCACGGTTCTGGTTGAGCAGCGCACTGGCTTTTCGTACAAGATGATACCCATTTCCACCCGTCGCCCGCGAGGTTCGCTCGCGAGGATGCCAACCAACATCCATTGGCGTGCGGGTTCACGATGGCCTTCGATGCGGCAGTCGCATCTGTCACCCTGACGGGCAGCATACTTTCGTTCCTCGCGACAACAGGTGTATTAATTTCTTTCGTTCTCTACCATGAACATCAGCGATCTTTCCGCCATGCCCTCGTGCTGAACCTGACGTTGGCCGGTAAGTTCTGCCCCTCGTCCAGGTCCTACTTGTAAGAGTGCGAGCGCTGACTGTGATTGCTGGGCGAAAAGAGTTCATAAACTCACTTGGCAACACTATTTCAGGCATCATCTACATCAAGAACAAAGAACTTCAACCGGGCGCAGCATGTGTGCTCAACGGCATGGTCGGCCAGCTGTCGGTGCAAGCGTCCGACTTCTCTATCCTCGCCATCGCGGTCGTCACCTTCCTCACTATAACACGGAAAACCTACATGCCGAATGCGTCAACCTTCCGAAAGGTCATGATATGCCTCTCCGTCTGGATCGTACCGCTCATCACCAGCACGACAGCGACTCTTATGGGCACTATGAAACCCGTGAGCGGCAACTGGTGCTGGATAACCCGAGAACGGCCCGATCTTCGATACGCACTAACGCACGGCTGGCGTTTCGGCATCATCTTTACCACGATCCTCATTTACCTCTATGTCTGGTGGTACCTTGGACGACACTTTCGCACAATGGTCAGCACATCCGATCCGTTGTACGATAGCGGAAACTCGAATGGCAATGTCGTCACATCATCGATACGGAAGAAGCAGGGATTCGAGTCGATACATACTCCCGAGCTAGAGATGGACCAGTTCGAGCGAGCGAATCCAACATGGGATGAGCTGCCACAGTCCTCACCAAATCCCCTGCAAGGCCAACAAACGTCGCCTGTCGCCCCGCGGAGCGCGCCAGCGGCCTTGGCTAGGAGACCGCCGAGCTCTGAAGACGATGAAGACAAGGAAATTGCGGTAGGCGGCAGGCGGCCATCAGCGGTCAGAATGGCACACTTTGCCGAAGACAAGATCGACGAAGAGCCAGCAGGCGAGCAAGAGCCGGGGCGGAAGATGTCGGCTCGAATTTCGCGATTCGACGATATTGAAATGGACATGAGCCAAGCCTCTGAGGCTCGGTTCTCATACCTCGAGCAAGAGGATAAATTACACAAGAGCGCTTCTGGGGGCCCGTCACACCTCCAGAAGGACATGCTTCCACCAGCAGCAATTGCTGCCCAAGCCCAATTTGCCCAATACCGTATGGACAGCGGTCCGCCACGACGGCCGTCAGTGTCCATCTGGAAAAAGACTCACAGGGCCAGAAGCTCTACATTATCAGCATTATCATTCAAGATGCCGGGGACTCGGGAGCTACAGTCCCGAGACTTTCCGGTGAACCCGGGTATCAACCAAGTCGACAGCAGAAAGAGCGCGCCGCAGAACGTGACCGCGACAATGATGAGCGACTTCCCGATCCGTACACAGACGAGGAAAGTCGAGCGCGAGATCAAGCGCATGATGCTCCTCAACGCCTACCCGGTCATGTACGTGGTGCTCTGGATCCCTGGTCTCGTCAACAGATTGATGGAGGCGTCTGGGAACGGCTCGCAGAGTCGTGTTTTGGCGGCGCTGCAGAGCTCTAGCCAGTTTATCGGCCTTGCAAATGCGGTCACCTATGGCTTCAATCAGCATGTGAGGCATAGAATAAAGGGCGATTTATTTACATGGCTACGTCGAAAATGAACAGTTTATCATAAGAAAGAGCCGGAAGTGGCAGGATGAGTTACGAATCCGACGAAATAATACATTTCTAGAATACCCTATTAGTTAGTCAATCAGAAGAATGATATCCTTGATTGCGATTTCAGAATTTTTGAAAAACGTTTTTGCTTACTTGCGCAAGTTGCCTTCCCGATTGACGACCATGGACATAAGTGTTTTGGATCGCCTGCTGTACACGTAATATTAACCGAGAATATGCTGCGAGGTATCTTAACTTGTTCATTGAACTCTTAGATAAATATTGACCTGTGCACATTGGAAGCTGTGCTTCATTGCGGACCGTTCGATCATTTCGACCGGAGAACTCATCAAAAAGCTCACTGACAAGACCAGGGCACCTGAGGAGAGTCATATTGCGTTGCTTAGCAGGTGAGGCCTCAGGCCTAAGCAGGCAAATTGTCCGTGAACAGGCGAGCTATGACTATGAAGAATTGATTTGAGCGAGAGTTTGACCAGTTCATAGTGTCAACCAATCCTGGCCCTCGTACCTGATGGGACTAGACCTGAGCGATTCAAGAAGCAACGAATCGGGCCGGTGGCCAACCCCGGGTTTCTAAAGACCAGCGCGGGGTAATCGGGAGTTCTCCGGAGGGCCCGGAGACGGGGGTGGAGCAGAGATTATCTTAGACTGAACGACAAAGAATCAGCAGCTCTTCCGTCTCTTATCTACTCGCATCAAACATTATCGGCCTCCACCAGCCGAATTCGAATCGATCTCTTGTTATGACAGAGAGGGGGAAAATAGCTGCGGGGTTGGCTCGCGATGTTCATCTGTGATATCAATATGTGGTTCAGCTCGAGCCACGGTTGATAGAGTTGCTGACTAAGTTGGAACAGAACTCAGTCATGATACCAGTGTGTTCACCTAGCCCGAGTGTTAATACTCTGAATAGCTCAGACGAGTGGATTCTCCGTCAGTGTTCTCGCAGAGAGCTGAACAGAGACCTTGCAACTTTCAATCTTATTCACGCCTCAAAATAGTAAGTCAAGTCGAGGTCGAGCCGCGAATCACTTTCAGCGTACCGCAATCTGGCGGGGTAGCTCAATCAGCAACCCCGCATCGCTGATTGACGAACTGAGCGGAAGCTCCAGAGAACAGACCAAGTATCTCGCATCGCTTCGGAAGCAGGCCGCCACGTCACGGCACCGCTCAATTAAGGAGAAAGTTCAGCCGGGAAGACATTACGTACCAGAAACTGTAAACTTGATGACCTGCAAATGGCACTAGACGAAGACCTGAGATGTGATAGAAGTCCCGATAAGACTGGAAGGGCAGGATACTACCTTACATGCCACCATCGATAATGGGAGCTCGATTATGCAAGACTGGAATACAAAAGCTCGCTCATAAGTCTTGGCATGCATGTCAGATGAGAAAAACTGCCTATCTTGCTCTCTTTATCTAGCCATGACCTCTTGTTTATCGAGACCCTTTGGTCAAGATTCCATACCGGCCCGGTGGGGTGAAAGGTTTCCTCGTCGTTCGGCCAAGACCACCGGCGTCTTACCGACCCTTTGGACTTGGGTATCCTGCCGTAACGCCCGAGCCTTGGCGATACTTTGGCCTGTGTAGCGGCTGCTTGATCTGTTATCTCGGTTTCTGTCGACCTCATTATCTACGCCCAGCGACATCGGATCTCACAAGACAATAAAAATGAGACTTCGGCCGGGCTTGTCTAATATTCTGACAGTCTTTTAGGAGCTCAGTCAGAAGTCTCCTACAATTATCATTCAGTAGCAAAAATGCTTCTAGGACGGTCTCTCTTAAGACTTTTGGCCCTTGGTGTGGCAGTCGAGGCATCTTCTGCAGCGAAACAACACGGGCTATTCAGGCGGGCGGCAAACATCACCACCTGCAATATCAACGAGGTCGCGCCCAAGGTCAAGGCGCCGAAAGTCAACGTCTGGGCACCCATATCCCCGGATGACAATCTCGCTGTCTGGAATCTACTCCATGACCCGGCAACAGGTCTGAACCTCACAGATCCTAACAATGCTACGATCACGGACAACTATGTCTACTGGATCGACACTCTTCATACCAATAAGTCCACTGTCCTCCCATACCTCGGAGGCACTGCCGACCCGCCGCCAAAATATGCGCGAGTAGTTATCTTCAGCGGCGGCTTGGAGGTCCCAGACTCGCAGGAGTACATGGTCGGACCCCTTCCCGTTGGCAACGGAACACAGGTGGAGAAACTCGACTACATCTTCAACGGAGGTAGTGGCGGCAAGATCCCGTACAACAGCCGTTATTTTGATGGTCCTCGCTTGACAGCCACGGAGCCGCTTCTCGTGTCTGTCATGAGCAACATCACCGACATCACATCCGAACTCATTGGTGGAGTTTACTACGGCTTGAGTGATAACCGGACTACGCTCACTTCCACCAGCGGCACACCCCTCTCTTATGATGGCACCCAAGCATTTCGCACGGTCATGTTTAGATATCCCAACACAGCGACGTATCTGACGCCCTTGGACTTCTTCGTCATGCTAGACGTCACCGGCACAGATGCTTCACAGTACAAACTGAGAGGTATCGTGACGAATGAGAAGTTCTTCCCTACAGTCGCTGCCCTGCGCTCTGCTTGGCAGGCAGGAGAGCTGAAGGAGCAGTTCAAGCAAAGCCGGACTACCGACTGGGGTCTCCTGGATCTTAAGCCTGACATGGGAGTCAGAGACCTCGAAATCAAGCTAGCGCCTCAAAGCCTCGAGGTTGGTGGCAAGCGGTACAAGGTCGACGAGGAACAGAAATATATCGAGTACATGGGGTGGTCCTTCTACACATCGTACTCGCGTACCCTCGGATTGATGTACTATGATATTAAGTTCAAGGGCGAAAGGGTCATCTACGAGCTCTCGCTTCAGGAGGCTGCGGCTCAGTACGCCGGGTTCACGCCCAAGGCTGCTGGAACAGTGTATCACGACACATACTACAGCCTTGGTACTGACCTAGGTACGCTGGTCGAGGGTTATGACTGTCCTTTTGGCAGCACTTTCTGGAACGTCACGTACCACGAGGGCAACTCATCTGTCGTAAACACGGACGCAATTTGCATTTTCGAAGCCGATGCTGGATATCCCGTCTCGCGCCACCGGTACGGGAGTGGCAATGAGTACGGTTTCAGCTATCTGGGCACAGTCAAGGCTTCGGCTTTGACTATGCGATCCGTAGCGACTGTTGACAACTACGACTATATGTTTGACTACTCATTTCACGTTGACGGTAGTCTTGAGGTCACTGTCCGGGCATCCGGCTTCCTACAGTCCTCATTTTACTATCCAAACCAGGAAGCGTTTGGGCCCAGGATCCAGGAGGCGACGATGGGATCACTGCACGACCATATCCTGACCTACAAAGCCGACTTTGACATCCTCGATACAAAGAACAGTCTCGAGGTAAGCGAGCTCGTACTAGTCAATACGAGCCAGCCTTGGTACCCAGAGCTCGGCTCTTTCGAGCAGATGCAGCTTCAAAAGTCTACAATGACGGACGAGGCACAATTCAACTGGCAACCAAACAACGCGGCCATGTACTGCATCGTGAACCCTAACGCTACAAACGTTTGGGGGGAGAAAAGAGGCTACCGAATTGTCCCCGGCAAGTCCAATATCCATCTCACGCCGCTCAATTCTCCTTGGACCAAGCACCAGACGCCGTTTGCCAAGTCACATCTAGCGCTCTCGAAACAACATGACACGGAGCCGTACGCGAACAGCCACTCTAACGTCAATTTGCCCTTGAAACCGCAGCAAGATTTCATGAAGTTCTTTGATGGAGAGGGTGTCGAGAACGAGGACATCGTTCTGTGGTTCAACCTGGGCATGCATCACTTCACCAGGTCCGAGGATATCCCAGTCACGCTTTATAGCGAGGCTGTGAGCAGCATTGTCTTTGCGCCGCAAAACTTCAATGATCGAGCGCAGGACGGCGATTTGCAAAACAGGAGATGGATCGTTGTGAATGAGACTACCGGCGAGCTCGAGTCGGACACTTATGGAGTTGAGCTGCCTTCTGAGTGTGAAGTTGGCTTTTCCGAGCCTGTCCTTGGAATCAAGAAGAATGGAGAAGCCTGAGGTCTTGACAGATGATTTGAGGCTGCGCGGGTAGAAAAACAGGAACAGGAAACACTTTAGCGGTAACTCAGCACCAGATTAACGTAATGCACAATGTGTATTTGTTCCTCACAGATGATGAAGGTCAACTTTCACCAGCTTCATATCTTCAACTTTGCTGTCCATGTCTGGTAACACAGGACCAGCACTACATAGTATTCTCCCCAGGTTTCTTGTCCATAACTGGGCGTAGTATCTTATAAAAGACAGCCCATAAGAACACAGAAACAAGCGGGAAGACACCCATCAAGTAAAGCGCAAAGCTGTAGCTCCTGACCTGCGCCACCCATCCAGCCAACGAGTGCGAAATAGCAGCGCCAGTCTGTCGCGTTATGCCACCAACAATGCTCATCGTGACATTAACATGGCCGGTACCGGCCATCATAACGGCTAGTAGACCGGGAATAGCAACGCTCTGGATACCTGCGCCGATGCCATCGAGGATCTGGACGGGCCACACACCCCAGCTCTTCATTACACGGCCTGCGACAGCAGCGCGGATTGGTAAGACGGAGTACGAAAGCAAGACGGCAGACCAGTAGCCGTAGCGACCTGATGCCCAAGCAGACAGAATTGATACAATGACCATGGTGCCCTGCGCGATGATGACGGTCAAGCCGGTGGTGCCTGCGGGATCCCCCTCTCCTGCGGCCACCAAGGCTTGGCCGTAGAGAAAGAGGATCGCAGCGTTGCCCAGGTGGAACATGAAGATTGTGATGGCGACGATACCGAGAGGCCAGTTGTTCTGAAAGATTTTGATCCAGTTGTAAGAGAACTTGGGCTTCAAACTCAATCGGCGGAAGCTGGCCTTGGGGCTGGCAATCGGAGTCTGAGGGAGAGGAGGCATGTCACCCCTTTCTGCAAAATCCTGGGTTTCAATTCCCCTTCTTTCTTGCATTTGATGGGCGCCATTATTACCCGCGCTGTGCTCAGGGGCAGGCCCTCCCCTCGCGGCTGCATGATCGACTGCTCTCTCCGGTAGAAGGAAGACGCTCCCTATTGTTGTTGCGCAGAATGCCATGACGAGGTAGAAGACAGCTTTCAACCCGAAGCGCGAGCCCAGTAAGCCGGCGAGACCCGCGCTGACCATGTTGCCCGCGTGATTAGCTGCCTGGTTTCGTCCGTTGAGTACGCGGAAGCTGTGTTTGTTTTTCTTGTTCTGCGTGTTGCTGCCTTCTTGTTCAGGGGAGCAGATACCCAGTGTGAGCGCCACGAGGAGAGGCATCATGCTTGTACCTGCGACGGCAGACACTATTTGCGTAGAGAAGACGAGGGCCGGATGTGTGGAGATAAGGTTGAGTCCTTGAGAAACACCTACAAGGAGGGCGCAGCCAGCGACAAGAAAACGCTTGTATCTGGCAACATCGAGCATCAGCCACCTCATGGCGATAACACACCATGCTATACTGAGGGTTTGTGGAGAGTTGGGATACTCACTTCGTTGCGTCTATTAGCGCCCCGATCGGCCCCGTCGCGATGATGGTAGCAACACCGCCCGCCGTACTGACCATGCCACGCAGCCCGGGTTCCCATCCGCGCTGTTGCAAGTAAACGCCAAGAAATGGACCGAGCCCGTCCGCAACGTCTCCCATAAAGAAAGACATGACAAAGAGGGCCCACCGTGCCCGTCTTTTCAACTTCTCATCTTCCACCTGGGTTGAGTCACAGTCTGGATTTGCCTCTTCCTCGTCTATGTTTTCATTGGCGATGGCAGGTGACCCTGGTGCTGATGCGGTGATCGGTATCTCCTTCTTGTCGTCAACGTCCACATCTGCGTTGGGCTCGGCCGGATGCAGCGACTCGAGGCTTATGTCGTTGCGCGGGTTGGGCTGTGAATCCTTGGCGTCCATTGTCTTTCACCGTGAAGGGGTGACAGATACTCCCCCGCGCCCTTGAGCCTCAAAGCACTGGGTAGTCTTTCGTTATAAGAGGCCCCGTCCGATCTATCGAGACAAACCGGCCAAACTGACACAGACAGAGGTTCCTACGTCAACGACGGGGCCATCCCCGAATTGATGCGCGCAGCGGTGCCAAATTTAGATACTTGATTAAACCTTCCTTTCTCAACGCACCTTGATTTGGAGCTGTCTGCGTCTTGACAAGCTTTCAGTTGGGCGGTAGACAAGGTTAGGTGCTACCTTATCTTGAAACGCGCAAACACACAAAACAGCTTCACAGCGAACACTACATCTCACCCCGCTTCTCACAGTCGCGAGACACTCGGGCATTAAGTAGTTCGGCCGAACTATGTGGGAGCATGATGTCGGCTCGGCATGGGCGGTTGAATGGCGCTTTAATAACATCACAATTTAGGGCTGTCGAGTCACGAGTGTGCAGACGAAGTTCCTTTAGTAAATATGAAATTTCGCTACCAGTATCTATCACACTAAACACACTCTTTTGTGGACGAAGTTTGATAATCTGAGCTTTTTCGTAACCAGCTAAAAGTAGGCACTTTGATTATGTCCGTGATGCCTCCCAATACACAAGCGCTATATCAATTGGCGCTTCATCAATTGGCTTGAGACCCCACAGTTCGATGTTGACTCTACTTCATTCCTCTCACATCAAGCACGATACTCTTGCCGAACGCGTGAGTCAATTGGATTGAACGACAGTTTCAGTCCTCCAGTGTTGTTCGAACTCTCGGCTTTTGGCTGCTTCTGCCAGGCCTCTTTGGCCAGATCTCGTATATCCCTCATCAATCCGTCTGGCTGCTGTAGGGCAGCAAGATGACCCGCGTCATTGCGCTCTGTGCTCTCTCCAAGTTAGATTTTGGTATCTTCAGGTCCAAGGGCAGGTCAATGGATCATACCTCTGTAGAAGACCAGATTACCATTTTGCTCAACTGCTCGCTTCACTGCTCTCCTGGACACTACATCCGTGTCCCAGGAACAGGAGGTGAATCCAAATGGGACCCTGATTCTATCGTCTTCGTCCATAGGCAAATCCGGAAAACTGTCATCAGTTGGAGGGTCATAGTGTGGCATGATAGAGGACATGATGCATTCGGTGAAAAAGTACAAAGATGCAGTAGTCAGAATGGCTTTGGTCCAGAATGGGTCGTGCTGGCACTCCGGATGGGGAATACCCTCGTTGTACCTTTCGAGAATCCAAATGAGTAGTCCTAATGGGTTATCGTTTGATGCTATACCCACTGTGTAAGGCTAAGCGATTAGACATTAGTTAGTATTCACCGAATATTGTTATTCGGGAAAAAGATCTTACGCTGATTTTTCCCTTCACGGCATATTCCCTGTGGCCCTCTACCCAATCTTCACATTTCCTGAAAGCCTTCCTCTCTCGTTCAGTGAGCTTGAGATCTTCTGGCATTGGAATGAGAGCAGAGTTGCAGTGCAGGAGCTTGCAAGAGTCGGTGTATTTCGCACCAAGCTCGCGGCCTACAGCGTGGACCAAGTCGCCACACTGGACCATGTACTCGGTGTATCCGAGGCTCTTCATCAACTTGTCAAAGATGCGTGCATTATCTCGAAGCGTCCAGTGGTCCTCATTTGGTGAAGAAGACGAACAGAACCCCGGCATGCTTGGTACAACGACGTGGAAGGCTGGATCATCTGGGTTGCTGGGATCTGATAAAGGACCCCATACCCGACTGAACTCCCAGAACGTCCCAGGCCAGCCATGAATAGCGAGTAGGGGAATTGCTCCGGAGTCCTTTGATCGAGCGTGGACAAAGTGGATCGTAAGATCCTCAATCGTCGCCAGAAATTGCGGCACCTCGTTCATTTCTTTTTGGACCTCGTTCCAGTCAAAGTCGTTCGCCCACATATCGTAGAGATATGCCGCTGTGTGATACTTAGGCCCTTAGTGACATTAGCTGCGTAACTTAACATCTTGGAGGAACGAACCATAATTGCGGTTACCGCCGTCAGAGACAGGAGGATCAGGAAGCTTAGTATCCCGAATCTTGCGTTGTAAACGCTCAACCTTTTCGCTTGCAACGATGAACTTGAACTCCTTGATGACACACATGACGTAAGTGGTTTGGGCCTTGATCAGCCTACGGTGAGTAGGTAGTAGTAGCAGATTACTTGGAAGACATGAAATGAGTAGGTAATTTTCTCCAGAATGGATGACTTATCACAATGTGATCGGATGAACTGTAATCAGCGATGTAATCATAGCCGAGGTTCTGCTGCACAGCTTTGACCCGTCTCGAAACATTGCGCCTGGACCATGTGTTATTTACACGTGTGATCTCATTCCCACTGCACGGCGCAGTCGACACCACGAACCATTTTTACATATCAAAGTCAGGTGACGCAGAGACTCAGTGGAACGGAAGAAGACATGATGGGAATGGGCAGAAATCCCGAACAGATGAAATACGATGAAAGAAATGTGTTTTCGAGCCTATTACGAGTCGTAACTAATCAGTCCATCCATGGTCCCCGCATGAAGCCCACCAGTAATGGGTATATCCGCCGCAGTCGTGTGGCGCGCAGCATCACTGAGAAGGTAAACGACGGCACCAGTAAGGTCGTTTTGAGTGCTAAGTCTCTGGTTGGGTGGCGCGAGCCACATCTGCTCTCCCTCACGCTTACTCTTTGATGCTCGGACATTTCTTGTCATTTCTGAATCCACGAATCCGGGAGAGATGGTGTTTACGCGAATATTATGTGGTGCGAGCTCGACGGCCAGGGCCTTGGACAGCATGAAGACGGCGCCCTTGGATGCGTTGTATGCCGCCATGCGGTAGCCGGGAAGAGCAATGTGCGCGGATTGGGAGGCCAGTAGGACCATGCTGCCCCCGGAACCTTGCTTCAACATTTGCTTGGCCGCAAGTTGAGCGACGAAAAATGTTCCGCGAACCTGTCTATTCATAAGTACAAACTTGTGTGGTTAGTGCATCGTCGGAAAGGCTCACGTTGATTTCCTGGATGCGGTTGAACTCGGCCCAGGTTTGATCGAGGAATGGCTTGTCTATGGCGATACCCGCCGCTGGGACACAGCCATTGATAGACCCGAACTCCGCAATCACCTTGTCGAATGCTGCTTGGATGCTTTCTTGTGACGTGACGTCCGTCTTGATGTAAATGGTTTTTGTGCCGAACTTCGCGGAGAGCGTGGTAAACTCATCGACGGGCTTATCCTGGATATCAAAAACCGCTACATTTCCGCCCATCTCGCAAATGGCGCGGGTGCATGCAAAACCGATGCCCTGAGCTCCGCCCGTAACGATGTAGTTGCGGCCGCGAAGCTCAAACATGGGCCGCACGTCGTCCAGGTGGTCGGAAGGCATGATGAACTAATTGAGAATAGACTTCAATTGGTGAATGAGTACAACGGCGTATAATCCAGAGCTCAAGCAAAGTAATTTGGTTTATTTTGGTCCTGATCGTTGGGAAAAGCCCATGTTCTTCCTTTATCGTGACTCCCGGCGAGGCTCGTGTAATCCCGGGATTGTCTTCGGAAAGTGGGTCATATCCCGGTTCCGTAAACTTCGGAAGCTCCGAAGACTAGGTTCCGCTCGCGCACCGGGTACGCTGTCCCGACTCTCTATCAGCCCGGATGGCATGACAGCTGGCGAGGCTTGATATCATTCATCCTGAATTCGGTTGATGCTGATCGTTCAACATTTGCTCGCGTGTTTGGATGCCGCACTTCTGTTCAAGTATTCGTGTGATATTGCACGTGAGCATCTAGCGATCTCATCCACGACTAATACGCTACCAAATCTCTCCGCAAAGAGAATGTCATCCAACGCACCAGGTGCTTGTTGCACTGTCGGTACACTTCATGAGTGAGACTCTTACTAGGTGCACAACAACAACCATTTTCGAATACTAGCTGACCTCTTGATCTTAGGGGTACTCCAACAGGGAAGTCTGTCCAGATTGATGGGGATATAGAAGCATATTTGGCTTTGCCCGCTGAAGAAAAGACTTCCCAGAAAGCTGTCTTGTATCTTCCAGATATCATCGGAATATGGCAAAACAGCAAGCTCATGGCCGATGCATTTGCTCGCGAGGGTTACGCCTGCCTCGTTCTCGACCTGTTCAATGGTGATCCGGCGCCGCTAAATATGCCTGAGAATTTTGACATCATGAAATGGCTACAGGAGGGCACTGGTGGGAAGAACCCCCACACCTCCGAGGAGATCGACCCGATAGTGGTCTCCGGCATCAACTACCTGAAGAGCCTGGGTATTACAAAAATTGCAGCGGCGGGCTACTGTTTCGGAGCCAAGGTTGGTCTTTGAGTGAACTGGAGAATAGGAGTCTGCTAATTCCAATTCAAGTACGCTGTGCGGCATTACAAGAGCGGGATTCAGTGTGGTTTCATCGCTCACCCATCATTCGTCGAAGCCGATGAGCTGGCCGCTATCACTGGCCCATTGTCGATTGCTGCGGCAGAATTTGATGACATCTTCCCGACAGGGAAGCGACATGAGAGTGAAGCTATTCTGGCTCAAACAAAGGAGAACTACCAGATCAACCTATTTTCTGGCGTTCATCATGGGTTTTCCGTTCGCGGTGACCCGAAGAACGAAAGGGAGAGGTTCGGAAAGGAGCAGGCGTTTTACCAGGCGATATCTTGGTTTAATAGATATTTCGGAGCAGCATGATGATCATTTGGTGGTCAAAAATTTTCAATCAAGTCGAAAATCACCTCGTCCACTTTCGCGCTCTATCGTCTTGACTTTTCTCAACTCAGTGATTTTACGTACCTTGTGTTCAATACCCGGAGGCATCAGCGGGCCGCAGGATGCATTTCCGTCCCGAAATATTTACCTCAATTGCAACTTTGCCTCACGCCTGGGTAGCGTTCCATGAAAAGGGCCGGTCGTAGTGCCGGTTTTGGTCAGAAACGGCGCCAAGCATTTCGATGGCTATGCCATGGCAACTACCCACCATCTGGTGGGAAACGTGGGGATTTCCCACATGATGCCCCCCGGATCGAGCTAGCAACCCCTAGCCTGAGATCGCAGTTTCCCACTCTCCATTCGCACAGATCATGTTTGCGGAGTCCTATGCATGGATAAACATTCAAGATGGTTTGGAAACGCAAGTGTTTACGATGGTAACGTTCTCTTCGATGCGGGGTTGCAAAGGAGGGACGATGCAACGATCATTTAGGCACGAGTCACGGGCACTCACTACTCTCCGTCTTAGTTGGACTATGAGTGATCCATGTGAATTTTTTCCTGAAATCAGGTCTATATAAAGAACTCTAGGAAGGAAAAACGCGTCAAAGCATAGCTATCTGGGAGATCTGACTTTGCCCATATACCTCGAAGATCACTGATATCCATAAAGCTATGAAGACCGTTGCTATTCTTCCACTCGCTGCAACCGTCTTAGCAACTGACCATGGCCCATCGGTCCGTAGCCCTATACCTAAGTACCTAGAGGCTGCAGTCAAAACCTTAAGTGTTGAAACTGACAAACAATTTTGACGAAGTACGGCGGCTCTGGACCTTATAAGTCGGTATGAAGCCTCCGAGAAACCCAGGATGATGGTCAGCATATCTAATGCAATTGAAAGTACTCCTTCGAGGTGGAATCACTTGTCAATCACACATTTTACCAGCCACTCGAGTCTGCAGGAGGATCTAGTTTGAAGCTGCCGGTGATCGTATGGGGGAATGGAGGTTGTAAACCATGGTAAGAATGTCACCTTGAAATTCTTATCAAGCCGCGCCTCATCTCATTTGAGGACTCTACTGACGAAGATACAGTATGTTCTTCACCGACACTCCAGAGAAGTAACAGAATCTTGACCCCTAGCTACGCAATCCAGTTGGCATGACCTTCCGTGGCTTTCTCGGCGAAGTAGCATCCCACGGCGCACTCGCCATCGCGACCGGGCCTGCTTACGTTGACCCCGAAACCTACGTGGCACCTCCAAGTGACCCATCAGTCGGTGCATCCGGTCAGAACCCTGCGGCTCTTACCGCAGCCATCGACTGGGTTCACGCCAACGCTGGAAAAGACGGCTGGAAACACATCGATGCGTCCCGCATTGGTGTCTGGGGCCAGAGTTGCGGAGGCCTCGAGTCTTACACCGCCGGCTTCAACGATACTCGCGTGAGCCACATTGGCATTTTCAACAGCGGTCAGCTGACCGAGACGGCGAGTAAGGAAGTTGCGGGCAATCTCACGAAGCCCGTGTTTTACACCTTAGGAGGACCTACTGATGTTGCTTACCCAAACGTTGGTTTTTTTTTTCAACACTTTGACAAATGAGACAATGGATTTGCTGACTTGAACTTAGGGCGAGCGGGACTACTCAGTCCTTCCCAACGCCACTTCAGCCTGGAAGGGCAACCATGAGCTAGGCCACAGCGCCGCTTTTGATGCTCTGAATGGCGGGATTCCAGCGATCGTGGGAAGTAAGATTCTCCAGTGGGTTCTCCGTGGAGACGAGTCTGCCAAGGCGTGGTTTACTGGTGACGGGCCTAGCTCTATTGGCATCGAAGATGTTGTGTACAAGAACTTGGATTCGATTAAGGTTACCCCTATCTAAAGTATCTACTCCGACTGCATTGGAAGCCCGCTACAAGTATTGACATATCTGCAATTGGCATGAAAAGTGCTCTACGAGACCTTGAGATGGCCCCAACCACCTCAACCACCATTTTCAGCTCTAGGAGCTAGCAATGCCGAATTGGAGAAAGCCACAGGCCGAAGGAACTTCTGCATAAGTAACATCATGTCGGTATTGAGGTCGGAAATGAACCTTCGGAGCAAACCCCCGTTGTGTCGACCATGGACTTAAGGACAGCACTCAATGCCGTTAAGAGTGAATTTCGTGGGGCCGTGCCAAGCATTAGCTCCATAGCGCGAAGAGACGTTTCCCACATGAGAATGTGGGAAACACTCCATGGTCAGTGGAGAATGGCGATCACTGATTGAAAGATGGCCCTCGATGGTCGGGGTCACTTGATCATGATCACACGACTCAATTCACCAAGTCTGTTGGCTTTGTCCTAGGGCATTTCAGTTTGATATCGTTGAAGCACTCATAACTTGAGGGCATTGTCCTGTTCAGCCATGGCAATGATCAATGCACTTCAACCAGGCCAACGAAGTAACCTATGTCATAAAGATGCATCTTTCTTTGCCAATTCTAGCAGTCCTTCAGATTCTATTATTCGCCAACTGTGTTTCCCCCGAAGCTGTGGTCACCTTGAATGGAACCGTTACTGGAGTCGAAGATAGTGTTAGGGGAGTTGAGAAGTTTTTGGGTATTCCATACGCAGAGCCCCCTGTCGGCGAGCGACGATTGCGACAAGCCATGCCATTGACCATACCACACGGCTCACTTTATGCAGATCATTTTGGTCCCTCTTGCTATTCTGCGAGAAATCAGGGCGTTGCGAGCGAGGATTGTCTGACTCTCAACATCTGGCGACCGACCAACCATAGTACCAACGGAACAAACGGAACGCTTCCTGTGCTAGTGTGGCTTTATGGAGGCGGACTTACCAATGGTTATACTGTAAGTGAACTTACTTCTGTTCAGCTTAAACCAGTAACTCATCAGGTTGTTGATACAATTGTAGGCCGACCCAAGGTTTGAAGGAACGCAGATAACCCGCATCTCTAGTCGGATTGGCAAGCCAGTCATTTTAGTCACTGTTGTAAGCTTCCACTTATTCAAGAATACTTTTGACTCTGACAGCATGTAAAAGAACTACAGACTAGGACCGTTTGGGTTCTTGAATGGAAAGGAGATGGCAGCACTGGGGTTGCTCAACATAGGTATGCTTGACCAACGCCTCGCACTACACTGGATTCAAGAGAACATTGGCGCATTTGGAGGTGACCCAAAGAAAGTCACTCTGGCTGGAGAATCGTGAGTCACCACCGCACGGCAGCTATTCTAAGCCCAAAGTACTTACTATGGTCCAGAGCGGGCGCAGTCTCGATCTACTCCCACATGATGGCGTACGGAGGAAGAGATGATGGGCTCTTCCGTGGAGCCATTCTTCAAAGCGGTGGCGCCTTTCCACTGACACCTCCGGACACAGCAGAATTTCAAAGCACCTTTGACGCATTGATAGTGAACACCAGCTGCGCATCATTCGTCGGATCAAGTGCTGAAGAGAAGTTGGCGTGCATCAGAAAGCTTCCTGTTGACGTTTTCCGGTCCAAGGCGGAATCAGCTACAGGCCAGTCAATAGATGGCGACTTTAGCCGCACATCTGTTCAAAGAGCCTTTCCAGCTGGAGAGTTTGTCAAGGTGGCTACTATTGTCGGAAGTAAGTTAAGTGACAAACAAGCTGCTCAGTCACGTGTGTTCTGATGACTTTTAAGCGAATACGGATGAAGGCACTACATCGGCTCCAACAGGAATCAATACTACCCAGCAACTGTTCAGCCCAGTTGGTAAGTTTTGCAAAGTCTCATTGATATGATCAAGTCCCATGTGCGGGAAATGCTGTGTTTGATCCTGCTCTGACCAGTGACGTCGACGTTATTAGCCAGGGGATATTTTCGTCCACAACTTTTGCCGAATGAGACAGTCTCAACACTAATAGATCTGTACTCTCCTGATCATAGATTGGGATGCCCGTATAACACCGGCCTGACTACATTCTCATCTGGGAGCCTAGACAAAATGGCTTGTTCTATCTTTGGAGATATAGTCCAAGTCGCACCAGCACGCATGCTTGCACAGAGCCTGGCCAAGGCCAGTGTTCCTGTCTACATGTATCGTTTCAATCACTTACCACACAATACTTCCGCACCTTTGAAAGCTATTGGAACAGGGGTTGAGCAATCATACGTGTTCTCGAACCTCATTCCAAACCAGCCTTGGGATCAAAATATGGCGTATTAAATGTCAAGTATGTGGATCACTTTCGTACATGATTTGGTCCCCAATCTTAGCGCTGCTAGTGAGTACTTGTTTCCCAATCTCCAAATACTTGGTGAAACAGAGATATCAACAATTATAGGCACCGGTTTGCCAGCTTGGCCTCAGTATGGCAAAAAGGCTTACAGTATCGTGCTCAACGGATACGGCTCTTGGATCGAGCCGGACGCTCATCGATCTAAGCCTATTCAGTATATCATAGATAATATCCTGAGTTATGGGGCAGCCTAAACAATATTGTCTTGGCTTAAGATGCACCTAAAAAGAAGAAGAACGGAAGGCTTTTGAGATGATGCGAAGTTTGATTGCACTGTCAGTTGTTGATCTTACATCACAACGAATCAAGTTGGGAATAATTCCAAACATGTTATCATGGATTACTTTGATAGAAGTATCGAGCAACTGATCAGCTGCAGCGTGCCTCCCAGGCGCCGATTACCTCCTCCATCTCTTGTGTCACACCCCAGTGTTGTGAGAGGCTATGTAACAAAATCCGGATGGAGCTGAGCTCATACAGTAAGTTCCGCGCTATCCAGTCTGCTTTAGGAGAGCCAAGGTTATTCCGCAGAAATGACAAAGTATTGCCAGTTTCGCCAGATAAAGATGGCATCGCATCGTCCTGTACGTTGTCGAGGCCATGGATCAGGACTGACTCCCAGTGCACAGAAGCCGGTACCACTATCTTAGACACGCCCGGAAGAGCAAACGAACTGTAGGTGGTGGCGGCCGCGAACAGCGCACCTGGCAAGCTCGTATCGTGTATGACGCCTAAGGGTACCTCAGATGCCAACCTATGAATCTCCAAAGCATGTAGAAGACACTTCCGCGCGGGAACACCCCGTGCCCATCCTTCCGGGTCGATACGCGTTGGCTCTTGTCTCTTTTTCCCACCAAAGATGCTTTGCGTGATGCCGTAGTGGTAGCACATTCTTCTTGCTCCTCTTGCGGTACTGACCACCAGATCGAGGCAGATGGCATGCCACCGGAGAAGACCTATCGTTCTATCCGCCGCGCTCAGTTCGGTGCTTAGGGATATTTCTTGTCGGAAGGAGTTCAAGGTCTTCATGACCTCGAGCCTGCGTTGAGGACCACCTTCGGTCTGATTCGTTCGCTGGAGGTCTGTGGCAAGAGACGATAAAATCTCTAGCATGACTTTGATATTGAGAAGTCCACGAAGGCCGGTTAATCGTTCGGGCTCACCTGTTCCTACAGCATGCGGACCTTGAAGGTCAGAAAATCTCATCGCCGGTTCATTGATAATTTCAGCATCATCTTTTGGTATCCTCATCTTATCGATCCATTCGTCAACTGTAGCGGCTGCGAAGATGTCTTCCCGACAAGCCAGTGGTAGTGACTTGGTTGCTGACCAAGTGTTGACTAAATTGCCGCTAAATTGCGACGCAACACCATCAATAACGCAAAGACCTAGCAAGGTTCGAAGTTGTGTCTCTTGCGCTGCCCAAGACTTCCAACCGTCCATCTTGACGCTCATCGTATCATCTTGCCGCGGTATTACATGCGGGCGTGCACTGGCGTCGTACATGCCACTGTATTGGGACCAGTGCATGCTCAAGCCATAAAATGTTTGACTTGTCATCCTCAAAGTCCGGTTCTAATCACTGATGTTCAGTAACACTGAACTCGGTATAAGAGAAGTTAGGATAACCGACCTTGGATAGAGCCGCGTAGGTTTGACTCAAGAGGGCAGTCAGGACTAACTCGACACCACTACATGTATCACGGTCTCTTCTTTGGCCTATCATCTCGGACCAAGAGGTCGCGATAGCAGTGTATGCGAGTCTCCATAAAGCTTCTCCCTGAGGGATTCAAGCGATTTGGTCAGTAAACCAGAAAGGTCATGTGCCAATTCCATCTTTCCAGTGTTTTACTTACTTTCGCAGTGGCGTCTTCTGTCCCAAGAAATAATGAGCCTAGTGCAATAGCATTCAGGAGGAGGGTTGCTGAACAGGCTCGATACACGAATGTAGGTCGGTGAATTACGGGCAAGATGGGAACGAGCCTGACGAAGAACATGTGAAGGCTACTATCAAGGAAGCGTGGTGTGAGGTCAGAAAGCTCAACATGGGATGTCACATCGAACAGCTTCGCAATACGCATGTTGGTTAGTGAAGACTATAAAAATCCATTTTCGGGAGAGTCCATTAGTATGAAGACTTACAGTGTTAGTTAGAAGTCCGTTGACGGTCTGTACAGCTCGATGTCCATCCTCTGCAGCAGCAAGCTCTTCACGAGACACCTGCCCAGATCCTCTAGCCACCCTGGCCGATGGTGTCGTATCCTGTGGAATAGTTGGAATGAATACAGGCACAGATTGTGCCCAAGATACACCTTCGGCTGACATGAGACTTTGAAATAGGTCTTCAGAATCGGGCCATAGCAACGACGAAGATCCATCGTGCTGTATCAGACGTTCCGCGGAATGAAATGCCGATGACCACGAGGCTTCACTGGTGCTATTGTATCGCTGGTCATCACTAAAATCGCCAAGATTGGGGGGTAAGTTAAGTTGACCGGCTGAAGGTAAACTAAAGGAACGTTCTTGCATTCCATGTCCAGCGGCGATGTATGAGAGGTGCAAAGAGGGTCGGTTCTCCGTATTACTAAGAGGAGAGTTTCGAGGTTGTGCTGCTTCTCGGTGGCCTCTAATGTGTCTGGTGAGTACATCACCGCGTGAAAAGCTTCTCTGGCATATCGCGCATTTAAACGGCTTTGCACCAGTATCTTCCTTAGAGATCAGTCTTCAACCTGGAAGAGTAAAGACTTCCTCCCGGGGCTTAGATGCCGCGTGAGCATTGAACTTACGGGCTCTTTCGTGCCTCTGAGAACAGAATTCGTTTAGTAAGGCGTTCCAACCATGTCATGGCAATAAGTTCGTACCTTGAGATGTTCCTTCTTAGTAAACTTACGATTACAATACGTGCACTCGAAGTTGCTCGCGGCCAGGCTTGATCTAGCTTCGTCAGCCATTGCTGTTCGTTCACTTTCCACATCTACGCAGAAGTGCCGATTGGGGAAACTGTTTTTCTCGGTTCCCCGCAAACCCCGCGACATCACTGCCGAAGCGAGGTACCGGAGTGAACCGGCAGGGGTCCGGGTTTCCCACACTACACTCGGCTTTCCCACTTCACCCACATTTCCCCAAATGCGTCACGTCGCTTCAACATTCTCGACCTCACCAATATCGCCATCGGCTGACTAAACCGGTGTTATTCCACCGCAATCTTCAGAAAACCGATATTCAACTGACCCAGGTTCGTAGAAACTGGTTTTATATCTTTCTAGAGGCCCGAGAGTCCTGAGGGCTCGTGTCCTCGACTTGCTAGTTGAACAGCAATGTAGTAGAGTAACAGCAATGGGAAATTGTGACACCATATGAAGACAGCAAATACCAATAGTATTGGAGGGCTGGAATGATCGATACAAATGGATTATGGAAGTCAATTAAGTAGTAGCGCAAATTAGTGGGCAAGAAAGGTCCATAAGCATCTTTGTGAATTTGCACGAAAACCCGAAAGAAGCACTCTACCCCTTGTTGCCATCTTTCTAAAACTTATGTTACACGTCTACAAGATGAAGTTCATTGGACAACTGATGATGCCTAGTTCGGGCATGCGGGAGTACTGCAATTCGCCACCAACCTCAAAATCCTGAGTGTTCTTGAGGATGACTCGGAGAATGATATCGAGAGCTCTGTACAAATTAGAACCTGAGTGTTTTGGCTGGTTCAAGATCGGCGTGGTCTTACAATCTCGCAAGAGGCATTCCAGCGCACCGATGTCTGCCTCTGCCGAATCCCATATGCGCCGAAATGTTTTCTCTATGAAGAATGAAATCGTCTGGATCCCCGAAAACTTCCGGATCGCGATTGGCTGCCGTGTAACACAAAGTGACTGGCTCATTGGGGTGTATGACCTTGCCGTGCAGATGTATGTCTTTCGAAGTTGTTCTGGCAAATCCCCGGTAGGGACTGTATAACCGCAGAAATTCTTCCATCGCGGCGGGTATTAACGGAGGATTGTTTCTCAAGTTGCGCTGTAGCTCCTTGTCTTTTGACAAGTGGTTGCAAATTGACCCGATCAAAATCGGGGGTGCGACTACGCCGACGACCAGGCTTTGTCGAAGACAACCGCTAGAATATGGGTCAAACACTACAACAGGTTTGGCCAAATAAGACGAGTGCTTACATCAAGTGTTCATTGCTGAGGGGCTGTCCCTGAGCATCTCGTTCGGATAGCAGGGAGGATGCAGGGTCTTCTTCAGGATCCCTTGGGTGCAAGCGGCGATCTGCTAAAAGCTCTTGCGCGATCTCGTATATCTTCATAGAATTTGACGTCACAGTCTCGCCGTCTTGCATCCTCCAAGCATTCAGCCAACTCGCTGCCGCAATAGCAAGTTTAGGTGCCACTTCAGGTTCGAGGTTTAACCACTCCGACACCATGCGAGCAACAAAGTTGGCGGCAAATTCGACGCTGATGTCCCCACTACCTCGAGCTAGTAATGGAGCAAGCTCTGCCTCTGCGTGCCGTTGTAAGGGCCTTCTGAGACGGAGGAGCCGAGCAGGCTTCACTGTTCGCTCCAAGGCGGTCCGAAAGGGAGTGTGTGCTGGTGTGTCAAAGTTTAGAGGTGGTCGACGAATCCCCCTGGAATCACTTGGTACCACTGCTTTGACGCTGGAGATGTACGTTTCGGAATCCATGGCGGCTCGTTTAACGTCTTCGTATCGGGTGAGGAGCCAGTATCCTCCATATTGGTTGGTGTGAATAACAGGGCAATGGCCGCGAAGATATCGGTACTCATCATATATCTTGGCTGGGTCGTTGCTGATTACAGCGGCTGACTTGTCGATGTCAAATGTTGCATCAACTTCTAGAGTATGCTGTTCGATAGTGGCGACGGCCATAATGAATAATATCTATAAGCGTATGAACTATATCAGTGATAGCCTATGCACAAGATTTAAATCGCGGGCATCATCATAGGAAATCGGCGTGAATGGCGAGGTAAAATCAGAGACCAATGATAAGGCAGTAAAGGGAGTTCGCGATAAATCAAGCCAAGATCCAAAGAGAATGCTTCTGATTCTGAGACCGATTGACTGAAGTGACTGGCAATGACATTTCCTAATAGTAGATTGCCATCTCTGAGTTTGCGCCACAAGGCAAGTGGCCTAGCGTGTGGGGAAATGTTGGAGACCAACGAAGCGGGAAATCCTTTCCAGAAGACCGTCAATTTACCAGCTATATTCAGCTTAGCATTGGAGGGGAAAGCCAACGGACGAGGGCAAATGGTCCGCAGGATTCATTCAAATTTCTCCATATTTGGGATCGTTATTGAAAACAATCCGGGGTCGATGTTGAGGAATCTGGGGCATCCGTTGTTAAATGCTCACCTGACCACGAGGCCTAGCTGTCTGTTTGTGCCGCGTTGACTGATAATATCAATTATTTGGGCACTGCTTCCTGCTTGCCAAACTGTTGGACCCTTGGAGCTCGAAATACAACAGAGGATCCCAATAACAATGAGTCGTTCAGCTGGGCAGGGCAAAGACATACTGGATCCGGAGCACTTGGAGATCGTCCAAGATAATATTACACAGCTGCGTCCCACACACTACTGGCCGCAAGAGGATGCTGAGAGACGGCTCGACAAGAAAGTCGACCTCAAGCTAGACCTGATTGTCGTGGGTCTCTTAGCTATCGAATTCATCGTCAGTTCAGGAAAAAGCTCTCCATGGTAGCCCCCTATTAATCGTCCTTAGTTTTGTGGCATCGACAAAACCAACGTCGGCTTCGTTGCCACTACTTCGTTCGCTAAAGACGCCGGCCTGTCTCCTGATGATATCCCGAAAACTTTGTCCCTTTTCTCGGCCACTTACGTCCCCCTTCAACCATTCATGGTGGTCTTAGCACGACGCATTGGAGTAAAGTACTTTTTGGGGCTACAACTTATTGGTTGGGGTGGTCTCTGCATTTGCCACGCAGCTATCAAAGGCCGCTGAACCCTCATTGCCCTGCGGCTCCTCATCGGCGCCGCCGAGTCCGGCTTCACACAAATCGGCATGTATTATATGTCAACCATGTACCCAAAGTACGACGTGGGACTCAGAGTCGGTATGTTCACGGGGATGTACTCGGTGGCAGGAGCTTTCGCCGGCGTCCTTGCGTACGGCCTTCTCAGAATCGACTCACGTAGTGTCCATGGCTGGCAAATTGTCTTCCTCTTTGAAGGCGCCGTCACAGTGTTCCTAGGGCTTTTGACGTTTGTAGTTCTGCCGAAGAACTTGTCCTCTGCATGGTTCCTTACGGCGGAGGAGCGCGCGCACGCGATACGACGCATGGAAATTGATCTCGCTGGCGCTCAAGAAGAGGCTGATGTTGATAACACTACCGTCGTCAAGCGAGACTTTATTGATGTCGCCAAGGATTGGAAGAAACTTTTAATTGTGGTTTGTAATATCACGACGGTCCTTCCAGTCACGGCTTTCACGACCTTTCTGCCACTGGTTGTCCAAGGAATGGGATATTCGGGTATCGAGGCAACTCTTATGAGTGTCCCGCCTTTCGTTGTGTAAGGAGGCTGAGATTCACCCCGGTTACATTGGAAACCTCATGCTGACACGCTGAGTTGTAGGGGAACTGTTGGCCTGCTGGTCATTGTCAAGTCTAGCGATTACTGCAAGGAGAGGTCTCTGCACACTGTCGGCGGCATGTGTTTGGGCATCATCGGGTGCGTCGTCATGGCTACCTCTGCGAACACAAGACTCCGGTATGGCTTTGCCCACGTCTGCATGGCAGGAGTATTCGTCGGTGGCCCCCTTCTCGCCGTGTGGTTGGCTGGAAACACTCCCTTGAAAGGGACTAGAAGCGTCATGATGGGTGTGAACGGCTGGTCGAACATTGCTGGCGTCATTGCAGGGCAGATCTTTAAAAGCAAATATGCTCCCCGGTGTGGGTCCCCCAAGTTACTCCTCGTAAATGCTTAACCTCGCTAACGGCTTCATAGACGAGGTCCCACTCATTGTAACCATGATCATTATGGCTTGCGGTATCTGCGGGCTTGTGTTTCTGAAGCATCTATACAAGATGGAGAGCAAGAAGAGAGCCGACGAGATTGCATGTTGGGATGAAGCACAGTTTGCTGCTGAAGCTGTGTGCAGAGAAAGGAGGGGCGACCAGAAGCGCACGTTCATGTATGGTTCATAAACGCCCGCGTTTCCCACGGATGGGAGTTTCGGAACCTCCCCTAGTCAGTAGCTGTGGTTTTGCAAGAGTCATCTGCTACCAACCCAACACAACTTAACTTTATCCTCAGGAATGGTTCAGCTTGGCGTATGGCCTCGGTTACTTCTTTGACCAGAGACTTACACCATCATAGGGTGTTCGTCCGGTACGCTGCTGTATGATTTATGTAGTCTCAAGAATAGGGTAGGTAGGTTGCCGGCCGCAGTGCGGGTTGTGATGCCCAGCGGGCGTGGCAGGGGCCACTCGGAAACGCCCTACTGAAACCCCGGAAGCGCCAATCTGTCAGAATCACCAAGTCAGCATCGGCGGATTTCATATGTGGCGCTTTGCTTACGAATACCGGTAATGGCAGATAGATCCAGCTCTTGAACAGATCCGGCATGGTTCAAGGACTAGCCTTGAAGCAAGGAGTGCCGGGCGACGCGGATCAAAACTTAGTAAAAGAGAATCATGGGGGTTATTCCATCTTAAACCAATCGTTGGAGCCCCGTTATCTCTTCCCCGCATTCTACATTTCTAGCGGGTAAGGGACCCTAGGCTACCTACACAGTTGTAGGAAGTCCCGCTTTGCCGCTATCAAGAGGAACATAGCCGACTAACAATCTGTCGGCTTATCTCTTCACTCTCCTATTCGATTGAGTTGGTTGTCTTTCATCCCCCGGCACTTCTCTCTGACGGAACCGCTTTTCAATCCTTTTGATCGTTGTGTGGCCTGCATATTGAACGTCATCGTTTCACTTGCTTGCGCAATAACCACCTGAGAATTAATTGCTCTCAATTACGTTCAGAGAGTAAAGTACCCTGCGATGCCACGGAGCAAAGACGCCATGGCGCAACCGAAAGAGAACCGCGTCGCAAAGAGGCCAAGCCCACAGAATGGAGAGACGGGGAGACGACGAGCGCCGTACGCACTGCGTGCTTGCGAGGCCTGTCGTCGACGAAAGGGGAAATGTGACGGTCGGCAACCATGCAGATACTGCGCAGGGCGTAAACAGACCTGCGTCTTCGACAGCATCTACGGCTCCGATGACGGCATCTGGTCCGTTCCGACAGCGATTTCAACCGATGAATCTTCAATCGAGTCCGACCAATCAATGCGAGAGACTTCGTCGACGTCAAATAACCAGGAGAACATCATGAAACTTCTATCAAGTCTCCAAGACCAATTGAACAGTCTCGCGTCCCGCGTGCATACTCCCAGCGAGGCGGCGAGCGCCATACAACCATCCCCAGCTTTCGCGATGGGCAACCAGACACCCGAAGATTTCCTGTCCGCCCTTATCACCGACGCCGGGGTCATCGAAACTTGCCTCGAATCAATTGGGCCGTCGACATGCTCTCCGCCGCGGGCACTGTATGGCCTGCCGAGTCCGGAGGACACCATGAAGGTTGCGCGAACCCGCGTCCGCCGAGAGAGCCTATACCACACGCCGCCCGAACCAGCGCAAGACGAAACGATCAGCCTCGACTTCATTCCCACCGTTTCTGGTCACGACGACGCCATCTCTCTAACGCAGAGCACGAGCTCCTTCAACCCACTGATAACAGGAGGAAGCGATTCCCAAAAGTTGTTGCGGTTCAAATCCTTAATGAACATCGACGAGGTGGTCGAAATGCTTGGCGTATACCAAGACGTTATCGGAGAGCTTCACCCAATTATCGACGTCGACCAAACTATTGCGCACGCTCGATCCTTCTATGCAGATGTGGAATCAACAAGTTGGGGAATGGTCACAGAGAAATCGGCCACGCCTGCTGAGGAAGATTTAATGATCTTGAATCTTGCCTTGGCAATCGCACTGCACACGGAAGCGACGCCGGAAAGCTCCAACATCGAAGCGCTCATCGTAGACTGTATGAAAGAGGCTGTCAACAGCAGGGTCACTGAATCAACCACAAGTATGAAGCAGGCCATTATTATACTGCTCAAGGTTAGCCGCAACCACCCCTCAACCGAATTTTGACCTGCGCTCATAATAGATAATCAGGGCTGCTATGAATACTTCAATGATATGCCCCAAGTTGCTTGGCGCATGTGTGGCATAGCCGGGCGCATTTTAATGGAGCTCGGTGTACACAATGAGGAAGCGTGGTCTCGTCTAGCAGACTCACAGAGTCAACGCTCAGAATTATGCACCCTTGTCTCCAGCATTATCATTCTTGACAGGCAATGGAGCGCAGCAGCCAACCTGCCTTCCAATTTTCATGACTCTAGTTTCAGCCCTGTCAACCTTATCTCGGTAAGCATTATCATTCTAAGCGAACTCTCAACCTGCATTAACACTCATGAAAGACCGACCATCCCTATATCAAAGCTATGATGTCTTTCATTCGCGTCAGCAACAAGTTGGATGGGCCTATGGCACAAGCCACAAAAGCCCAGCGGTACGAGGACGAGGATAACTTCGAGCTCATGAATTTCCAACTGGAGCAATGGCGAAAACGAGCCGTCGGCAACTACTCCATCACACACCCTGAGACATGGAGCCTGAGCCCTCCAAAGCAACCTTCCTCCTTCCCCATATTACTCCACCTGCGCGCAGAGACCGTCCGGAGTTTCCTGCTCAAGCCGTGGTTCTTCTCGCGGACCGACACGCAGACTAGCAAGAAATACCTCCAGCCTGCAATTGAAGTCCTCTTCGACATCTGTGACGTCCTCTACGCCCTGAACGCCAACACGGACATCTACCGCAAGCAGCAGCCTTACTACCAAGAGCTATTGGCGTCGGCTTCCGCTCTTGGGTTCGTGCTGACGTCGTCTCTGGAGCAGAACCGTTCGACCCTGCTAGCTAGCCTACCCCCGGGTCTTTCCAAGGCAATGGGCCGCAGCTATGAGTTGGCTGTGGCGCTGGCGGCGAGTTATGTTACGAGATCAAAGGCTGCGAAGCAGTTGTCCGATCAGCTCGCGGGGGTGCGTGGGAGCCTTATGGGGTTCGGCATGCTTGAGGTGCCCGACTCCGCCGAGAAGGATGACGGCAAGAAGGACGGCGACGTACTTCCTGTGCCTGAATTTGTGTATGATGGGTCGTCGGGGTGGGACGATGAGTTCCACATGCAATGGCCAAGTTGCGATCTCGAGAACAGTTTTGCGGAAGGCATAGTCTCATAGGGGGGCCTACTCGCGGTTGTACTTTTATGCCATGTGATACGAGCTGAATGACGAGCAATGACAACACTTACGATTAGTTTCAGAGCCCAGCCTGAACGGTTGCCACCAAATATCTACTGTTCTTGAGCATCCAGAATCAGCCGATACATATATCCAGGCTCACAATGCGTGGATCCTCTAGAATTAGCTGGAGAAAATGGAGGAACTAGAAGCTACAATTCTTGGACTCTCTCGTATCGCCAAAACGTTTCCGTGCCTATGACATCCGCACCTGGAAGCTAAACATCTCGTTTGACAAAACAGAGTTCCGATCCCTCATCTTTTGCGCGGTATCAATCCCTAATACCGGCACGCGATACTCAAAAGCCGATCCATCCTCTTGGCCTTTGATCGGATAAGGGAAGGGAAGGTATTGTGGCATCAAGCCAAGTTGAGCAAGGACGGTTCCCTGGTCCCAAGAGATGTGCTCGTGGTATAATCTATCGCCACGAATGTTCACAACAGCAGTGAAGGGTATCTCTACTTTCTTGTACGTTGGCGGAATACCAGGAACACTTAGAGTTGTGGTGTTAGTTATTATCTACTTTGGCCTGGAAGAGTATTACTTGAAGCAAAATTACTCACAGCCAATCCACAACAGTGTCATGTGTGAACTTGTAGATGAACTCATCCACAACGCGGTCAATCCCAAGCGTGCGGCTGATGAGCTCCAACTCAGTGTCTTGAGAGTTATTGAAGATGAAGTTGTTACGGTAGAATTGTGTCAGTGGCCCTCGTCCGATGCCACCCGTCAGCTAAGTGCACGCGTTAGTAGTGAAGATTATGTATTCTGGAGTCCGGACCTCTCTCATGCCCGTCAGAATCCGCTTACAGTGGGAACATGGTTCACATAGGGTTGATCAACCATTGTGCTCATGGTATGCTCAACAGAGCGGTCCGCGAACTCATAATACGTATGCTCATCCCAGATCGCCTCAAGATCGAAATACGGTCCACCGGTGAGTGGCTTGAGAAATGTCAGATTTCTGGTGTGAGACAGAGACTCTGCCCAGTAATCAAAATCTTCATGAAATGGCGTCGCTAGCCTGAATGATTTGGCTTTGGCATATCGATACGTTGTGATGCCCTCTGTTTTCTTTGTCTCGGGTGGTGCTTGACCACCAGCTAGATGGCACAGCATGGGAACTTTTGCTTTCTTGAGTGTGCTCTCATCGCTGGCGTTTGCGTAGACAACAGCTCCCACGATGTCTGGAAAGATGCAGGCCACTCCAGCGATATGGTTCCACAACGTTGGGTCATATGCTAAAGATAGTATTAGCTCGTATGCAAAGTCATTGCAGCCCCGAAGGTTGCAGTCACTCAAAAAACGGACCGACAATCCCAGCTTTGCCATCTTTCTCCAACTTGCTGCAGTCTTTGAGTGCTTTCAATGCAGTCTGCAAGACATCCGCGGCAGTGCTCGGGTTAGTCAACGCCTTGGCTTGGATCTCCACCACAACGAAACCCTCTTCCGCCCACTTGATGAGAGCAGAGGGAACTCCTTCAACAATTTCGAGGCTCTGAGTCGAATCATGTTGCAGTATAATGAGACCCTTCCCGTAGCCTCTGCGCGAGAGCGGCGGTAGCAAGGTGATACCCTCACCGATGCACTGTGGCTCTGCCTTTGGCAATGGCGCAGGGGGCTTGTTGATATCCGCATACATTCTGGATAACTTTCGTGGGAGCGTGAATCACATTCAATGGTACAGTTTGGAAAGTAGTTTGGGGGGTTGTCAGCTGCGAGTTTAGTCTATACGTGGAGTTCTGCATTCAATCAAGACACTCAAGCAGCCAACACCGACAACCTGGGATGGACCATGCCTTGGGCTTGACGTTCCGATGGCTTGGTCCCGCCTGATACGGTAACCTTGTTTTAGCGCATAAAGAACAGCTGACAAGACCGTAGAGCTGGGTCCCTTGTATCCAGTGTATCGCGGGGTGCGCTTCCGTTAGAAGACGTAGGAGCGTGCATTCCGTTCCGTTCGGAAGTTCCGTGGTAAGCACCAAGGCAGCGAACCATCCCCGGCCGGCACCACATTCGCTGTTACCCGCGCTTGGACTCGCTGAGCCACGTTATGGGGCAGACGATCATTGAGAACATGGGTAAGGGTACGTGCCATGAATTCTTCAGCAGTAGTCGCATTTGTAGATGCAGAAACGATGGGCAAACGGTGTCTAGATGTTACGATACTTGACCTTGGTTGGGAGCTCGAGAGAACAGTATCGCGCGGAAATGCATGCAGTCGATAACACTTTCCTCGATCAGAATGTCTAATAATACTTCTTCCTAATAATACTTCTTCAACATTCTCAACGGTCTTCTGGAGCACCCTTCGCGTATCCATGTGGCACTGAAAGTCAGTCGTATCTCAGACGCCACGCCACGCAGCCAACGCGTGATCTCGACGGCCAAAGTCTCGAATCTGGAATGATTCCGCCGCCGCCTGATCCATATTTCGAGAACCAACCTCTCGTAAGCGACTTGATAGGCAATAGAGCTAGCCAGCCCAATTTCGATAAGTTCCTAATGCGCGTTGGGCGATTCCGGAAGCACCACCGGAATCCCTTCCCATACCCTGCCGCGGCGGCCTAACACTGACACAACCCCTGTCAGCCAGCCATCAATCTGGGGTAACTCGACAGTAACTGGATATGGGTAGCCAGCTTCGATATGTAAAGCTGGACTTGTCTCATGTGCAGAGACCTCTTAATCTTTTCATGATTCATCGTTTCTTAACTTGACTCTAACCTCGAACTCGAAGAGTGCCTTACGCCACTCATTCACACAAGTGGTTCCTATTTAGCTTCTCAGAGCTCCACGTTTGATAGTATTACAATGGAGGGCCCTTTTGATGCAGTCGTCGTCGGTGCCGGTAAGTAGAACTTGGGCCCACCTTGGACCATTCTTTTGGACTCTACCTAGTTGCTGACAAGTCTCTCTTCTCAAGGCTGGTTCGGTCTCGCAGCCGCCAAGGCCTATTCACAACTACACCCAACCGCGAACCTTGCCGTCCTAGAAGCTGCTGAATCCTGCGGAGGAACATGGTCCAAGAACCGTCTCTACCCCGGCTTAAAGTCGAACAACATGATCGGAACCTACGAATACCCAGACTTTCCCATGTCGGAGTCTGTATACGGCGTTAAGCCCAACAATCACGTCCCGGGTGCAGTTCTCCACCGCTACCTTACCGACTTTGCCAAGCACTTCGGGTTCTTCGACCGCATCCAATTTCACACCGCTGTCAACTTGGTAGAAAGAAATGGCGAGAAAGGATGGCGACTTTCTGTGGCCTCGCCATCTGGGGAGCGCGTCATTCAGACTGAGAAGCTCATCCTGGCAACAGGATTGACTTCGACGCCGAATCTTCCAACTTACTCAGGAGCCGAGACCTTCTTGGGCCCTCTATTCCATGCAAAGGACTTCTGCAAGAGGGCATCTGAGCTCAAGGGGGTCAAGAACGCCGTAGTCGTAGGCGGAGCGAAGTCAGCCTTCGACGTTGCCTATGCCTTGGTTCAGGACGGCGCGGAGGTAGACCTGATCGTCCGCCCCAATGGCCATGGTCCGGTTTGGATTGCGCCTCCCTTTGTCACGCCTTTCAAGAAGAGAATGGACCAGTTACTCAACATCCGCTGGATGTCATGGTTCAGTCCCTGTCCTTGGGGTGGTGAAGATGGGTACTCAGGCGTCCGTCAATTCCTTCACGGCACCACCTTTGGTCGCTTCATTGTCGACTCGTTCTGGAAGGTGCTGAGCGGCGATGTTCTCTCGGCCAACGCGTATGACTCGCACCCTGAGCTTCAGAAGTTGAAGCCGTGGCACTCGGCGTTCTGGATTGGTAGCGGCCTTAGCATCTTGAACTACGACAGCAGTTTGTTTGATTTGGTCAAGGAGGGCAAGATCCGGGTTCACATTGATAACATTGACCGGCTAGAGGGCAACAAGGTTTTCCTTTCCTCTGGTGAACAACTCGAGACTGAGGCAATTGTCTGCTCCACCGGCTGGAAGAAGGAGTCGACCATCAAATTTGCTGGTCTCAGTGAGGAGAAGCTCGGCCTCAAGTACTCTTCGACTGAGAAACGGGCTTTGGACCAAGAAGCGGACGCCAAAGTTCTCGCTCTCTTCCCTCGGCTGGGGGATCAACCGAAACTGAGGTTCACTCCTAAAGAGGCAAACCCCTTGCGTTACTATCGCTTCATGGTTCCCTCCACAATGGTGGGCTCTCGAGACCTTGCCTTTGCTGGCATGATTTCAACAGTCAGCACGTCAGTCTGCGCCACTATTCAAGGTCACTGGATCGCCGCCTTCTTGGGTGGTCAACTGGATCGCCTTCCCATTTCTGATCAGGAGATTACGGACGAGATCATGTTGCACACACAATGGGGCAAATGGCGTTATCCTTGCGGTTACGGCGCCGACCTTCCTGACTTTGTGTTTGAGGGCTTGCCATACGTCAACATGTTGATGAAGGATCTCGGAGTAGAGACACACCGCAAGTCTAGTCGGCTCCAGGAACTTACATCACCCTACCTGCCAGCCGACTTCCGCGGCTTAGTAGATGAGTGGAAGCAGGGTCACGGTGCTAGCGAAACCGACGTTGCCACGCACAAGGTTGTGACTTCAGGGACGGATGAATAAGGGGGCGGACACTCCTAGGGTTGAGAGCCAGCCATCTGTTGGCTGTGTTTGTTCAAGATTTCCTTTGTCAGATTCCCACTTCACTTTGTACTGCAGTTTTCTCCCAGCCTAATTCATTACAAACTCAGTGTACTATTGAGACTCCACAATGGCTATCCAAATCGGAGGCCGAGCACGGTAGTTCTTGATAAAACAATAGATCGAATGATACACCAGACGTTTTCTGTCGGGTTCCAGTTCCATTTAGAGTGCAAATGGTATGTCCCCGAACCGGCGAATACATACGCCTAGGATATGTTGCCATGTCAGATTCCAATTGGCTCTTTTACCCCATGATTTGTAACATCCGACTCTAAGTTCAACGCCCAGCCAATTTCCCACTTGACATTGACTTTCGTGTATTTTTGCTGCCTATGTACTTGTCTATCATCGCTTGATATTTCTTGGACTCACTGGGGCATCCGCGGAATCCGCGGAACGCACGCTCTTAAGTCAAATGACCGCCACATCTCCGCGGGAAGCGCGTCTCGACTTGACGGGGTATTAACAAAACGTACGGAGTATTTGAAATTGTATAGAGATTGATCAGCAGGCATCAAAGTTATACGGGATATTTCACGATACAGGGCGTCCATATAACGTTATCGGCGATGCCTGGAAGTGTCATCGGTAGTCGCTGTTTTGTTTAATGGACTGGACTTTGCAATGCGCAAGGAATGGTGATCTTCGCGAGCGAGCGAATCGTTTCGCACGCTTAGCTGCAGCATCCCACCGGCGGTTATAAGATGCGGAGGCTTGCCTGTCCAATTGGTACTATCGAGTTCTCAACTACACTCGCCAATACCGCAAACGAGAGGCTCCAACCAACTAAGTACTTACAATTATCAACATGCTCGTCTTAATCGCCGGAATATCTGGCAACCTTGGCAGTCGCCTAGCAATAGTTGCGAAACAGCGCGGCCTATCTGTTAGGGGCCTAGGACGCGATCCCTCGAGATTGAGTCCTGAGCTAGCCCAAAGTCTTGAATCCTTCGTCACAAGTCGCAACTATTACGACACTCCGGCTCTAGACAAAGCCGTGGCTGGCGTGGATGCGATTATCTGTGCCTACAACCCGACACCTCTCCTGGACCTCGACGGATGTCTCTCACTCCTCCGGGCTGCCGAGCGGGCAAATGTCAAGGTCTTCATGGCCTCCTCGTGGAACAATGATTGGACGAAGATCAAGTTTGGCGATTTTGAGCATTACGATGCTCACATTGCCTTCGAGCAGCAGGCCGCTATGACAAGCTCAATAAAACCGGTGTACCTTTTCACAGGAGTCTTTGCCGACCTATTGTTCACCCCCTACGGACCGGGAGGTTTTGATACTTCTGGCGACGTCCCTCAAATGCGTTACTGGGGCGAGGGGAACAAGAAATTGCATTCCTGGACAGTGCAGGATGACGTTGCTGCATGGACCATTGAGATTCTGATCAATGGAGGCGGCGTTCAAGAGGGCAAGGGAGGGTTCTTCAGAATGCGCTCCGGAGTGAATACGATCGAGGAGCTGGCGTTAGCATACGAAGAGGCCACGGGGACCTTTGTTGAAGTCAAGCGTCAAGGCACCCTGGGGATGCTCGCGGAAGAGATTGCCAGACTGCGCAGAGAAAAGGGAAGGGATAGGAACTTTGAGTATCTCCCGGAGGTTGTCGCATTCTTGTACGACCAGGGACTATTCGAGGTACCGGCTAGTGAAATCGCAGCTTTGGAACATGTTCGCAAGCCCACGACTCTGGAAGAACACCTGAAGGTTCGGTTCGGAAGCTAATGAAGCTATTCAAGGCGGGACGAAAATGAGGTGGTGCATGAACATAGACATATCCACCCAAGTTTCCGGGAGTGATGTGAGTAGTCGTAGACAGTCGAAGCCCACAAGTGCTGTATATCAGGTAGTCGGAGTCTAAGAGCCTAGAGGTACCCTGAGTAGGTAGTTTTCATATCTGAAGCTCGACGAAAATATACACACACACTCCGGCATTCCTGGGTACCTTGATCAATTGAAAGAAGATGTAGAGTGAAGCTGCGGCCCCCACAGAAGCATGTAATGTTGAAATACCCATCGCTTTCTGGTCTAAGCCATCGGACCTCACGTACCTACGTGGGGTGATCACTAGGGATTTATCGCAAAGTTCCGTTTCCGCACCTCCGCCGGTAGACCGGCCAAGATTAAGTCACTGTGGAATTGAATGCTCGAGCTTTAGATCAAAGCAATGGAAGCTAGTGCAGTTGAAAGATGTTGATCGCTAGTGACAGGTGGGGGTCCGTGTTAGCTGCACAGATGGTCCGGACCTTCGAGTCGAGGTTCTAGCAGGCAGGGAGCTCATCATCACCGACAGCTCCCTCCAATAGCTCTGGTCATTAATAATTCGGAGTTTATCCCACGCGATCCGCGTAGATTGAAACAAGGTGACGTAACACACATCTTGCGATCACAATATTAACATTGGCATTGTGCCAACATGCTCGCCTTTTGAACTAAGAACGAAGATGTCTCCTTGCAGCTCATCCTGAATATGCACGTTTGGGGTCTCTCGACATCCCTTGACTGCATTCGTGAAACCATGTCCCAAAGCACCCTGGCCGAGCCACTCCAAGACTTCAGACGATGGGATCATATAAATCCTCAACAGGCGTCAATGAAGCCTGAAGGCCGTACATGTGTTCCGATAGATCGTCAGTCTTTCCAAGAACCCGGTTACCGACAATGAGCTTCAGAGTGGCGACTCTCATCGGGGCCTTAGCTGTGCTACCAGAACTCTCTCGTCAATCCCCAACACTGCATCGCCGAGACAAAGCCTCAGATCCACTGAGCTTCAGCAAAGATGGCAACTTCAAGATCTCAATCTTTGAAGATCTTCATTTCGGAGAGAGTAAGTCTCGGAGTAGGGAATTCGGCCACTGAAGCTGGGATCTACTAACACCACATGCTTGCAGATGCCTGGGATGCATTTGGCCCTGCCGCAGACAAAAAGACTGTCGGTGTCATCACTAAGGTACTAGACGACGCCAAGCCAGACTTGGTGGTACTGAATGGCGACCTTATTACTGGCGAAAATGCGTTTGCCGAAAACGCAACGTTCGTGCTTGATCAGTTGGTGAAGCCAATAGTCGATCGGAGTATCCCTTGGGCAAGCACCTACGGCAACCATGACTATCAGGAAAATATTACGGGGAGTGACATTATGGCGCGTGAGAAACAATGGCCAAACTCTCGAACTCAAAAGATGGTTAGCGACACCAACGCTGGCGTATCCAATTACTATCTCCCCGTCTATGCTTCCGATTGTACAAAAGATGATTGTACACCGGAACTGGTCCTGTGGTTCTTTGACAGTAGAGGCGGCTTCTATTTTATGCAAACCGATAATAACGACGCAGCGAAACTAGTGGACCAGCCCAACTGGGTCGACGACAGCGTCGTCAACTGGTTCAAGTCGACTAACTCGGATCTTAACAATAAGTTTAACAAGAACATTCCCGGTGTCGCCTTTGTGCACATCCCACCCAAGGCTTCAAGTGCCATCCAAGCGCAGGGAATCGACCCGGAAAAGAACCCTGGTATCAATGATGATTCTCCGCTTTCCTATCAGGCTCAAGGCTGGTGTAAAGATGGAAGCCAAAAAGATTCCTGCGACTATGGTGGACAAGACTCATCGTTCATGAAGGCGGTCGCTGATAGCCCCGGCATGATTGGGGTCTTCAGCGGCCATGACCATGGGAATAGCTGGTGCACTAAGTGGAAAGGCTCCGTCAGCGGTGTTTCGGTTGACGGTACGGGTGTCAACTTATGTTTTGGTCAGCATACGGGCTATGGCGGATACGGGAACTGGATTCGCGGTTCGAGGCAATTGTCTTTCAGCCGGAACAAGTTGTCAAAAGGAGAACTTGACACCTTTATTCGATTGGAGTCTGGCAAGACTGTTGGATCGATTACTCTGAACTCCACATATGGGGAGGATAAGTATCCCACAACTCCAGACGACAGGACGTGAGAGAATGTCAATATCGCCGCCGAACAAGAGGAAGGTCAACACTGAAATAATACCCTGTTTCTTCTGGTGGTGAAGGAAAATAAGTCCTACCTTCAAAGTTTTATTAATTAAATGGATTTATGGTTGATCGTTTGTGGCTCCCTCAACTGGAATACCTGCCCGTCTCCAAGTTTCTCGAATCTTTACTTCAACTTGACCGGTCTGAAAAAGTGACACCTACTTCTCCCCGATCCAATAAATCCACAACCATACACATCTTTCGGCGAATTCAAGTTCGTGATTTCATAGCAATCAATGTACGTGTATGTCGAAGTGCGGAATGGTGTGCAGGGAAATAACGAATCATCGATGACTCTGGGCTTATTTCCACTATATCCACGTATCAAAAGATGTGCAAAGAGTAGATTTGGAGAAAAGCTGAGCTTATATGGGAACTTTTTCCTGTCACCATTCCGCACTCGAAGTGATAGACCCAACTACATCGTTCCCGAACTTGCAAAAAGATCTTGATAACGACGAGCAAAAGAGTTTGACCAGCATGGGGGTCGAACCCACAATCTCCTGATTCCACGATACGTCGTAGTCAGACGCCTTGCCATTGGGCCAACCGGCCAGAGAATCGAGAAATCCTCGGATACTCATGTGTGGGACGGTGGGGACCTGTTCGTGATCTATTATACAAGAACGGAAAGAGTCTGCGCTCTTCAACGCACAATCGCGGCTCCTAGTCTTTGCGAATCTGGTTGTTATTGTTGGAAAACGGCTCCACACTCATTGACAAGAGGATCCCCGTCACCGCCATGCCCTTGTTACATCCTACGACGCTATTGAGCCCGTTGGAAAATAGCTGGCGTCGGAGGCGAGCCGAACCCCTCATCACGTCGACTGGTTGGCCCAGAACAGTTCCGTAGCCGCCCAACGGCTAAAGTCTCATCGCGCCAACGTTCCGGACTTGGAAGTTGGAACCAACAAGAGGATATTGAAACCAGCAAAGACAACAACGCCCCTCAACCCCCTGTCCCTGAAAAAGGTGCACTGACGACCCTACTGAGCGATAGAAAAACTAACCCTTTCATAATGGACCCATCTGCCCGTTCTCCCATGTGCCGCGGCCTTCCACCCCCCTTCCCCCCGCACCAGCTGTTCGGTTCTCCTACCTACGCCACGCAGAACCCGACAGTTTGGTTCGCCCATCCTCGTCATTGGAACGTAGGCTCACTGTATTTGTATTAGATGGACGCCGAGGACAATCTTGAAGTGCGAGATGAGGTAAGTCGATGCACTCGCTACTCGAAATAGTACTCAGACGACTTTGGGTCAGAGTAATACCTACTCAAGATGCTGATAATGGCAGGATGCAAACGACGAGGCCATGGACTCTGATCTCGACTCTGCGATTGAGGATATGGAGGTATGAACACTGCTCATTGATTCGAATTTCTACACTGCGCACATCATTGATGTCTTCAGCCGTCCGCGCAGGCTGATCTTCTCTCGATAACGTCAAGTATTTTTGACTATCAGTTCGAGAATGGCAGATCATACCATTCGATGAGCGAAGGCAGTTAAGTCTGCCGCCATTTTGCTTCAACCCCATGTGCATCTGGCTAACGGTCAACAGAATATGTGTACCCGAATGACGATGTAACTACTTCCTTCTATTCCGTTGTTCGTGCGTCGGTGAAACATGTTAATCTGACTCAAGAGTGCAGTCGGAACTTATACGTTATGGTACGTTCGACCAAGAACCCCTTTCCTGCATGTCTTCTCACCGCGAATAGACCTCCAACATCATCTGTGGTTGGTCACACTGGAAGGAGAGTTGGCAACGAGTCCTGGCAGAGAGACCGCAAAGCGAGTTCTGGATCTTGGGACCGGAACTGGTATCTGGGCGATTGACTTTGGTGAGTTGTGGCTTGCCCCCAAGGCGGTTTTGATTGGTTGTACGACTAACTCGTCACCAGCCGATGCATATCCAGGGTCCGAGGTACGAGAAGAATACAATCAGCCCTGCCATCAATGATTTTGTTGTCTTAATTTTTCCTAGGTCATTGGTGTGGACCTGAGCGCGGTCCAACCTGACCTGTAAGCATGAACTCAGACTCTCTATGCTCCTTGCATGGCTGATAAATCGTATCTAGAGTTCCCGCCAACTGCAGTTTCGAGATAGATGACCTCGAGCTTGACTGGCCCTGGGAGCAGCCTTTTGACTACATTTTCAGTCGATCCGCCGCTGGGAGTTGGTCAGACTTTCGGGCCATTATTCAAAGAGCATACGAGTAAGCAACTGTGCTCCGTCTTAAGGCGCAATTGCATTAATTGCGATCAGTCTTGGTTTCATACCAGAGTGTCAGAGATAGTCTAAGGCAATGCTGACATTGGCGCAGCCACTTGGAGCCCGGCGGCTATTTTGAGGTTCAAGACCTTGAACTACCATCATTCTGTGACGACGGCTCCGTGCCGACGGATGCTGCACTCTACCGCTGGGAGCATGCGCTCGTGGACGCCTCCAACGAGTTGGGTCGGCCTCTCAACTACGCCCGGGACTGTCTCGACGATCTTCACGACGTGGGCTTTGTCGAAATACATCACCAACTTTACAAATGGCCCTGCAACAACTGGCCTGAAGACCCATACCTCAAAGAGGTTGGTCGATGGAATTGCGCGAATCTGGACATGGGCGTGGAGGCTTTCTCCCTGGGCCTCTTGACGAGGGTGAAGGGCTGGACGCGAGATGCCGTTGAGGAGTTGTGTACAGAGGTTAAGAGGGAGGTGAAGGATACGAGACGGCATACCTACTGGAGACAGTGAGTTGTGGCCCAGTTTGTTCTAAGACGGACAGCTACCCTTTGAAATTGCTAACAATAATTCATCAGACACGTTATTTATGCTCGGAAACCTTGTAAGCCATCAACGAACAATAGCACGAGACTTGAATAGTAGAACCTGTCAAGTGTGGATCCGGGAGTTGCAACTCATGCCCGCTCCTAGGAGTGATGGCGATAGCTCGTAATATCCCGCGTCCAATGATACTCCACATAATCTGAGATACAGTAAGCTCTAGGAAACTACGACATTGATATACATCACATGTGTCGTGTGAGCATCACTTTCTTGAGAATTGGTTATAGTTTGTCTTTATCTTGTCAAGTCCGTTGATGCGATCTTGTTCCCGACTCTGTGCAATCCGAGCGCGTGCGATCAGATGACTCTGGATGTTCCCTTGCTGTCAAATCACTTGTTGCAGTTGAGAATCTGGTCCAACAAACTTTGGTCCACCGCCGACCGGTCCGCTGATTAAGGTAGGTGTGTTACAGGCTCGTATACTACACGTAGGTATCTGAGGTCCCCCCAGTTCGTGTGGATTCGTAGGGTTTGTATAGTTCAAGAATGAGCTGGCGACGAATTACTCTGGGGTAGGTTGTGCCGGATTAATGCCATTAGTAATGAGCATTCGTTGCGGTTGGGCCACGTTTGCTAGTGGGGATGTCCTGCTGTGATCTTCCGTTCGGCATCATAATTAGTACCAGGCTGACTCGACTTGTATGGCGGTTCGTCCAGGCGATAACCCTTCGATGGCACGTGGTGCCACTGCATATCTGGGCTTTCGTGGACAAGAAGTGTTGTCTTTCGAAATAGTCCGGGCAACTTTGACGGAGCCGGAGGCAGTTCCAGGACGGCCCAGGTATCGAAAAGGGTTTTGCTTGCAACTAGTAAATGTAAGATTGTCTGGATAAATTGAAACTTTAGAAAGACGAGACGCAGAGCTAACTTCGTTGTCTGATCGTTCTATATCTCCGGGGTTGGGTTTTTGTGATGATAGAGGACTCAGGGCAGGTCTGAACGCTATTGTCTTGGCCTAACTCAAGATGGACGGCTGAGGGAAGAGGCTATCAAGGTCGAGGGTATGAGAAGAATTCATATTTCGTGGAAGTACAATCTACGATACAACCCTATGCCAACCGACTTGGGTTACACCACCAGGCGAAGAGCGAAGTCTCCAGTCCAGTTTCATCCCAATTGGTCAACCGGCGACCACAATCCACTCTAATACTTCCTTGGCGCCCCTTCTGGTCAATTTACGATGGCTTCAAATTCGATCGAGTCACTCAGGGCTCATTTATAACAGCCTCCTATGTGGGCACTCTGCGGAGATGACTTAAAAGATCGAGAAGAATTGAGGAATATTCCCGGTATGGAAAACGCGGTTGGTCTCAACAGCGCAATACTAACAACCCACCAGCTGTATCCGCACAATTTAGGTCGTCTGGTACCCATTTCAAAGGATAGCTTCCAGACAGTGTCTGCTCTTTTTAAGCACAGGCAGAAAGCATGACGAATAAGATGCAGCGCGCTTCCTGTGAAGAGGAAATGGCTATTCACGGACTTCGTATGATGCGCCAGAATGGGTTGGTTGGCACAGGGCTCTACCAGGCAAAATGGCAGTGAATAGCAGTACACGTCATCCTGATCTTCCTGGCTTTCTTCTACCTATGTCTTACGGTGATCAAGTCTGGCGAACATTCTAAACTAACACTGTGGAAGAATAGCTCGCTAGGGACTCTTAGGCGTGGATACGACATGGACAAACCATTGGCCAGTGACAAGGCGTCTATTATAGACAGTAGAACTCGAGAATGCCGCAAGGGAAATTTGCACATGTTTGGAAGTTAAATTTGAAGGAGAGGCAATACTTGATGATTCCGTTGAGAATGGCGCCGTTGAGAAAGTCAGGAAACCTCATTCTCTCCTACCGACGGAGACATTACCAGTCAAGGGCTTTAGAAGCAATCAATGCTGCGACCTGCCAATAAACTCATACTTGAAGTTTCTGTTCACAAATCTGATTATTGAAAGTATTGCATAAGCAAGTAGTAAAAGTTCCACAAACCATAATACTGTGTTGGAATACCAAGGCCTATATTGCCCCTCATCTCTGCATGGTCGATGGGAGTCTGAGTTCCATCACTTTTGATTTCCGCTCTTTTCTTCATCGTGAAGCGGCCAGGGCTGAGCTGATGGCGTATGGTCACTGTGAAAGTGCTCATGCAGTCACTTCCATTCCAAGAATCGAAACCTCTCATCAAACAAACTTCGCCTCCGATACAGTATCTCGCGAGTGCATCGTCGCCCTCGCTACAAATCTAGCTTTTCCGGTTCAATCTGTTGTAGATTTTGATGGTCTTTCTCAAAAATCTCGACCAAAGTTCCTTACGCCGCGCCGCTGACATTGCATACACGTGTGTTGAGGGGTAAAGACCAAAGTCCCAATGTAAACTGAGACATTCAGCTATCATGCGACGCAGAACATATCAAAATGCCGCAAGGACGGTCTCAACCAATGGAGCTTTTCATTCTTTGCATATTTGAGAAAGATGCTCAGAGAATGGAACCTTTACGCGTCATGTGATCTGACCTACTTTACGAGACAGTTGGCCCTCCCAATTTCTTACGTTGCATTTGAGCTGAGTAGCGCTCGCCCCTCGGCAATTTATACTGTTGTGGCCCAATGCGGTTCTTCCCTGCAAACCTTTGATGCATCAATACGAAGTTGCAGCGTTTCACGGACTAATGAACCAATCATCGTTGTAATCATGATTTGCGACTTCTTGTTCTGTCGATATTCACTAGTTCTAGGCCTCCCTGCGGCTAGGGTGATGCAGTATATAGCGAATAGTATGAGTCTTCGCTGTCTTCTTCATAGGCAAAGTTAGCAGCTCAACTCTGCGATCATCGTGCGGCGTATCTCGCCCGGCTGAAGTGAAGGCATCGTTGTCTCAAAGAAGCGAGGGGAACATCGCCCGGCCGAAGTGAGGACAGGCATCACGCGGTCCGCGGACGATTCCACGTAGGTATTGCCCAGAGCGGGTGAGAGTTCTGAAGCTGAGGGGTGATGAGAAAAGAATTCCAAAAGTGTTCGTGGAATTGGGTATAAAAGCACACAACTAGAACCTATAGATCGAACACTTGACACACCAATCATCCAGTACCTAGTCAACCTCCGACTTCAACTATTCAGTTTACCCCATCAAAAGCTCGAATCCAAGTCATCACGCCAAATTTTTCGCAATGCAACTATCTCTTTACATCATTGCCACCCTCGCCGCCGCCTCGGCAGCCTTCAGAGTCCCCGAGGGCGCGACTGACGGCGTCTATGCCGCCTACTACGATGAGTCAGGCAATGAGGTCCACGTCAAAGATCCCAATCCCATCATTGTCGCCGTCCTCGTCTCGGCCGCCCCTGAGGCGCGAGCAGTGAAGAAGCCTGGCGTCTCCCGGGCCCGCCGTGCCTCGGCCCCGAGCGAGCTCTTCGCACGTGCGGCCACAGTTTGGTGCGGCTGCGGCTTTCACTTGAACAACATCGACTGTGATGGCGCGGTCCAGCAGATCAAGGACGGGATCAATGGCGCAGGCGGACAGTCCGACGTTGGACCCGGCCTAGCGTGGTACGCGATCCGCGGCAACGTTGTCGTGTTCCTTTGCAACCGCTACGGGCCCGGTAGAGGCCGCGTCACCGTGTCTAGCTTTGCTGCTGGTTTGTCGACAATTACAAGCGCTTGCGGTTACTATGTCACAGGAACTATCGAGAATGGCGTGCTCGACATCGGATACATGAACAACGATTCCAATGTGTGGTTTTGTGAGAGATCCCGATGGTCAACGGTGCATGAGTGTTAAAGGGGCTGCTTCAACCTCATCCCCCCTCACATGAGAGTCAATGTCAGATTCAAGGCCGCCGGTTGAGATGGGCTTTCTTTGGCAACGATACATGAGAAATCGTGTTGGAGTTGATCACTCCGAGTCCCTGGGACATGGAGCTGGCCGAGACTTGAAGATCAATTATTATTCTTCCTGTTTAGCAACGATTAGATTTAGTTTAAATTGAAACATGAGTGGATACTAGGGAACTTCCTGTGCCTGATATTTCACATTTCTCTGAAGTACCTTGGTCAAATATGACGTTGGGTTTGAAACACACATCACTTCACTGTTTTCGTAACTACTTAGATAGGGACTTGAAAACTCCAGCAACGATGTCGAATGACCATCCTGCTTCCAAGTCCTTAAACTGGGGGCTGACATCCCGACCCATGGACTTACTTGCGGCTGTGGCTGAAAGGGCCGGGCCGAGAGGGGTATTATTACCGTTCTACTTGCCATTGGCTGATAAGGGAGCGGTGAGCACACTAACCGAATAGTGATTTTTTTTGAAATCTCGAAATTCCATTATTAGCTTGAGTTTGAGATTCCATGGCTCGAATTTAGCCGGTGACAATTCCTCTTCAAGTGCCTTAAGTGCGAAGAGGGCCAGAAACCTTACAGCCACTTATTATCGACCGACCACAAACAGATTGCCTGAGACGACGTATCAGTGTGTCAGTGTGCCATTACTTACTTTTTATTTCTATATTTATAAATTACAAATTTGAATGTCAACAGTACAGTACAGGTAGTAAAAGTTTTACAAGTGAAAGTAGACAATTCCCCACGCTCCCAGCTCACCTCTCCGGATACACACGACCATCGTACAACATCTTACAAGGCTCTAAAAGAGTCAATTCGAGATTCTGCACTACCGAGGACCTTCGATAGCGGGCCGCTCAGCTCTTTTGACACGTCTCATCTTGACGCCACCACGAGTAGACCAGTACTGATCCAGCCTTGTCATGACCTCATCAACGTTATTGTAAGGTTGAAGAGCCGCCATGAACTGGACTTTCTGCGTAATAGCATCAGTGCTGAAAGCCGCAGCATTAACCGGGACAGCTCTCCATCTAGCTTCCATCGGGTCGGCAAAGGAAGTTTCGTTGTACCCGAAATCGGCCAGGGCCGTGACATTAAACGCCGCCATCATCTCGTGGTCCTCGTGGATAAGGTTGTGGCAGTGGAACATGTAGACGCCATCCCATGGGGCATAGTGCGCCTCGACGCGGACGACCTCGCCAGCATCGAGCCAGACCACGTCCTTCAGGCCAGCAGCCTCGTACGGAAGAACGGGTCTCTTCGCCTTGGTGCGGCTGAGGATACGGAAGTCGACAAGGTGCACGTGGATGGGATGCGTCCAGCCACCGCCACCGTTCTCAAACTCCCAGATCTCGACCTTGCCGCGGGGCACGTTGGCGAGGATGCGGTTCTTGACGTCGCTGAAGCCAACGCCGTTGATCTTCCAGCCGCCACCCTGGCGATGGAACAGGAACTTGCGGTCGACACCATTGCCCTGTGATGGCGGGAAGGGGACGTTCCGGAGATTGGTGGGGACGACGGCGTTATCGACGACAGCAGGCTTGCTAACGACGAAACGCATTACCTGGTTCGTGAAGCCGTAGTCTTTATCCTTGCCGACATCGTTCTGGTTCCGGAGCGTGATGTTTTGGCCCGCGAATTGGCTGAAATCGAAGACGACCTCCCAGCGCTCGGCCATGGAGATGGTCAGGGTGGATGATGTAATGGGACCCGTGAGGAGACCCGCGTCTGAGGCGATGACTTGGAAAGGAATATTGGCGCCGCCAGTTTGGCGCTGGAAGTAGAGGATAAAGGATCGTGAGACGGCGGAGTTGAGGAAGCGGAGGCGGTACTTGCGGGGTTCGACCTTGAAGAAGGGCCAAGGCTGACCGTTGACGTGAATGACGTCGCCCCAAAGACTGTCCGTCTCGCCGGCGGGAGAAAAGAGGGATCCATCGTTGTTGTACTGCTTTGACGACAGGACGAGGGGGATGTCGTTAACACCGTACCCGGTGGGAAGGCCGAGAGCATCCTCTGCGGGATCCTGGATGATGTAGGCACCGGCCTGACCAAAGTATGCGTTGACGGCAGTCTGACATTCATGGTAAGCTAGATGGGACGGATTTAAGGTTTGGGAAGGCTTACAATATCCATCGCGTGGTCATGATACCACAGGAAGCGGCCACTCTGGCTGTTGGGGTAGTAGTAGTCCTTGTACTGCCCAGGCAGAATGCGGTCCTCCGCCCACCCGTCCCAAGGTGCCCTCTGACATGGCATTAGACAACTGGCAAACTATGACAGGGCTCCAGAGACTTACAGAAGGCGAACCATGGAGATGCACCGCACTCGGCAGAATAGCCTTGTTGGTGAATCTGACAACCGTCTCCCGTCCCCTGGGAACCAAGAAAGTAGGTCCAGGGGAGATGCCATCATAGCCTACAAGCGAGGCCGGTCCCTTGTTGGGATAGACCTGCTGCTTGAAGGGAATGATGTCAACCTCGTAGTAATCGATCTGCTTGTTTGTGACCGGGTTCGTGATCGACCTGAGTAGTCATCAGCATCAGAGTAAGTCTGGGTGGCCATATCTCTTACATCTTGGGCTGCTTCACCGGCGGGATCGGCAGAGGAAACTGGTAAAAGTACTTGTACTCAGGACTAAGCCAGTCCTTCGCCGATGACCCTTCGAACAGGGCCATCGCCGCCACAAGGTGGGAAGCTCGGAAGAACATCTTGTCAAAAGAGTGAGGGGGAGGGTTTCGACGCGAGGGAAGCTGGGTATCGTTTCAGAGACGAAGCTTGGCCTGGTGATCCAACATCAATAAGTTACGAGATAACCGTGGCTTATATATGCCATTGCAGTGACCAAGGTTTGACCTGTGTCCGTAGTCCCATGATGATGGAAAGAAAACACCCGAGTGGCGTCGCGTGGGCATCGAGGCTATTGCCGCCTTGTCGTCCATTGCCAGGACTGTCCGAACATACATAGGAGCGGAAGTCTAGATGTGTTCCCTGGGTTATGGCTCAGGCTTCGTGACTCGAGAGTGTCGTCTGCTTCCAGCTGTGAGAAGAGAGTCTAGAACCTTAGAATAGCACTTCCCACGCTTATCGGATGAACTGTGTGCGGTCAGCGCGTATAGGAAAAAGGCAGTACTCCTGCAGGAACTATGACATCCTTCCCCACTTTCCGCGGGAAGTCTCAAGATCTCTTGCTTGTGTTGCATTGGGGAGGAAAGATCAAGCATCGCCAAGTTCATTGAAGCGGCGCATCGGGTGACCCGAAGAATTGGTTTAGCTGCGAGGCTCCCGAAGCCGTGCATGCATTCGCGAGCTGCACTTTCGGCTATCGTCAGTCAGTGCCAACTGTGCCATCCAGGGGCAACATCGAAAATAGCGGAAATCGTAGAGTCCGGTGTTCTTGGCATCTGGAGATGCCCCCCTTCCCCCGTGGAGACCGTCTTCGAGACATCCACAGCCCAGCACGCACCCTCAGCCATATCGAAAAGAATGTAGGCTCCGATGCAAGTACAGAGCATCTACTCCGTATGCATCTCGCCATTAAGGTCAAAAGGTGCAGGCTGCTGTAGCAACATGGACTGCCAAGGCGCGCCGGCAGGAACGTGTGTTTCCCCACGGACATGACATTGGAAATGGACAAGAATTCCCCTTTTCGACATTTGCGTTTGTTGTTACACGAATAGAATCGGAGATTGTGTGTAGAGAGCGTGAAAGCTGGCAACGATCCCTTCGCAACAGTTTCCTTGGTGGCAACTGCTGTCAATCGCGAGGTCTATTTGCCGCCGGCATACTAACACACCCATTGAGTTGAAGGATGACGGACGCCTCTTGGTGATCTCTCCGAGTGGCGCTTCAAGCTGGTGAGGGTTCTCGGTGAAGACCATCCGAAGGCTCGGACGCGCCCCCCTGAAACTGATGCCCTAGCTCGGATGAATAGACTCGGGGCTGACAGCTAGCTCATGTCGTGCAAGGCTCGTGGGCCACGTATCGATTCTGACTTCCCACGCAGATCCAATCTTAGGCTGGCGTTATGGAAGGTGACAGACTATTCGATACATGCTTTTCTTCAGCCGACAGCGAATTCTGTCCAACTCCGGGCTTGGGGAAGGCGAAGAGGTCAAAGACCAGCAGAATCTCAAGCTGAAAAAGGTATCCGGACTTGGCCGGGGCAAAGGCCGGTGCTTGGACCCACTTACGCTCCGTGCCGACCCCAACCGGGCAGCTCACGACTCCAAAGTTTACTCCATCCTTTGGCGAACAATACAAATCCACAACATCACCCAAGCAAATATGATTTGATTATGGGCTGCAAAAAGCAAAATGATGGGGCTCAACCGGGGATCGAACCCGGGGCCTCTCGCAGAGTAGACAGGTGTCAGAACCCAAAGCGAGAATCATACCTCTAGACCATTGAGCCAGTGTTGCGAAATGTCTTCATCTCGGAATGGAGCTGCCGATTTCCGAAGAATTTGTTGATTATAGAGTCTTGCCTTATACACAGGAATCGTTTCCTTGTTCAAGTCGCCATATCAATCAGCACACGACAGCCCATATACATTCAGTGTTAGTTCACAACAGCGCAATGCGTCATGAAATTCTCATGCAGAATCTAAACGAATGGTGATTGTCGTGAATTGGCAAATGGTGATAGCGCAAACTGCCACACCAACTACGCAACAAAGATTATTACTAAAGGCGGAACCGTCGTCAATGAACCGAATCATGTGGCTGGTGCTTCAACAGAACCGTACCGCCTTTGACGGCACCCGACGCCATTGTGGTAGACTCCATTTGCCGCCGCAGTGAAACCTGACCGAGTGCCGGCAGCAGGCCTGAACCTTATCTCTTTGTCTCTATCGGAACGTCACGACCTTGTTGAAAAATCTAGAATTCGATATGCTCCCATGTCCTTGTCGTAGTGAACACTCAGCTCCTTCGTGATGTGACGATGGCTGACTGAGGACCATTCCAGTCGTTGACGACGAGACGTGCTCCAGTTGGCAGAGCCGCATGACCTCAATGCCAAGAGAAGAATAAAACAGCCGTGAAGCGCCCAACTCTAATACTCTCACCATCAAAAGACAAGGATGCGTGACCTCCATCGATCCCCGACAAATGGGGCCGCGCCCGTTCTCCATCGTGGATCCCGCCCGCCGAGGACCGATACCCGCGCCACCCAGCCCCTTCCGGGACGGCTATCGGCCGGTGACGAGAAAGAACAACCATCTCTCACCGGTGCCAACACTATGCGGGAGTGCCAACGCGTTATCGTCCGCATCGTCCACATCGGCGACACAAGTCAAGTCTTGCTCCACCGTTCATGTTCGTGATCCACATCTAGGGCACTAGCCTCCAGGCCATCATCTTTGGTCGCCGAGAGGGTCTAGTCAACGCCGGCACCATGGAAATAGGACCCGCCCTCCCCACGAAATCTCTGCCACTGCCGTGATGACAGATTGATGATGCTGGTTAGATGGCTAAACATCAGAACACATCCCCTCCAGTCTTGTTCCTCATGCTTCGCAACGCGTAAGTAACATGTTAGTCAACATGGAAGTGCCCGGGACGAGGAAAGGACTAGGCTTGGCCCAAAAAGCTACCTGTACGGATACTTCAGTCAAAAGATGACCCGAGTAAACTTGTTCTAGATCGCCGTGTCAAGGCCCCATAACGTAAGGATAATCTTCCCCGGTCTGCTGCCAAGCTAGCTTCCCCCTTGTCCACCCTTCGATAAGTCTCGGGCGCCAAGGCGGCTGGCGGTGCGGCTTCTTGCAAAGCGGTCGGTCCTTGCCTCTCGAGACAGCCGTTGTCTCTATCTTATAATCAACCCATGTATTCTGTCAAGTCATACTTAGGTACACCGTCTTTCGCTCGACTCTTTCATCTGAACGGTGACGATCTTTGCTCCTCTACACTGAGTGGCAGCTTTCAACGACTTGACATCCAGTCTTTCGAAACAACATTTCAAACTATCAACCATACTTTTCAATAATATCCTTAACATCAAATCGAAGTAGGTATATTCGTAGCCAATATGGCAGCCAGCAAAGCTGGTGCGGTTCTCGCAAAGATACTCGGTATCGATCTCGAAGCCAGCACCCGCCACCAGACACAGGAACTCCACGACCATGTTGTCGGCGCCATCTCACCTTACGAACCATATTATGAAGAAGATCCCACAGTGAAGGATTGGTTATTAGAGCAGGTACCAACGAAAGAAGGCTCGGCTCGATACGTTAAAAGCCTTTTTCCCTTTACGAACTGGATCCTCCGATACAACACTCGCTGGCTCATTTCCGACGCTATTGCGGGTACGCACCTCCAGGCTTCTAAGCCTGCACGATAACTTCGCGGCTGTAACTGACGATACTCAGGTATCACTCTTGGACTCGTAGTCATCCCACAAGCCATGGCTTATGCTCTTCTCGCCCGACTAAGCCCTGAATACGGACTTTACACATCATTTACCGGCGCAGCTCTTTACTGGATCTTCGGAACCTCCAAGGACATTGCGATAGGAGTAAGATGCCCAACTTTTTCCGTTCGAATAACATGTTCATACTGACTTGATAACGTAGGCAACCGCCGTCGTGTCCCTCCTCGTCGGAAAAGTCAGCGCCAAAGTCCTCGAAGAACACCCAGGCGAATTTCAACCCGAAGAAATCTCCAAAACCCTCGCCTTCCTCGCCGGCGCCGTCCTACTCGTCTTCGGCCTCCTCCGCCTCGACTGGATTATCGAGTTCATCCCCCATGTCGCCATCTCCGCATTTGTCACCGGCGCCGCTATCACAATCACGCTCAGCCAGATTCCATCCCTCCTTGGCATTGATGGTGTCAACTCCAAAGAGGCTGCTTATCGTGTCTTCATCAACACGGCTCGTGGCCTGCCTCGCGTCAAGCTCGACGCCGCCATTGGGCTGACTGCTCTAGTGCTATTAGCTGCCATTAAGTGGTATACGGAGCGCATGGCCAGGTCCCAGCCGAAGCGGAAGCGCATGTGGGAGATGCTCTGCTCGCTGCGCATGACTTTCACTATCTTGCTGTATACACTCATCAGCTTCTTGGTGAACCGCGGGCTGGAGAATGGGGAGCACAAGTTCCGCATAACCGGAACACTGCCAAAAGGCTTTACCCACGCTGGCCCGCCTTCGTTAAATACCAAGTTGATCTCGGCGTTGCTGCCAGATCTACCGGCCACAGTCATCATCCTTGTGATTGAGCACATTGCTATCGGCAAGTCGTTTGGCCGCATTAACAATTATACCGTCCAGCCATCTCAAGAACTCATCTCAATCGGATGCACCAACCTATTCGGGCCCTTTCTTGGCGCATACTCCTCGACAGGCTCTTTCGGCGGCACCGCAATTCTCTCAAAAGCCGGTGTAAAAACCCCCATGGCCGGCGTCTTCAACGGAGCGATCCTCCTCCTCGCCTTATACGCTCTCACCTCAGTACTCTACTACATCCCCATGGCCAGTCTGGCAGCTCTCATCATCCACGCCGTGATCAACCTCATAACCTCTCCAGACCACATCTTCAAGTCATGGCTCATGTCACCCCCCGACGTCTTCATCTACTTCATCGGCGTCTTCGTCTCCATCTTCACCAGCCTCGAAGATGGCATCTACGTCACAGTAGCCTTGTCCGCAGCCCTCCTTCTCCTCCGTCTCGCCCGCTCCAAAGGCCGCTTCCTCGGCCGCGCACGCGTCTACCAGCACCCAGACCACCACGCCGGCGCCACCCCCGATCAAAAAGACTCGGACCGCCACTCCATCAGCAGCTCGCAGACCCTCTCGCACGGCAAGGCTCCTCCATCGCCCCGACTCCCGCCAGCGCACGACGTCTTCCTCCCACTAGATCGCAAAGATGGCACCAATCCCGCTGTACAAGTCAACGAGTTATACCCAGGCGTCTTCATCTACCGTTTCACCGAGGGTTTTAACTACCTCAACCAAGCGCAGTATGTCGACCGCCTGATCGAGCACGTTAGGCATTCCACCCGCCAGACCACGACACCACACTACGACCACCCAGGCGACCGGCCCTGGAACGAGCCCGTCCCGCCCTCGACAGTAGAAACCGACACTGAAGCCCCGTCGTTGCTGAAGCCGATCCTTCGAGCCGTCATCCTTGACTGCGCCGCCGTCAACAACATGGACTCAGGCGCCGTGGAGGGCTTGATTGACCTACGGAACCAACTCGACAGGTGGGCGGCGCCGGAGCCGGTGGAGTGGCATTTCGCCGGCGTGCATAATCGATGGACGCGGCGCGCGCTGTCGGTATCTGGATTTGGGTGTCCGAAGACGGGACACTTGGATGGATGGGAGCCGGTTTTCAGTCTGGCTGATTTGGCGGGACGGCCACCGATGATGTGCGAGCAGCAAGTTGTAACGACGAGGTCGAAGTCGGCGGGCGTGGCGAGTGACTCTGAGCAGTCTTCGTCGTCGGCGTTGGAGCAGGATATTTTGGGGTCCGAGGAGGGAGGGGTTCGACACCTCGGGGCTGTTGGTGCTATTAACAGACCGTTCTTCCATCTCGATCTCCCTCTGGCGCTTGAAAGTGCTGTCAAGAGTGCAAGAACGAGGGATCATCGACCGCAGATTTGAAGTACACGGTCATGCGCTGCCATTGTCAGCTTGGATGTGCGCTCATAGCCGTGCGGAAGATGAAGTGTGATTTCCATGTGTTTGAATGATATTAGAATACTTTAGATACTCCAATAGCATGTTAGTTTAATTTGATACACGATTCTCTTTGAGTCATTGCATGTCGTCGCCTCATGTCACTTGCCTCGAAATATTTGAAAGGTCACTTTGCTCATGTTCGACCGGCTCTCTCGATGTCACTGCGCATCCATTGCATCAATGTACCAATCATATAGGATGAGAATATTCTAACCATCGTCTCATTAGGTCATACTTCTAAATTTGCCAATCATTTCGTTTATTCTCTATCGATATCTGTCCAGGTCAGACCACAGTCGTAAACACTTGCATCTTGCCTTTGCTTTCCCACTTGATCTCAATGCCAGGAGCAACAAAATAGATGTGACCAGCCTTTACATCAAATATCTTCCCATCCGCCTCCAGAACCCCCTCGCCATCAGTGACAATAGCCACCGAGGGTCCTTCACCCGCCTTCAGAATTTCTGTCTTGTTCCCCTCATCCAAGTCCGTCTTCAACATGTCAAACTCGCTCAACGGCGGCGGATACACGACAGTACGTCCTTTTGTGCCCCGAGGACTCTGCTCCGCAGGTAGCAACACATCGTCCTTGCTATGCGCCTTGAAAGTCAACGTCTTGCTGAACAAATCAATGTTGTTTCTGTCGCCGGGTGGACAGAAGCCGGTGTTGAGGACATTGTTCGAACGAGCCATGCACTCCACAATATCCCCAGACAAGTAGGCGTGGATGCCGTCGGCCGGGATATACAACGCATCACCAGCCTCCAGTGACAAGAAGTTCATACACAGCAGCGCTATCAGGATACCATTGTCGCCTTTACCGTACTGATCCTGCAGACGTGGCAGCAGGTCCAGCACGTACCCATTGCCGCCCAGTTCCTCGCGCGGCGTGCCGCCAAGAGCCTCGGATACCTTTTCGACGGTATCCTCGTCGGCGAGCAGGATGCGGCGCGTGACCTCCCGCAATGTCTCGTCGGTCCACTTGGTCGTCCCGTCGGGGATCAGGTCCCGCAGGGCGGGGATGTTGAAGACGGGCGAGATGTGGTCCAGGGGCTTGAACCCGGCAAAGACCTCAAACGGGCCCAGCGCCACGGCGATCTCGGGCTTGTGGTTGGCATCGGTGAAGTTTTCGGGGTCCTGCTCGTGGAGTTTGCTTGCGAGTGACTTGTTTGGGTGGATCTGTAGGGGAAGCGCTTTTGCGATGGAGAGAATCTTGGGGAGGTAGGGCAGCTGGCCGTCGAGCTCCGTGATGACTTTTTGGCCGAGGAGTTGTTCCTTGTTCTTGTCCAGGACGTCCTTGAGAAGCTCGCCGGTCTCGAGAACGCGGGCGGGAAAATCGGGGTAGTCGCCGAACCACATCTCTGAGTAGGCTTTGTCATCTTTTATCGTGAAGCCGTTGGAGGTGTTTTCGCAGAGGCGCGCGGCGAGGGAGTCGCGGCCCTTTTTGCCCCAGTCGTAGTTGTTGCATGTGCCGCTTAGCTGGAAGACTGAGCTTTGAGAACTCATGGTGGTGGTTTGGTGAGGTTTTTTTCTTCTTTCTTGGTCCCTTGGTTTTATCTTCTCTTCCTTTTCTTCCAGATGTGACTTTAGCGCGTTGACTTTGAGTGATGATCAGGGGTATCCCGTCTATGAGATCACGTCTAATTAATGAGAACAACAATATTGCGTTTAAATCTTACACAGCAAGCGCATAAATATATCACGAGAAGGCAATGGTTAATAATTCAATATTGAGTGACCGGCTAGTGACGTCGAAAGGATTGACGCAACAGAATCGTCATCGAAGTCTTGGATCCGTCCGACACCCGGTCCCACTTTGTTGTGTCTCGGCGGGCCGTGGCGAACTCGAAGCCGGACCTGCAGCTCCGGCCAACGGTGTAACAGCCGCATCTTCGGAGAAGCTGAGATATTTTGACTGATCAAAGCTGGAATCGCGATCCCGGGCAATGAATAGTATCCTAATTGTGTCTACAACATCGAGTGCATAGTCCGGTTTACGGTGTCAGGCCCATGTTTGGAATGGTCTGTTTTCACAACCAGAGTTCATAAGTGGACAGACACAACACAACCAACATGAAATTCATCTCAGGTGGGTGAAGTCGAACTCACCACGACTTGCGATTGAGACGAGGATGGCTTGTATTGAAGCTTCAAGTTTGCTTCGTAGAGAAGCTCTATGCATGGAGTCGATATTTAGGAACTGAAGTCTTCGTCGTTTAAAGTTGTATGATAATAGAAGGTAGCGTTTGCCATTTATCAGCCACTTCATGTCACTGAGTTAGGTACGGGACAGTAAAGACAGATATTCCCTCACATTACCAAAAAAAGCTACGCCATTTTGAATTACCATTTCATTTTCTTCACTCATCACACCGAATCTCATAGAACTCAGACAACTCAGCAAACCCAAGCCCAGACCCAGGACCATCAGGCCGACCGATCATCGCCGAACTCTCCTCGGCTCTGAGGCCATCGCCAGACCGATCAGGTTGCTCGCCTTTCCTAGACGAATACGACTTCGACTTGCTCTTGGAGTTGTTTCTGCCCTTGCCTTTGCCCTTGCCCCTTGCGCGATCACTCTCCTCAGAGTCATCATTGGCGCCAGTGGCACGGCCGGAATCACCAAAGCCCTTATTGTCCTCACTAGAGTCTTCTTTCCCGCCAGCAGCGGCATGAAAGAAAGACTCTTCAGCGCCTAGAGAGAAATTATGCGCGCCGGGAGGGACGGCCGCGCGCAATGTTGCGCGCGGCATAGAGGTTGAGAGAGCGGCCATTGCGAGAGGCCTTGGCCTTGCTCGCCTTGTTGGCCTTACCGGCACCGGCAGCACCACCGGTAGCAGCGCCGGCGTTGGCAGTCCCGTTGTTAGCGGCGCCTCCGGCCGCGGCGTCAGCTTCGTCAGCAGCATTGCCGTTGCCGGCGGCAGCATCTTCCTCATCAGCCGCGTTTCCGTTGTCTGCGGCAGCGTCCTCCTCATCTGCGGCGTTGCCGGCATTGTTGTTGGCGGCACCGTTACCAGCGTTCTTGTTCTTGCCAGCCTTTGCGTTTCCGGCTCCAGCGTTCGCGTTGCCTGCATTGGCGTTTCCGTTGTCGGCCGCGGCATCCTCCTCGTCAGCGGTAGCGTTGCCATTTCCTGCGGCGGCGTCTTCATCATCTGCAGCGTTGCCTGCATTGCCGGCGGCAGCATCGTCTGCGGCGTTACCTGCGTTGCCGGCGGCAGCATCCTCGTCGTCGGCCGCGTTACCGGCGTTGTTGTTGGCGGCACCGTTACCAGCGTTCTTGTTCTTGCCAGCCTTTGCGTTTCCTGCTCCAGCGTTTGCGTTGCCGGCGTTGGCGTTGCCAGCGTTTGCATCGCCAGCTGCGGCATCCTCCTCGTCGGCGGCATTGCCAGCATTGCCTGTGTTACCGGCGGCCGCGTCCTCTTCATCGGCGGCAGCACCGTTGCCGGCAGCGGCATCCTCCTCATCGGCGGCATTGCCAGCATTGGCATTACCAGCGTTCTTGTTCTTTCCGGCCTTGGCGTTGCCTGCTCCAGCATTGGCGTTACCGGCGTTCGCGTTGCCAGCATTGCCGTTGTCAGCAGCAGCGTCTTCCTCGTCAGCTGCGTTGCCTGCGTTGCCAGCGGCAGCGTCTTCATCGTCTGCAGCAGCGTTGCCGTTGCCGGCAGCCGCATCTTCGTCATCAGCAGCAGCACCACCATTGCCAGCGGCGGCATCCTCCTCATCCGCCGCGTTACCGGCATTGCCAGCATTGTTCTGGTTGTTGGCGTTGCCGCCGGCGTTGCCACCCTTGGCCTGGGCACCATTACCACCGGCACCGGCACCAGCAGCCTGCTGGCCACCGTTGCCGCCGCCACCGCGCTTGCGCTTGCTGGCTTGTGCTCCGGCCTCGAAGACGTTAATGACACCGTCACCGTCGAGGTCGTCAGGGTCTCCGGCCGCGGCGGGGGTGCCGTTTGGGTTGTTGCGGTCGAAGGTGGACTGGAGCTGCTGGATAAGTTCGCTGCCTCCGGCGCGGCGTTGACGGCTGCGGGAGACTTCGGAGGCGGGCGCCGCGGCGACGACGCCGGCCAAGAGGGCGATAGCTGCTGTGGAGAACTTCATCTTGGAGTTGTGAGAGAAGATAGAGATATGAGAGTAAAGTGTGAGAGAATGTAAGAAAAAGAGAGTAAAGTACAAGTAAAAGAACGACTACTGCCCGAGTAGTGTTGAAGAGAATGAGACTGGCTCAAGGGAACAGGAGAAAAAGGAGAATGTGGTGATGGATGAGGTGGTGTGAGGGTGAAGAGAAAGAGCAATTGTTATCACCAGCGGCCAAGAAGCCATGCTTTATATTCCATCCCGCCAGTCGACTTCACCTCACAATTAAGGTCCGCCTACCCCATGTGTTCACCCTGTCTTTGCGCCATCATCTGGTATTCTTGCGCTGAACTCCAGCCGCCCATGGGTCGCAACGTGATGGACCATGAGAATGATGCCAATACCATCATCCCATGAGCCTCAGGGGGGAAGAACCCTCGTGAAACAAACCACCATTGGATCAATGGATCCGAGTCACCACTCTCTAACCATGGCATGTGCCAGACTCTCGGAGCGGCCTCTCAGATCGGCCTTGTCTCCAACGTCTAAACTCCCCGGCGCCTCGATGGATCATAGACAAGTATCCGCAAAGGCGACTGGCAAACCGAAGCCCTTGTTATTGTTGTTGTTGTCGGTGGTGAGAGCGTTGTGGGTTGGTCTTGGCTGAAGTTGATGTTCACAGCTCCACCACGGAGATTTCTCCACAAAAGTTTCGCGGAGTCGCATTTCAACAGTCTCAGGAGCTCGGTTTGTCTCAACATCCCTCCAGGGAAAAAGTCTTGGCCGACACCTCTGCTGCTTCTCGTTCACCTTCTGTGCTTCCAACTACCACGTCAAATGGTCTTGGCAAGTTTGTCCAGGTTGCCAACATCCATCTGAACTGTGAACATGGACAGAAAAGGCTCAAGACGCAATGCGCCAAGCCCACCTCCAAAACGTCCGTCTGGGGTTCCCCTTGGCTGTCAGTCTGCCAGTTGAAAAGCCGTCGGTGACGCTCAACCCAAGTTCGTCCAGCTCATCCGATGGACGAATAAACGTCATGTGCCATCCGTAACTCGGGATGTCAGACTCCTGAAACACCACACCCCCAGTACACAACCTCGCAACAGAAAAAGAAAAGGGGGTAAAGAGAGCACGGTCTAGAAAGAATAAGAATTTTTTAAACATTAGCAGCAAATAAGCTCCAATATCACCATAGTAAGCTTGATTTACAGTGGACGGGGGGAACCACGACCCTGGGCCCGGGGAGGGAGGGGGCACGCACGGTGGTCCAGCCAGCGGCTTTGAATGATGTGATGGTGGATTGTGGGGGTTTGAGAACTATCCCGAACGATCGACTCGAGTGCCCTTGACCGGATTGACAGAGTCCACCTCAGTCAAGACCCAGTCAAGTTGAGTCGGATCGAGTCGAGACCAGGCTCATTGTCCGTCCCGGTTTCGGTCTCCGTTCTTTTTTCAGAGGCGGGCGGCAGATCACGTCGGGTTATTGTCTTTCTCCCCGCCCTCGAAGAGAAGGTGCAGCTATTCTTGGAACCTCCTTCACATCTGCCGCTCGCTTTCTGTGGCTCTGGAACCCGTGATCGTCTGCGAAACCCGCGTTGATCATGTCTTGGTGCGGCATATACTCATCATAGACCCATCTTATGCCATTACGCTTGCTAGTGTGAGTATGATGAAGCTGGAGAGTCAAAATAAGGGAGGACTTTTAAAGGGAAAAGAAATAGACATAACTAGAACCCACATACTGCAGCTTGCGTGGAAATACGTGACGAAAGGAAGAGGCTCACGGACAAAAAGACATGGAAGTAATTACTTTAGGTTAGGTACAGGTATAAGTATACATCATGAATGAAGAAAAGAAAAGTCGTAAAATATGCCAAGGGCACGTCACCACCGGTGAAGCTCCTCAAAAGCTGTAACACAGATCCCAGAGCGGCACACGGGTGCTGTAAAGCTCGCCGCTCCACCACTGAGTCGCGAACCCAGTCAAGTTGAAGTAGAAATCCGTTGCAAATTCGACCCCATTGTTCTCGGCGCAGATCAACCCGTCCTTGGGCACATCAACACTCACCTGCGTCACCTCGGCTGGCTTGCTCGTAAAGTTACCGCCCCCGATGCTGCTACTGCCGCTGCTGCTGCTGCTGCCACCAACGCTGCCGCTGACTCCCAGATTCTGTTCCCCGCGCAGCTTGAAGACGTTATCGAAACCCGGCGTCGCCGTGATGCCGGAGCTGAGATCGACCAGCCCGCCGAGCAACTTGAACGCCAGCTGAACGGTTACGTCCGCCGAAGCATCGACACGCACGTCAGCTGACTCGGTGATGTTGGCGTAGCTGCTGTACTTTGGCTCCCATCCGCTCGCCGATGACTTCTCCCCGTGAAGCAGATCGAGGTGGACGTTGCCCGCCGGCAGACTGACGCTCAGTCCGGCAGTGACGCCAACGGCAGCCGAGACGTCAAAGTCCAAGCCCACGGCGAACGCCACGCCCGGACCGAGCTCGACAATACCGGGGACGGAGACAAGGGAGTAGGATAATGCGTCCGGGGCATACTTGAGCGCGTGGCTGTAGGACGCGGCGACGTCGACCGACACGCCGACGGCCGATTCAAAGGTCGTGTCGAGGTCAAAGTACAGGGCCTGCAGCTTGAAGCCCCAAAAGTTGTACTTTAGGTAGCCGGAGAAGGTGATGCTAGAGCTGAACCAAGCCTCGTCGGCCGTGATGTTGACGTACTGCCCGTCGCTGTAGAGCACCGTGTCCTCGGCGAGGCCCTCGGCAAAGGTGAGGGAGACGGACGGGTCGAGGGTGAGGCGCTTGGAGAGCGTGGCGGCCGGGAGAGAGGTAAAGGACATTTCGCACTCGCCGGCAATGGTTGTGAGTTCTTCCTTTGACGCAGCGACTGTGATTGAGAGGTCGCCCTTGCTGGAGGTCAGGCCCGTTGCGAGGAAGAAGCCGCGTTCGAACTCGGCGTCACAGTTGCCCATATGATTGGTGATGAGGATGAAGCCTTCTTCTGCGGAGTCGGTCCAATCCTTGATGGCCTCGTCAAAGGCGTCCAGGGAGGAGAAAGAGACGGTGAGTTCATCATCTCCGCATGCGACGTTGCTGATGGCGTCGATGTGCTCGAGGACTACGGCAGGATTCTTGAACGCGAGCTTCATGTCGATGGAGCCCTGTTCTTCCGTGTCTGTGGCCGCGTAGTAGAGCGAAACATTCGTGGCCGGAACGATGTTGATGGGATCCTTTGTGTCGATTCCTGGAGCTGCGGAGGCGCCAAAGGTATGTGTTGTGTTTACGGCCGGACGGAGGGTCTCGGGCTTGACGGCGAGGGGCTCGTAGGCTGGTATATCCTCGATTACGTGCTCTGCTTGCGTGGTGAATCTTTCCGTGGACGTTGGCTTCGCGACGGTGGTTAGTGTTGTGAGGGAGGAGGAGGAGGATGCTGCTTGTTCGGGCTGTTCGGGCATCTCGACGACGATGTAGGTGACGCGCTGGATGCCATCGGAGGAGCAGCTGCAGCCTTCGGTGTGAGCGGCTGCGCTAGAAGCAAGGAGCATTCCGGCCAGGAAACAACCAACTACACTTGAGCGGACCATGTTAAGGGTATCAAAGAGAAAAGCAAAAGGGGATCAAAGAGCGTCTGGTATTCTGAACGAATGTCGTTGGAAAAATGAGAGGACGCACAGCAACGAAGCTGGCCTGGCTGATTCAAAGGGTGACTTGAGGCGCGCGATATCACCGACGAGGAGATGTCTACAGCTCCAACAACGTGAGACTTGACGGGAGAGGCGGCCACTAGGCCTTATAAGGTGGCCGCTTGTCTCTTCTCTCCCTCCATCGTCTCTATCTGTATATCTTATTCCCCCTTCCCCTACCCAAGAATGGTTAGCCATATGCCAGATCAGATTGGTCTGTCGGCAATGGCGCAGCTGCCGGGACGGAAACCGAGCAAGGTATCTTCGATGCTTGGGGGGCACATCTCACGCGTGACTGGACGACAGACGCGGACGCAGCTGGAAGATGGTGTGATGCCCATCCCGGCTACGAGCCTACGAGGTTATCTGGTTCTTCTCTTGATGGTAGGGGTTGTTAGCATACGACGGAGGGGACGGAGGGGATTGGTACGTGACTGAAATGCAACGTTGACGGATTAGCAGCCACTCGATTAGGTTATTCCCATGGCCACACGGTCTTGAACATTGCCCGGATACTGCGCCGGAGGTGGGGGGAAACCAACCCGCTATCCTCTTCCTTCTCTCCTCTAGCACGGCTATGATAGCCGGACAAACGTGTCTTGGGGTCTTGGAAAGATGCCGCTGATGGGCTCCGCGCGTCTTTCCCCGGGGGCATGACAGCAGGCAAGGCACGTTTTCGGCCAGATACATCCTTCGATGGTGATGGACTCATGGAGTGTTGCCCGTGTATGGACGATGCGCCGTCAGGTAGGAATCAGGTGGGACAAGAGTCAGGGTCCGACCAGGGAGAGAGGTAGACGGGAACCTTTTTTCTGGACTCGATACTATTCCCAAAGAGACCAACACGGTTTAAGCTCAAGTGCTGTGCTTGCGTGCTCATTGGGCCCTTGATGATCATCGAAACTCAATTGGTCCCCTGGTGATCTCCCATCTATCGACGAGAAGAGCTCAAAGGGGATCCCATCCTCTCTAGCTCGGGAAGAACCGCCCAATTAGGACGTGAAAGTCCACATCTTGGTCGCCATTGGCTTGATGCTACCCTGTCATGACTGTCAGCTTCTGCTCCTCTTGCTCTTTTGGGGAGTGAAAGCGGCCCTCAATGGCGGTCCGTTATCGTCGATTCGTCGCACCGCGGTACCTTACAGTCTGACAGATGGTTGCCCCTGAGGTTAGCAGGATGCGTGACAGGGTTATCCTGTGTCATCATCGCCATGTGGCTCCGCTGGTCTGCCCATTCGTGGGTGTTTAGACCGCCTCTTATTTCTTTCGATCCTTGGGAGAGAGAAAGTCAGGACTAGCTTCAACTGAGACAAGCCAACCGTTGGAGACTGTTGGTTGGAAAGTGATTTCTGAGAGGCGCTCCCCCCTGGTCTTCAGTGTCCATCTTGCTGCTTACGGAGTACAAAGGGCAGAATTCAACTCTGGTAGACTATCGGCGGGTCTATTGGTTCGGAACTGGCCGTTAGCATCATTGTTAAGGTGCCGCTTTGATCTCAACGAGGTCATCGCTGACTTTGGTTCTCATTTCCTCTTCTTCCCCCCATCGTTTCTCACAACTGTGCGCGACTCAACTTCCATGTCCATCACATGGCCTTTCCACGACACTCACCTGCCGGATTCCGAATCTCTCGCATTTCATCGCGTCGAATTCGGCCACTACTATAATTGACCTAGTCAACTGCTCACTTGGGATAAGAGGCCCGCAAAATAAAGAACATGGAGTCATGCACACGAGCGTGGAACGAAACGGGAGCGCGCTCGCCGGAATACTGCCGATGATGAACTAAGTCTTTGTTCAATTTTGCTCAAAACCGGCCAGTGGCCTTGACTCGCTCTTCTCATCCCTTGACCCAAGCGGATGGAGCGAGGGAACAGAAAGATGCGAGGCGGGAAATTTGTGTACAAGCCGTACATAGTATGTACATGAAAACTCATCGAGCCACAATCTCTTCACCTGAAGAAGTGATGTGCTCGATGCTGCTACTCCCAACTCCTTCTCTCTTACGCTCTTCTCTCAACTCAACCCCTTTTCATCATCCCCACAAGGTAGGATTGTATCAGATCATCTACTCATTTATGCGGTGACGTAGACGGTCTTGATGGTGGTGCGGGTGCTGCACTTGCCGCTCTGAGCAGGGGCACCGGTGGGCTTGGGGCCACGGGTCTTGGTGCGGGTGCGAGTCTTCTTGGTCTTGGAGGGAGCAGCGCCGGAGGGGGTGGCGGTCAGCTCGGGCTTGGCCTCGGAGACGGTGGTGCCGGGAACGGGAGCGGCAGATGAGGCAGGGGCCTGGGACACAGTCTCGAAGATAGGGACGGGAGCGCCGGAGGGGGCGGAGGCGGAAGCAGCCGGGGCAGACGAGGCGGGGGCCTCAGCGGGGACGGAGGCAGCCTCAGAGGAGGTGGGGACGGCGGCCGGGGCGGAGGCGGAGGCGGAGGGGGTGTAGGCCGGGCCGGAGATGGTCTCGAAGATGGGCTCGGGGGCGGTGCCGGAGGCGAAGGTGGGGTCAGCAGAGTTCACAGCGCTGGTGGCGACGGCGTCGACAGCCTCGGTGGTGGAGGGAGCGGTGGTGGAGGGAGCGGCGGCGACGGGAGCGGAGGAAGAAGCGACGGCGGCGGCGCTGGTGGCAGGGGCAGCAGAGGAGGCGGGAGCAGCGGAGGAAGCGGTGCCGGAGCCGGCGCCGCCAGCCATGCAGGCGAAAGACATCTTGGTGACGGGAGAGCCGGTGACGGGGCCGTCGAGCTTCCAGGTCATGGAGACGTAAGGCCAGCAGATACGGCCGTCGGACATGGTAACCATGTCACCAGCGACGTAGGTGTCGTCGGAGCTGAGGACCTCACCAATCTTCTTGCCGTCGCTGCCGACCATCTGGAACTTGGTGCCTGCGAAGGTACCCTGGCAGCCCATGGCATCGAAGGCGCAGGTGGGGGAGGAGATCTCCTCCCAGGTGATGAGAGCCTTGGAGGAGTCAAAGGTGGCGGCGTGAGCGTTGGAGCAGTCGTTGGAGCCCGAGGTCATCCAGTTGATCTGGGAGTCACCGTCGGCGGTGCCGGCAACGGAGGTGGCCTGGGAGCCGACGAGGGTGTTCTTGTCGGAGAAGAGGGCGATGGCGACGTTGCGGTTGTTGGTGCGGTTCTTGGAGGTGGTGTAGCCGGAGCCCATCCAGGAGTTCTCGGTCAAGTCGATGGCACCACGGGAGACCCAGGAGAAGATGTACGAGTCGGCGCCGATGAAGCGGGCAAGGTTGGAGTAGGAGCCGGACATACCGCCCATGGCCTCGTTGGCACCGCCGTTGATGACGTGCTCGTTGGAGATCTTAACGTTGTCGGTGGTCATGCCCTGGGACTTGGTGTTGAGCCAGACGGCACCCTGGTCCTCAGCGCAGATGGAGGCGAAGGGGGCGGCGTCGGCGGCCTCGAAGGCGATACCGGTGTTGTGGGAGCAGCCCCAGCTGGAGGAGGCGCCAGAGATGGAGGTGAGCTTTCCGGCGGTGTCGACATAGCGGATGGCATCACCAAAGTGGCCGGTGGCATCACCCTGGTAGGCGGTGACAACAATGTAAGCGGCGTAGTAACCGGCCTTCTCGGAGAAGACGAGGTCACCGTTGACGTCGGGGGAGGCCATGGCCTGGCTTCCGTCGACGTTGGGGCCGCCGAGCCAGGTCTTGAAGGTGGGCTCGGTCTTGCCGGTGGTGTAGCGGTAGAGAACAGCGATGGCGTTGTCGGTGCCGGAGCCGGAGAGAACCTCGTTGGTCATGAGAGCGAAACCATCGTTGTGGGCGACGAGACCGGCGGCCTCCTTACCGCCCGAGACGGTGACGGGGTCACCGGTGGCGGCGAAGGTGGTGGGATCGATCTGCTGGACGTGGACGCCCGTCTCTGAGGAGTCGAGGTACGCGAGCCAGGCCGACTTTCCGTCGGGGGAGACGGCGAAGGGGGTACGGCGGTGGTGGGGGAGACCGGTCCAGTAAGCCTCCTTGATGGGGTTGAAGGACTTGATGGTGGCGGTGTCAACGTGCTTCTCGAGGGAAGACGACGTCAGCTGGGCGACGGCCGCGGCCGCGAAGCCGAGGACGGAGAAGAAACGCATGTTTGCTGTTGTTGTATATAGCAGTTCAGGAACTTTCAAAGTTCAGTAAATGAATGATCGTGTATGTTTCGTTTGGTAGCTTGTTTGAAAGGACTAGAGCCTTTTGAATGAGTGAATGAACGAATGTCTGGAAAAAAGAATGTCGGTTGGGCAAGGAGATGGTCAACAATCCCTTGATCGCAAGAAGAAGAGAAGAGAGAAAGCCTTGATGTCTAGCTGGGAGGTGCGGTGTTTGCCTCCATTTAAAGAAGACAATGGCGCGAATGGAGCCGTTCAACAAGATCCCCATATTGCCCATATTGGGAACCCGCACCACCACTACCACCCAACATGGCCAGCGTAGACCAGCATCAGGTAAGGGGGTGGGTGGACTCTACGGAGTAGTCTCTGGAGATTTCGGGAGAGCACCGCCGTCGCGGTTGTCAGCAACAGACAGACAGGCGGACAGGACGACAGGGCTAGAGTGCTAGGCATGGACCCAATAGAGTATGTGGTTCCTTACTCTGCAACCCCTCTCTGTAATCTGGATGGGCGTATGTGCGTGTAAGTCGATTGCACACGATCCTGGGCTGGTCAAATCTCCCTGGCCGTTTCACTACAGCAAACGCGGCGGAGGATGCAATTTCGACTGTTCCCCACCCCGTCCATCCCGGGGCCCGGGGTGGCTTTGGCTACATGGAGTGGCCAGTGGACTAGTGTAAGACTTTCACTCTGGATGGGAACGCCATGGAACGCCAACCGAGAAGAAAAGAAAACGAACATGGAGTGGCGGTGGACAGACCAAGCGCTAGAGTTTCCAGGGCTCTGGGCAAGCAAGCCGCGAAGGTCATCGATTGGGGACACCAGTGAAGATGCTTTGGGTGGGAGATGACGGTATTCATCTTCCATGATGCCATCTGCTACTACGTAAAGTTACTCTGTATTAAACTTCCGTTGTTTCTCTCAGAGCCAGCCGTCGTCTCGTTTCTTCCCGTCGCTGCCAGGTACACCTCAAATAGCCGACAGCGTTTCCCTAGAGAGGTTCGTCTTGGTAAGCTCTGATTGTACACTCATGATCCCGCGCAATGGATAGACTTCCGGAAGGGATTGTCATGCAGAAGCTCGGATTTGCGGGTGGCTGCTTGCCCTGCCTTAACACACCGATCTTAATTCTCAACTTCAGACGACGGGCCTCTCGGCTCATGGACCAGGCCTTACACGAGGCATAGTATCCGTGATTCCGTCCAGCGAAAGTGACTATGGGGTAGACCGTCGCCACGGAAGTACGGAGCCCCTAGAGGCTAGGAAGACAAACAAGCCTGCTAGCGCCCATCGGTCTCTTACCAAGCCTACGGTCAGAGGCGTATGTGGGAAGAGAGAGAGAGAGAGAGTTGACTGTTGAGGCAAGACTCCAAAGTAAAAAAGCACCACACCTCAGCGCCTCGGCCTCCCGCTCACTCCTTAATTCATGTCAAACAAGTGGGTGGTCCAGGGTCAACGTAGCGCATTCCACCAATGGGCCGCCGTCTGTTGATCGCTTGGTTTCAAGAACCCGGTCTCGACATCCCACTCTTCTCTGCCACTATCTCGCTCTGTGTCTTTTTTGTTTTCGTCTGTCAGCTCTACCATGGATTTGCAAAGGACTTACGGAGTATTGCCTTGAGGCTTGGGAACATTCCGAAAATCCGGGGAACAGGGCACTCGACTTCCAGTCTTCTTCAATCCTCGCAGCTGCAGGCTTACAGCCATCACTACTTTAGTACCTAAACAAACCCAGCCTTGGAGACAAGCTCGTCAACCCATGATCCATCAGCCATCAGCTCATTTTCCCGTCTTCTTGATTAAATTTATCTTGTTGGCTGCTGCCAGCCTTTTCCCCCTAATCAGTCTAGCGCGTATGGGTTCAGCGTTGGGCCTAGGCTTTGGTCTGCCCGGCTGCCGTCAGTTCTCTTCTCGGTTTCTCTTTCCACTCGCTTGCAGAGCTCTATGAACGTCCTGTCTATCCCTTGTCACACCTGTCAGCGCCGACTGGGGTTGCCTTGGTGCTTGAGCGTTTACCGAGTCGCAACTAGATTGGCGGTTCATGAATGTTGCTATGCGAGTTGGGATGATGATTACACTTTTTTTCCCTTCTCGATATTTTTGTTTTCCCGCCTTTTTCGTATTCATCTCAACTCGATTCGATTCCCAACTCCCTGTCATCCACATGAATCCCATCACATTTCTTCATTTCATTTCCCGAGTGAGGTATGAGATGAAAAAACAAACCTCTGTCTCTGGCGATCAGTGAAGCCATCTACAAATTCTATCTCATTAATGATCGTTGTCAACCAACTTTGACCAGACTGCATTCGCAGATGAACTTGAAGGAGAGCAGTTCAGTGAAGATAGTAACTATAGTGATTACACACCAAATGCCGGCTGGGTGGTTTCTTTTCTTGTCTTCATATATCACCAACGCTTCTCTGACAGGACCCCAGGTTATTGACATCACCTCGCCTCATGCCAACCGCCACAAAAACTTCCCGACCCATACTATGTGATTCCAAGGACCACCATGCAGATAGCCGCCTTCGCCCTCCGCCTAGTTAGCATCGAGTCTTGCTGCAAATCCCTCAAATCATCCAGTCAGCTCATCGAAATTCCCCGAAATTCTAGACCTCTCTCACGAGTCACTCCTCTTCCCGTCCCTCTCCTCCAAGGATAACGGGTTCACGGCCCATGACAAGGCCAGTCCAGTCTCCAGAGTCCCAAGAGGATCTCGCTTAAGAACCCAAGACCCTTGTCAACACGAGCATCCCGCCCCTGACGCTAATCCCGAAATCATTTCGAAATTCTCCTGCCAAGCACCCCCGGCTCCCACTCCCAACTCCACCAGCCAACAAAGTTGTAACGCCTTGGGATCCAAACTGTGGGCTGGGCGCCGCCGCCGCCACGCCTCTCCCGCGCTTCTTTCTCAAACTAAATCGTACCCATACGAAATACCGACAAAACCCGGAACCGTGATTCGTAGGGTCTCTTTGGATCGTCATGCTGCTTGCTACCCTTTTTTGACGTAGTATTCCGCCCAGTCGATCATATTCGTCTGGATCTTGGGTATATTTCCCAACAATTAGACTTTCCTCTCCATCATTGTTGACTGCACACGGACACAATCACAGAGAAGCTAGATCTGGTCTTAATCTCAAGGATGGCACTACTGTACGGCCACCCGGCTCAAGTGATTAGGTGACAGACAGCTGGGACAATTTTCCCACCGACCACATTGCTGTGTATCCGCAATCAACCCCGAGAAATCTTCCCAAGAACTCTGTCCGGCAATTCATGCCGATGAGCGGATACCCCCGGGCCGGGCACAATGGGCAAGAGACAGCGGGTAATCTCACGACGCCTCCCACATTCCCAAATGCGCAATCTTAGAAAACATATTAACCTTTGCACCGCACGTATACTATCGACTTGCTCGGTTTTTGCCTGCGATGGAACAAGGCACCATATAGAAACAATCTCAAGATTACCTAAAACTCTATCTCGAGGAAACTCGCTACGAGTCACGAGACGAAAAAAGTAACTACTATTCCCGCAGATTACCACTTTTTTGCGAGTGTATAATCTCGAACCGCCTTCACTCTCGCTACAGCCCCAGAACCTCATATAGATGGTCACAATCCCTCCAGGTTCCTTAGGTCCTCAAGAATAAGATGCAGGCGTCCGTACGGATAGTCGCACGCGAGATAGACTGCACTGTGGAATCTAAACCTCCTCAGGTCCCACCAATGCCATCCATGCTCAACTCTTTGCCTAAATCTCAGTCCTATAATTTGCCACTGCTTTGTCATGGGATCACTCCGCAGACCACATTCATGTGCGATTGACTTCCGAGCCTGACTGATCTGAGGAGACTGAAGGCCCCCCCCTACGGCTTACATCTTCCGCTCGATCCCCGTCTATCCGTACTGACCAGTCTGACCTTAGTAGAGGATCCATTGTAAACCAGCAATACGGATACTCGCACTCGTGCAGGCAGCCTGTGCTGCCTGTTGGTCGGGGTCCTATGAGAACCCGAGATGCCTTGACATCTCAAGTAATGAAGCGGCCTGCCTCAAGCTCTTCCAGAAATTATCATCTCACGAGTCACTGCAACATTGCGCCGAATTCGCTGTCGACGGATTACGTCACGGGACAGAAATCTTTGCGACCTCTAGGTCATGACAATTTTCGTAGAGCCCCGCGATAGACACGCCCCTTCATCCCTCCTCTCGCCTGCAAACAGACACTATCTCTTGGCTTCACACAAGGAAGTTATTCTGCACTTCCTTCGTCTAGCTACGCCATGGACACTGACTCAGACGGTCGAAAATGATTCTATGCAAACGAAGTATCAACAAAGCATCACGAAATGAAGAGGATGACCTCCTCTCTCAAAAGAACCCAGCGGAGACCCCCAAACACTCCAGCTGAATTTCGCGAGAGCCCGAGTCAGCCCTGGGAAGGGGGTGACCCCGTTGCAGATCGACACTTTCTCATATGACTTTTTTCGATGGGCGGTCTAGAATCTCTGACATCCCATCGGACCCTGACCCCTGTCAGTTTTGATGGAAAAGCCCAACCGACATCATGAGTAGATTGACTTATCCGCAGTGCTTGATGTTTCCGCTGGACTTCGCTGGACTTCGCTGGACTTCGCTGATGAGTTAAAGCTCAACTTGTCCTAAACAGAATGAACAGCGAGGACTAATATTCTGATTCTGTAATGATCCCTCTCAAAAAGCTGATCAGAATCGAGGAGATTGTTTTGACCACCGTGTATGTTTCCTCTTCCAAGGTCCTTCTCACTTCCATTGACACCCTCGACAGTTTTGGAATTCCCGCATGTTGCTTAGGTTTGTGAGGGAATTCACCACTGTATTATTTGTTCATAGAGTGGCCCCTTTTCAGAATAATCTCTAACCTGTTTCGCTTGCAAATCACCGAGAAATCAACGGCCTGATACATTCTCTTACATTTCAATAGTCATCTTTCTGAATTCCTCATCTAGCATGCAACTGGAGAGCTCAGAAGTTCAAGAGACTTCTTTAGATCGAAGTCACATGTTTAATCCGTGTGCTTCCCTCTCGTCAAATTGACAAACACTTCTCAACTGCGACGGAATAATATGAAACAATTCCATAGGTCATGAACACGTTTTTCGATATCGTGGCCTTTTCAGGCTTGTGTTTCTTGCCAGCTTCAGAGAACGCCGAAGCAGTCACCACGACCATCATCTTCTCGCCATCGATGGAAAATACATACAAAGCCTCAGCACAGTGATCTGTCTTGGGGGCTAACAAAACAGATATGACTACTTTTCTGATCATCGAGCTTGAATTTATCTGCGCACGAAGACTCAATATTCCATCGACATATTATCAAACCCACGTGATGCTACCTCAACATTGTCCCGTTCCAGGCATCCTACTGCAGCACAAAAACCTAAGCTCGACGGAAGAAAACCCAACTTCCAGACTCTAGCCAGGCCTAGAAGACTCGTCAAATGTTTTTACTATGACCTGTGTGTATATACTCACTACTTTGGGTTCCTGATTATGTTCAAGTCTTGGAATCGGCCACTCGTAAAAGCTAGTTCACTTTCCGAGTCTCGTCTCTCAACCTACGATACCTTAGGAATAAGACAAACTTCTTCCTCTATGGGCCATGACGAAGTCAGAGACGGCACTTTCTGGTTAGGGAATTGCGCAAGTATACGCGTATTCGTCAAGTAACTACGTAGTTTCTATGATCTATCAGTACCTACCCGGGAGGGGGGGGTGCTTTCGACAGAGGTCTATTCTACTGCTGCATAGGGGGGTATGTCCCTAGGGGGTCTCTATGCTGGTTAGGTAACCCTGTGTTTTGAGAGCGGCTCTTACGCATGCCAAGGGAAGCCTTTTTTGCTCTTCAACTCTTGAGAACAATGTCCTGAATCCCTTAGGCCTTGAGATCTCCACTAGAATTACTGCTCTATTGTAGGAAGGCTGCTCTGCTAATAAAATGGACTGAGATATAAGAGAAAGGGGCGTACTTACCGTTAAGTTAACAGAAACACTGTTCCCCCCTCCCACATAGGTAGCCCGGTGATGTCCATATGAACCCCAGGCCGATAATCGCCAGCCTTTCCACTGAGCCGCTTGATCTCGTTCAGAAACCAAGGACTCTGGTACGTCGCCATCGCCCAGTCCCAAACACTGTTCCGAATCGTGTCAGGATTGGCCTTTTCCGGCCAGGTCCGGTACAACTCACTATTACCTCGCATAATCGCCCTGGGCTTGGAAAAGGATAGCACCTTTGGCGTTCGCACCAGCGCCTTACAGATCTTCCTCTTGCGCTCTTCGGTACTCCGCGCAGAGCTTTACGCAGACCTCCCCACCGCTTGACGAGCTCCGGATGCACCAATTGTTCTTTTCTCTCCGAGATCCACCAAGAATGATACTCGCGGTGGACCGTACATGCGGGCAGTGACGTGCCGGGCTGCCAGTGCTCGATGCAGCTGCTGCCGATGTAATGACTCGACGCGAGGTGTAAGTCGACATTCTGCACCATCCTCACCCACATGCTGGGGTGTAGGCTGTTACACTGTGACTCTTCATGGTGTTTCCTGGTGTAGATGCCACTGAGGAGGGCATTAATGACCTTCAACTCGTCCTTACGCTTGATCCGAGCGCCATAATGGAGGAGAAGCTCGATGGCCCGGGCATCGAGCCAGAAGACTGCGTAGTGGAGGGGCGAGAAGCCTTTCTTGTCGCACATGTTCGGGTCGGCGCCGTGTTCCAGAAGCCACTCGACCAGCTTTGGCCGTTAAAAGGCTCCAACACCGAGGGAGTGATCGAAGCGGTGACCCAGGAGAGCTAGCAGCGGCGAAATATAAACCGGCTCTATGATCGCGTTGATCTGATCCCTTCCATCTTCTGCCAAGTCGAACATAGCCTGTGGGATCTCGGTGTCGTCTGAAAACGGATGAATGAAGAAAAGTTGAAGCGGGGTGCACTTACCAAAGTCATGTTCTTTATAGGTGTCGGGACGGACCCAGTGTTCGTGCGAAAACTTAGACATGAGATCATGACCTGGAGACCCAAGGTAGACATTTCCGTAAGACAATACTGCTCTGGAACCTCAGAGGGTGGCTGATTAACAAATTGAAAGCCGATTTTATGGCGCATCCTAACTCCTCGTGGCTCTTCATCCGTGTCTGCAAGGCCGTATAATCGGGGACAAACAAATTGTGAAGGGGTGTCACCCTGCAGAACTCACTGCCTTTCTTGTTGTCAATACTGTTCTCTCCAAGACAAGCTCCCAGCGGGTGAGCGCCTAGTTCAAGCAGCGTTTGGATATGAGCAGGATTGAGCTGTCCGCATGCGAGATTGAGAGCTGTTTGGGGGATTCTTCTGCGAGGCTCGTGGTGGACGAATGTAGGTGGCCGCCGGTCTATACTAGCTGTGGTATCTTCCAGTTTGACGCCCTGCCGGACGAGCTCTCTAATTGTAGAAAATCAATCTGTCTGACGGAGACATACGGCATGGAGAGCATTGGGGCCGAACTCGACAGGTGTATGTAGCGGTGAACCTGCTAGCGTCAACTTGCGAACCACCTCGCCGGAGATGACTTAATGAAGTACTGGAGTGTTCCTATGGAAATTAGATGAGCCTCCGTGATCGATGTCTGCGCCTCGATTGAATAACATATCTACTAACTCGACGTGATCTTGAGCAACAGCAATACCAAAGAAGAGCCTACGCGGATCGGAAAATTTGGTCAAGAAGCTGGATGGGACAGACCTGAGGATATTATTGGAAATCATGAGCGCGTTCTGAGGAGCCAGTAAGGCGACGTGAAGGGCCGAGGACTACAGAAATGTATCTCTGTCAAACTCATGCAGACTCATATTTGACTCGCGGCATGCAACAAACGGACGCGGTCTCCACCACGAGGGACAGCCTTCGAAGCTCAACGCAGGATTGGCTCCGTGTTGAAGAAGCAATTCCGCGACTTGAGCATAGCGTTTCGACGTAGCCATCATAAGTGGTGTCCATACACACAGCTGACAGACGCCGTGCGGTACGTAGTCCGGTTTGGCCCCCGACTGCTCGAGGGCCTGGCGGAGGGG